TTAATCACGAAGTTAGCTTCATATAAAAAAGGGAGGTCAGTTTAATATTCTGATTTCTTCGTCACAAGTGGGCAAATTGAAAATGGAGCGAATACAAAGAACACACATGTAGTATAATTTTCCTAACAGAACTTTGACTGGACGAATTTAAAACGCGGCAAAATTGTTATCAAATATAAGAGGGTGAAAATTACGAAAATGACTTGTATACAGTATAAGGTAAAATTATATAGAAAATGTATCGTGTGTTTTGATTAAACTTTGTTTAAAGTTTCAGAGACTGTTGGGTCTTCTCCTTTTCCAGTCATTACAAATAAAACAGAGACTTCAACTAGCGGCGATAAGATATCAGATGACTTATCAAGAGATAAAAGCACAGATAACAAGAGTTCCTTAAATTATTTAACAGTCATCTCGACAGTTACAATTAGTGTTATCCTACTTGTCTTTCTATTTGCTGTGATTGGAATTCTGCTGAAGAGAAGATTTCAAATGCAGGATAAAAAGAAATCAAAGTAAGAATTATCTTTTTTCAAAAAGTTTTTTGTAAAAATAATTTAAAAAAAAACATTCAACAGAGTAAGAAAAGTTCTGGAAAGAAATATAATAGCATGATCAAGAAATTCAAGAAAAGATCATTATAATCCATATCGTTTGAAAAAAAATTAGCAAATTAGAGCAAGGTACCACAAAAAGCTGTGGTTCTCCTTTTATAAACTGTGCAAGCTTTTTGTTTGAAATTAAAGTTGTTTTTAAATCACTGATTATTATTTTTAATTTTTTTCCCCATTTTTTTCCCCTTATTCTTTTACCCTATATCCGGTTTTTTTTTTGGCGGTGATCAATATTTCGCTTTTTTGCGATCATTTTTAATTCGCAAAATATAAAACACGCAGAAATTATATCAGCTATAAAGTGACATTAAAACATTACCGTTTTAAACAAAAAAAAAATTTCAATCGTAAAAAATAACTTACGCAAAATAAAAACTGTAATAATCTACCGCATTTTCACAAAATTTCCAACACGCGAAAAAAACCGGATTTACGGTATTAGAAATCTGTAGAATTTAAATGTGTTGAAAATAAAATAAATATATTGCATTGCAGCTACACCAGTCCGAACTTTGCTGTTCAAGAATCTCAGACGAATTCTTATATTGGATTGAATGTGTTCAATGAAAACTCTGAGTATGAGGAAATTGACAATGGAAGTTACATGGAAATAGGTTCCGTGTTGAGAATAAATTTATCTAGACAGGATTGTAACATATATATAAGACATGATTACGTGAATACAAACAGACAACTCCCCGAGGAACCTCACGTTTATACATACGCACAATACTAAAGTGATTTCTTATTTCACTAAAATGTGGGTGCTTATTAGAAAAGGTTTTCAATCATATCGTAACGACGACGAACCTGAATGGTTCAGAATATAATATTAAATTGGAATTGTAAATGCCCTGCTTTCATCAAGAATTAAATATTGCATCATGTCTGTCTTACATGTACATACTACTTGTATTTGAGTATCGTGAAATTTCGACTTATTCTAAATTAACAGAAAAAAGTGAATTGATCTACAGTATTTGTGACGAGTGTAACATTTGATGTAAAACGAAACTATGCATAGTTGATTCTGTGAAGGATAAGTATATAAATATATAGATATAATAATATAAATAAAGATGTTGTATAATATGAAATACATTATTAAGATCAATGTTAACTACATGTACTATTAAATTAATTCACTTTTAAAATTGATTGTTTCCAGTGATACGAGTTTGATTGCGATTTTATTTCAGTCTTTAAACTAGTATCTTAAATGTGTAAGAAACGGCACACACTGCCTTGTTCTTCAAAATATTCAGACTGATAATACATCGGGATGTAAGCTGTGATCATTTAGATGTTTTTAAATATTTGCTTAAAATAAGCAATTGATCTACAAGATTAATTAAGTTACAGTAATGTGTATCCCGAGGGCAAAGAGAGAGAGAGAGAGAGAGAGAGAGAGAGAGAGAGAGAGAGAGAGAGAGAGAGAGAGAGAGAGAGAGAGAGAGAGAGTATAATAAAATAGAATATCTTTTGAAAAATATGGTTCACCAATATGGAATAAATTGTCAGAATTAAAAAAAAACTTTCTCATTAGCTGCAGAACCTCAGCTCTCTGCTTGAGAAAATTCGGACAGATGAAACAGAGAGCTGTAGATCCATGCATTGTAAAAACCTTCGATTTACGCCACCGCCTTTTTGTCGCTCACTCCAGGTATTATTTCTTGTAATTAAAATTTACCCTAACTGAGGACAATACGAACTTTGATCCAAAATTTTCTTTGTAAAATTTTAATTTGATTTGATGAAAGCAAACCATAGGCATATTAATAGTATATAGAATCATTATGCAACAATACCGGCCAATTTTACCATGTTCCAGCAACCAATAATTTTACCCGAGCTTTCTAAACATAGATGGTTGTAAAATCCGGAAAAGATTTTGACATAACGTCAAGTTAAGAATGTCACATCAAGTTTAAGTTATCGGAACATCACATCCTCATGACCAGTTCGACTAGTTACTTGTAGTTCTACAGAATGTGGGCTTTCAAAAGGTACAATAAGTAAGTGGATGAAACGTTTTATTGAGGGAAGGGAGACGGTGAAAGATGATGATAGATCTGGGTGCCCGCTGAACGTAAGTACCGAGATAAACGTGTCTGAGGTTGAACAATATGTAATGAAAGATCGAAGAGTTACGATGCGGCGAGTTTGTGCGAGATGGGTCCCTCGCCTCCTTCTGCCAGAGCAAATGAGGGTGAGAGTGAATGCGTGCCGGTCCTACGTTAGTAGATATGAAAAAGAACAAAATTATTTCATGAGTAGAATCATCACATGTGATGAAACTTGGGTACATTTCTATGAGCCAGAAAGTAAACAACAAAGTTCAATTTGGAAGCATCCTTCCTCGCCATCACCAATAAAAGCAAGCGTAACCAAGTCAGCAGGGAAGGTTATGCTCATAGTTTTCTGTGACATCAACGGTATAATTCTAAATCACATGGTACCACCCAAAACTTCAGTTACTGGGGACTACTATGCACAGGTTATCAAATCAGATTTGATGAGAGCAGTAAAGAGAAAGCGCCCAGATCTGATAAGATCTGGATTCATTCTGCACCATGATAACGCACCTAGCCATAAAAGTAGGGTTGTGATGGACACCATGGAAACACTGGGTATAGAATTCATCCCCCCTACAGCCCAGATTTGGCAATTTGCGACTTCTGGCTATGAGTCCCGGGAAGATCTTGGTACTGCTGTGAACAAGGTGCTAAGGGTCATGTCACGTGATGGCTTGGATCACGTGTTTCGCGCATGGGCAGACCGATGGGAAAAGTGCATAAAAGCTAAAGGGGCCTACTTTGAAAAAGAATAAACTCAAAATCTCACTTTGAAAAATATTTTAAAAGTTATTCAATTAGTTTGCGAACTTTTTGATCACCCCTCGTATACTATCTTAGAATGTTTCCATATAACTCCGTGTATATCAAATTATATATGATTTTGTTGTTCTTGAAGCTTTTTAAACATTTTTCAAATACATTCCTTTGTAAAACAAGTGTCTCTATATGAGTGAAAAATTCTTCTCGTAAAACTTTGATCGCCTATTTTGAAACCCCACCCTAGCCCATGGGGTCATTATTGAAACAAAATTGAATCTACACTACCTAAGAATGCTTCCAATGTTTGAATACCTAACTCATCCAAAGTACAAACCTTCAAACTTACGAAATAAAACTATGTAAATGCATATACAATGTTGGGAAAAACCCTTCTCATCTATGGATCTGTAATAAAAATATTTTTTACATAATGCTAATTTTTTTTTATTTTGAAATTTGAAATCAGAAGTACCGGAGGACATGAAGAAACAAGCAACAATAAAAAAAAATTCCTTGAAAGCGTCACATTTCATGTTATTATACTTTCATGTTAAATACTAAAATCTGATTGGTTTAGACGCAGTTAACAATCCGTTCTATTACCCTCAGCCTTAGCACCGCATGTGACAACGGGTAACACAACGGTAATGCCACATGCGTGGATATTATGCGCGTAAGGTTCACCGTAGAATTCTCAAAACGTCAGTTGCGCGTTTGAAAGAACTGGAATAAACTTGACGTCAATAAAAGCTTGCGTCCGATGTAGTTTACTTGAAAACAACAAACGACAGACGAAACATGCTTGCGAGTGCAAAAATAACGAAACTTTGTATGATAAAAGACTCTTAGAGTATCAAACAAACAATAAAAAGGTCAGTAAATCTTTTTAGAAGTATCGAGGAGTTTGAAAGCTTTTTAAACGTGAACGTAAAAATGATCGAGGATTTTTTTTTGCTGACTTAATTTAAAAAGACATTCAGTATAATAAAATAATGGTGCCTGTTTTGGAGGGTAACAGTTGAAATTGCCACCCCTCGGAAAACCATTGTCAACCTCCGCTGACGCGTCGGTTGACAATGGTTTTCCTTGGGGTGTCAATTTCAACTGTTACCCTCCAAAACAGGCACCATTTATATAATGTTAACATTACGCAGCATTGCAGAGCATACAGTTCTATAATTACAATCTATAATTTTAAAAAAAATCCCCACTATTTGACAAATCGTATTAATATAGAAGTCTACGGATTTCAAGTTCAGCATGGACATAAATTGCATTCACGTATTACACATATGGCAAGTTAAATTAGATAATTAGTGATAGTGTAGTGATAATCTTTACAAAAACAAATATATTTGATAGAATAATATACAAAAACATAATTGACAATTCACAAACTAAGCTTTAAATACTGTATATATATTATTAAGGAAGTACACTGTTGGAAATTAAAATCCTTTGGCTTCTACACGAGTCCTGGGTGGTTATGATGTTTTATTACAAATGTGCAGTAAACCGTGAACAAATAAAAACGATTCTTTTAGCAACTCTAATCTAAAGGGAACGTCGAGAGAAATTCCGATGGATTGCCCTTGTATCGTTCTGCTGATTTTGGTCATTTTCCAAGTAAGTACTTTCTTCATATTTAAATACAGTTTTTGCAAAATTTCAAAAAATCTTATTAAAAGTATGATTTGAGGATATTCTATTGTTTAACATGAAAGGAAAAGAAACTTGTATAAGTTCTTCTCCTAGTGTTAGTTAAGATGATACAGTTAATTCAGTACAATAATCATTTTAATAATATACAATGTCTTAAATAATACTGGCGAGTGAGATAAATATTAAATCTTCCAGATTCTCTTTTAAATTTATGAATTGCTGTAAAACAAGCATTCTGAGAGTATTGCATTACCAATACTAGTCTCCTACCGGTAAGTGTAATATGGTTCCCTGTAAAATTTAAAATTATAAAATTCTGTCAAAAATTAATGAAGCGGAACGAAATGCAAACTTTATACAATTTGTATATACATGTAGCCCATCAAGGTGAAGTCGCACTTTTAAAAATTCAGCTCAAAATCTGCAAGCATTTAGAAAAAAAAATGCAAAAAAAGCCTTGAAAAGTTGAAAAGGTCGTAATTCCTGTAAAAAAAAAAAAAAAAAAAAACATGAAAGCAATATGTAAACCAAATTGAAACTTTATTTTAATTCATTAAGATACACTCTCACACAAAAATTCAGCTCAATATCTGCAAGCATTTGGGGAAAAAAATGCGGAAAATTAAGTAGGACAGACTGACAGACTTAGAGGGACAGACGGATGGGCAGACAGCTAGACAAACAGAGACAGACTCAGAGGAAATCTATAGTCCCCTCCGGATTCACCGGTAGGGGACCAATAAAAAAGTTCATGTAATAAAACAAAGTATCAGTACCCAATATCAATAGAAGTGAGTCGATTAGAATCGTTTCTTCCTGTCTAAAGAGTTTGTCAAAAAGACTTTTCTTGCTTTTATTTATCTTTTACAAACAAAGGAAAAAATGATTAATTTTTTAAAATTTAATAAAGGTCTGTCCGATCATTTTATAGAAGACTTATCAAGCTTTATATTTGACTCTATTTCACTATGACAGACTTCCGCGTTCCATAAATAAATTAGAAAATGTCCTAGTTAAGTGTTTTTAAAAATGTGAAACTGAGACTTCTGTGCTTGATTTGTTCAGTCGCAATTAAAAGCATTATGTTACGAGGCTTTGAATTTAAAACGCTCTGTTTTTTTTTTCGCTAACTAGCATGCGTCATATATTCATTGGGGTTATGAGAGATTTTAAAAAAAAGCACAGGTCAAAAAATCATTTGAAATATTATACCCCGCTTGAAAAGTGGGAAGGTATATAGCTAGTGATTTGGATACTTCTGCCGTGAAAATGATTTATTGAGCTGCTGCAAATATCAAATTTATATCAATTTTTCCCATTCTAACAAATAATACACCTAGCTTGACGTGGACACCAGTAAAAAATGGAAGAGAGAAACGAAGTGGTTATATAGTGGGATTTTCCCCGAAACATTCATTCAATACATATGTTTGCTCTGCTCTCAATTTTGTATTGTATAAACTTTGAGCTTGTATTCTGTTCGTTATTTTCATATTTTATTTCTTTCTAATTAAGCAGATAAGAGTGGGAATGAGTCCTAGTAACAATGTTGACAAATTGGGAGATTCTGAATTAAAGGTTCTGACTGGTATGTATGATAATACTTTGACAATGATGAATTTTACTCTTTTTTACAATGGCCTCCCCAATGTTTAATTATGTGGATTTTATTTCTTAGATATAAATGAAAGCAATCTTGTTTAGAATTTTTTCGCAAATGAAGAATTCTTCTAAATAAGGTACAATAATGAAAGAAAAAAAAGCTTTAACATTGCTCATAACTTTTGAGTGGATAGGGCTATATGGATTAAATATTCCACAGGTGGATTTCTTTCTTTGGGTACCACCAAATTTGACCCCTTGGTCGAAACTCACGGAAATTTCATATTTTAATGATATGTTTCTCAATTTTTTTCTGGAAGCAAATGTTTTGTTATTTTGTCAGATTTTCTTTGTACAGTTACTATACTTGATGATTTACAAACATTCTCAGTAATTCTTTGTCCAATTTGTCGTCCACTGGGAGTGGTTAAGAGTACTCGTCAAATTCTTAAATTTGGAACATACAGGGAAAGTGTGAAGAAGAAAAGTCAGATTATGACATGCTTTATCAATACTATGAATGTATTCATAATCCTAGAGAAATTTGTATTTTAATATTCATAAATGACAAACAAACCATATATAAATTTGAACGAATAAAATAAAAATACCAATAATCACCGATTGATTTATAACATCAAATGATATTATTGTATTGTATCTACTACATTGAAAACATGTTTTATCGCAATTGGTGGACCAACATATGTATTCATTTTTTTTCATTGAAAATAAAAGACAACAAAAAAATCTTTTGAAAACAATCTTCTGAAGAACTCTAATGCTAGGATGCCCAACTTGAAATTGATCTAACTTGTATTTTCTATTCCAGATATGACACAGCCAACCCTTCTGTGTGTTTCCATCTTAACAGTTTTGATTAACACCACCGAAGGCTCCACAGTTGATTTATATGATTATTTTAGTGACGCAGACAATATAACATATAGTCCAGGCCGGTATGTTACTGTAAATATTTCCACACTTGGTAAACTACAACAGGTTTCAGGAACACTGGAAAAGACATCGGGGATTGAACCATCCTGTACATTTCTGATCTATACCAAAGGTAAAAAGTAAAATATTCACTTTATTATTTTTTTTATGAATCTTTCTATGTTAGCCACTGCTGTTCATCTTATGGCCATTGTTTACAAATACCAGCTAGCAATTATTCTGTACCATCATAAAAATCCCTTCAAATAAAGAACATTGCCGGGGCGTGGTACTTCTCACGATAAAACTATGTTCTTTGATATCACAGACAACTGCCTCTTCAATAAAAGTGAAATTTGGAAATTTTCGTATCTCAATCCTTGAATGGCCATCAACAAAATATAACTGTGTTAAAATCAATCTGATTCTACATGCAAACACTTTATAATTGACATCAAAAGAATGCTGGATTCCTCATTGACAATATTTATGTAGTCTTTAGAGACTTGGTATTCCAACTAATACGGATGGGTAAATATGGTGGAATACGGATGGGTAAATATGATTGTGTTCCTTTATTAACTTTTTTTTATTTTTCTAATATTTTTCTATCCTTTTTTTAAATCGAGACATGCCATTGACAGATAACTAGTAAGTCTACAACTTGGAGTGGACAGTCTGAGAGTATATGTTATATAATTACTGACCAAGAAATTGCATATTAGAAAATGTACATGCATTTAGTCATACCTGTCTACCAAAAGACAGAGATTCCAACCTTTGAACACATCGGATAGAATTAACCTGATTGATAATTAAATAAAATGACTTGCAAACAAAATGAGGATTGACTGTTTACCTATCTTTTAGTCAGAATGATTGATTGTAGTTTGACGTCTTGTTTGAGGATTTTCCATAAAGACATCATTTTGGAAAATTGGGTTTAGTACAAGCCTTTTTAAAACTACATGTACTTATATTTTACATTTTTTATTTTTATCTTACCAGCTGAAGTTTGTTTCACTGAGAGTTTATCATCAGATGCCCATGCTACAAAAGTATGTTTTGATTCAAATGGAAACAAAACATGCACTTACACATGTAACAGTGGATATCTTTATTTTGATGGATCATCATCGAAAACGTACACATGCTCAGGAAAGAATTACTGGTCTCCTTCTTTTAAACAGGAAGAATGTCTGCGTAAGTTATACCATGATTAATATAGTTCTAGACTAACTAGTGAAGTACTTTACAAGTAAAAATGTCCAACAGGTTTTAGCAATTATTTTCATGCCTCATATATTTTAAAACCTGGCAGTTTCTCGCCAATTGTCGAAAGAAAAAATTGCAACCCGACTTTCAAAAGGGGGGGGGGGGTAAAAACACGTGCTTCCGACTTGCTATTGGTTACGCATAAGCCAAACAAATGACTTGGATCATGATACAAAAAAACCTTTTGTCGTTCACATAACTTATGTTTAAAATTTTAAATTTAAATTTAAAAATGTCCAATCATTAAATTGTTTCTGTATTCATTTCGGAATGTTTCTTAAAGTAAAATTTGACGTATAGAAAGTATTAAAGCAATTTCTACTACATGAAAAATAACAGAATGAAAATTAATTACTTTTATTGCCAGATAAAAAGTACATGTACTAAACACGGAGAGAGAGAGAGAGAGAGAGAGAGAGAGAGAGAGAGATTAAATAGTTGTTAAAGCTTAGTACATATTAATACAATTCATTTTCCAAACTGATATATACCATAATTTTGTACAATATATTTACTGGATCACAGAAATCAATTTTTAACTCAGAAGTGTTTAGCATTCTCCGATCCCTTACATAGGCGCTCCCCATTTAATTCTATAAATGACGAAAGATAAGTATATATATGGTACGCCAAATTCACAAAAATGAGCTAAACCTAGTTTCACAATTGATAAACTAGGTTTATCGACTGTAAACTATAGTTTACAAACCGTAAACTATAGTTAACGATTCGTTAAGTATAGTTTTCATCTGTAAAACTATATTTAACGGTTGTTTACTATAGTTTACGAATGCTAATCTAAGTTTATCCGTCTGTAATAAGCGTTAACAATAGATTTTGTTGATAAACATAGATTCACGTTTGTAAACTATAGTTTACAATCGTAAACTGTAGTTAAGAGTTGTTAATCATAGTTTCACAAATCGTGAAACTATATTTATCAGATCGTTAACTATAGTTAACGGTTTGTAAACTATAGTTTACAAATCGTGAAACTGTATTTATCAGATAATCTACGTTTTGCAATCGCAAATGATTGTTTTTGGTGTAAAGTATAGTTTACGGTTGTGAAACATAGATTATAGTGTTAACTATGGTTTACAGATGTAAAATATAGATTAACGTTGTTAACTATAGTTTACAGTCCGTAAACTATAGTTTACAACCGATAAACCTAGTTTATCGACTGTGAAACTATGTTTTGCTCATTTTTGTGAATTTGGCGTGCCATATATATAAGGTCTACCCCCTCTACACTATAAAATCTTATGGTATAGGGTATAGAAGGTTAGATCTATAAATACCTATCTTTCGACACTTACAGAATAACATGGGGAGCGCCTATGGTTCCTTATTGAAAATTGAAAGATTTCTGTTATCCAATTCACTTTCTTTATTTCACATTCGATATACTGTAATGTATGAGGTCATATCTACTTTTATAAGAATGTGTACTATTTTATGTTGTATCATAAATTCAGTATATACCAATATAAACATCAATTACTAATTTTTCAGTGACAGAGTCTCCATCTTACAAAGCTAAGTTAGAGATGGTTTACGCATTAGGGGATCTTCCTGCTTCCTCATGTTTACAGGGCTTCGACAACTCACTAGCCGCATATAACACAACTATAGCACAAAAAGTGGATATCAGATGTGATGGCTTTGGAACAGGAAAGTTTAAGATTAATAGTTTTACATCAACAACAAAAGCATTTCAGGTTTATATGTTGCTTTTCCTTTTCTGAACAGTGAGTTAAACACGGTTTAAAGAATCAATATGTGAAATGTTTATACTTTGGGAATGCTGTTTTTCGATACATTTAATATGCAATATCTTCTTATCCATTTTTTTAACATTTATTTTTCAACTTTTCCCGAGTGGTTCTAGAGAATTATAATCATGTGTTTTATCAGGTATTTTCCAAGCAATGTTGCAATCATTCAAACCCAAATAAACAACAGAAAATTATTCTTGTCGTAACGAACTTATAGAAATAAGTGACTTAATTAAAAATTTTATGGGATGTCTTGTGGTCGTCGAAAGTGATGTAATATTTAAAAAGAACTTATAACGTTAATTGATTGTAGATCACAACTGTCTTTAGTGGAGAATTTACTGGAACTGGTTCAGATGAGTCAAGATCCCTTTGTTTGCGAACACTGGTCGTTGTAGTAGGTAACGATCTCTCCAGTTTTCTGCATAATAATACTGTTGTTTGTGATGGAAGAGGACAGTCAAGTGTATCTGTTGTAAGCATCAGAGAGGTTGATTCTGGAAATGTGTGCTCTGACAACATGGTACTTATTAAACCTACAACATCAGGGAGCAGTGAACAATGTGGTTAGTGTCTGTCTTGATGCGATCGGTAGGAAGGGCTAGGGCCAGTCCTCCATGGCACCTGATCCTACCTCTGATTCTGATGTTTTGGAGGTCCCTGTGTGCTCTGCTCTTGATTTTCATTATTTGATTGGGCTTTTAAGCTTGGATTCTATTCACAGATTCTATATATTTCATTAATAATAATGTTCATTAATTTTAAGATTTTTTATATAGTAATCATAGAAGTATTATCCTTTATCTCAATGCAGTTATCTGTTATTTCGATGTATTTGAAGATGAAGTGGTTAACAGATGTGATTAGAATGAGTTGAGTTTAATTTAGACGTATGTTGCATTTTCACTAATGTCCTTTATTTATCTTAGTACTTTGTCCACCAGGGAGATATTTTAATGGAACTTACTGTGTAATGTGTGCTGATGGCCTGTATCAGGATTCGGTAGGCAAGGCATTTTGCAATACCTGTCCAACAAATACTGTATCAGGGAAAGATAAAACTGCATGCATAGGTAAGAGGTCTTACTGTAGAGATGTTTTCATAAGCCTCACGACAATACCTTATGGGCATTCAAAGAAAGAATACATGTATCAGTATAAATATTAATACACATGTATTCATTTTGTGATATGTATTTGATATATAATTTCCTTCAAATACTTATTACAAAGAATTTGAAACCTCTTCCAATTATAGATTTTGATACAGAACTCTTACAATTGCAATACTTGAACAATAAAGCCTCTTGTACAAACAATCGAAGAAATACTCAGTAAACGTGGGTCAGATATAGTAAAAAAACCTTAAGTTTGAACATACAAGAGGTAAATTATTAGCATGGCTATGTCATGTTGCAAATTTTGAATTTACCGGGTGGCAGTAAATACAAAATTTGCCACATGACATTTATACAGGCCTCTACCGATATTGTTTAGTTCTACTGGGATTATATTGCAAACCATGGTATTGGGACTTACAATGGTAGATTTTGAAATAAATATGCTATAATTCTATCAAAACATTTTCTCTTCCCCTGGAAAAAACTATATATCAATATTATTCTACGCTCAAATGATACACATGATCAAAAGAAAGAGTCCTCTTTTAAAGTTACAACCATTGTTGTATCTGGTTTCCATTATTATACTAGATTTTACTAGGTACATGTATTTAACTTGCTGGTAATTATAGATTTTACTAGTTATTTCACTTGTTGTTTATCATAGATTTTACTATGTATTTATAACTATTTAACATAGTGGTTATTTAAGGAATAACTGTCTAGTTAGGAGAGTATGCCAGGGCATCAACAATAGTGGGAAACATGGGATAATTTGCATAACGTGTTATGCTAAAATTATCCCATGTTTCCCACTATTGTTGATGTCCCTGGCATACTCTCCTAACTAGACAGTAAATCCCTTATATTTTCATTTCATTGTGAAATAAAATAGTAGATTAAGACTTTAAAAATGTAGACATATAGACTTAAATTTCACGAGGACTTCCAAACCAATTTCAATAGTCCTCGCCCAATGACGCCGAACACCTAGGCAGCCGCATGAGATTTACATGCATATTTTTCCTCCTTAGCGTCACACACAGAGACAGATGCGCACGAGATTTGCATGCATTTTAGGCCTCCTTAGCTCCTGACCTATCGACCTGCCTAATTTACATTCCGGCAGAATTATCAAGAAATAAACTCCGACAACTTTCAAAGAGTTATCGCAGAGAAAAAAAATTAGAAATGGAAATATTATAGATTATACTGTTTATTTAACTTAATGGTTATCATATATTTTATTATGTTTTTAACTTGGTGATTATTATAGAATTTGCTATGTGTTAAACTTGCTCTATCGTTTATTTTTGTTTTAGAAATATTAGCTTTTCAAATAAAAAGCGTAAATGATATAAAAAGACTTTCATTTCAGAAAAATATGACTACTACCGATGATCTTACGGTTGTGCTACAGACTGATGGTTGCATAAATATGTTAAATGATACAGTGTCGTCAGAAAAGTATTGAAAATTAGATTAAATTTCAGAATTTTCAAAAGTTCTTGGACCGAAACTAAATTAAGAATAAAAACCGGAATGTCTTTAGACTGGCTTTCTGATAAATGAGTTCGCCGATGAGACAATATTAATGGAATATCATGCGGACTTATATATGCAGGGTCTGCTGTCCAATCCTGTTATGTTTATTTAAGGAATGAAGCTGATTTCAACTTATATTATACGATATAACATAACTTGGGGCAGTTTACGCTTTATAAACCGCGAAGCGGTTTATAAAAAAGCGTAAACTGCCCCAAGTTTTGTTATATCGTATAATATAAGTTGAAATCAGCTTCATTCTTTATAATTTAATTTCAGTGCAGACAATGAGATAATTTTCTCCCCAGAATAAGGCTTCACAATGATTAAATTTTAAAAGTAACGTCAAGCGGAGTAATACGTTTTTTGACGTAACTCATTGTGACGTAGGCAAGTTATGTTATCCAAAATGGATAAAATCTTTTATCCAATCAAATGGCGTGTCACAAGTAGAATTAAATTATATATAATTAAATATTATTTTCTTGGCTTGGCGTCTTGGAAGTTGATGACTTCTGTTGCTTCAAACCTTAGATATTTCATACCAATTTCACACAAATTTCCGTTTACCAGGGGTGGGGTGGGGTGCGTTTTCCGAGGGCGGTCTAGGGTAACTTTTTTCTTGCTTTGGTATATAAATTTAATAACATTACAAATTCCCGACCCCCCCCCCCCCCCAGATCCGCGCATGAATGCCTTAGAATATATCTCCGATCATTAATTTTTTTTTATAAGATCTATGTCCACCTGGTTTCACTTCAAGTGATGGAATGACAGAATGTAAGCCATGTAGCAGAGATGAATACTGGGTAAATGCAACCAACTGTGAACGCTGTCCGGCTGATTTCTCGACATTTGGGAAAAATGGGATTTCCGATATAAGTGGGTGTGAAGGTATGTTATACATATTTCTTAAACAAGGTAAAGAAGGTTGAGTGGATTTTTCTTTTATCAATTTCACATAAATTTCATAAGAATTCTTTGCATGAGAAAGAAACGGAAAAACAACACGTGTGAAATTTATTTAAAAGGGAAATAAATGCCAGTTTGACATAGCATTTGCATGAATTTTACATGAAAGTTTTTCGAATAAATATCGTGTAAAGGAAACATTCTGTCTTAGCACACCCCCTCCCCTATTTTAACTCCAATCTTTAAAAGCCTTTAAAACTTTCCACTAAAAATTATCACAAGTCCTTTTGGCCCAAACCCACAAAGATCAAAGTTAAGGTCAGATATGAATATTCCATACATAAGTCATGAATTTCCTTTACTTTTTTAAAGGAATTTATCTTTTTAGTTTTTTTATTTCTCCGTCTGTAATTTTTTTTCCATTTCGTCCAAAATGAAAAATTTGGTAATGAATTCTGATATTTCTAAAAAAAAACAAAAAAAAAAAACTCTTATTGACTTAAGGTCAAGGTAAATCATTTTTTAGTCTTTTTATTTCTTCATCTGTAATTTTTCTCTTTTTCTTCCACCATCTTTTTTTTCAATAAAAGGGTTGGAAGCATACATTCTCTAGATTAGCTTGATATTGATAACTTCGATAGAAGTTTTGTCACACAAAGCTAGTTAATGCATTATTATACAGTACTTGTTCAGTACTAGTATTTTACTAGTCTATAAGGCAATCCTTAAAAAATGTTTGGTTGCTTTTTTCCGACCGACTTGCTAAAAATGTCAAACATCTTTTTTTTCTTTCTTTTAACATTTATTTTTATGCATTATGTAAAAAAAACTTAAAAAACAGTTAAAAAAATATTTCTCACCTACATAACGACCCTTTCTTCATCCTGATTCGGGAGAAAGCAATCAAACATTTATATTTGGAATCATGGATATTTTAACCAGAATGTTAATTATAAACTGTGTAATTATACAGCTCTTTGTTCCGCTGGAAGATATTCTAATAGAGGGTTTGAGCCATGTCAAGACTGCCCATTTCATCACTACAAAACTGTTCAAGGACAAGGAAATTGCACGCAATGTCCAAACGATTGGAAAACTCTATCAACCGGAAGTAAAAGATCAGCAGATTGTATCAATGTGGGTATGTAGGAGAAGAAAACATATATTGTGAGAGGTAATTCAATCCTCACAATTTTATGGTTCAAAGTAGGAAAACTGTATTTATATCCACTGAATATAGTTTAGATTATCTAATGATATCTAAAAATGTGTATATAGGTTGCCATATTTCTTAAGATGCAAGATATAATTAAACAGAAGTACAGCTGTATATGCCAACATTTAAAACAACTATTTAATCTGACCAAACTGTAAAGTAAAAATAGGTGATAACCGATTCACGTACATTACTCTGATGCTAAAAATTCTAAAATAATATTTCCGTACAGATATCAAATATATTTAAATATTGTGATGAACAGGTCAAACATTTTACATCAGAATTACAGTAAGAAAAATACTGAATGAAGATACATGAGAAGGACTTATTGAACTTAGCAAATTGTTTTTAAGATATTGAATAATTGATTTAATAAAGAAATTAATTGATTTTGAGCTTTTCTGATTTCCAATCGTCCGTCCGTCCGTCTGTTAACTTTTCACATTTTCAACTTCTTTTCAAGAACCACAGGGCCAGTTTCAACCAAACATGGTACTAAGCATCCTTGGGTAAAAGGAAATTTAAATTGTTACAATAAACGGCCAAGTCCCCGTTCCAAGGGGAGATAATCAAGAAAATACTAAAATAGGGTGGATTATTAAAAATATTCTTTCCAAGAACCACTGGGCCAGAAAAGCTGAAACTTATGTAGAAACATCGTGGTATAGTGTAGAATCTAAATTGAACGAATCATGACCCCCGAGGGTAGGGCAGGGCCACGATAGGGAATCCAAATTTAACATTGAAGTATATAGGAAGAAAACTTGGAAAATCTTTTTCTCAAGAACCACCGGGTCAAAAAGCTGAAACTTATGTGAAAGCATCGTTGGCTAGTGTAGAATATAAATTGTTCATGACCCCCGGGGGTAGGGCGGGACCACAATAGGGAATCCAAGTTTTACAGAAAAATAAATAGGAAAAACTGTGAAAATTGAAGCATCTAAGGGTAGTGTTGAATCCAAATTGTTCGAATCATGACCCCAGGGGTAGGGTGGGGCCACAATACGGAATATGTTTTACATTGAAGTTTATAGGAAAAAACTTTAAAAATCTTCTTTTTAAGAATCACAGGGCCAGAAGAAGCTGACACTTATGTGGAAGCAGCCTTAGTTAGTATAGAATCTAAATTCATCAAATCATGACCCCCCAGGGTAGGGCGGTGTCACAAAAGGGAATCCGAGTTTTAGATAGAATTATATAGGAAACTGAAACTTATGTGGAAGCATCCTAGAATAATGTAGAATCTGAATTGTTCGAAACTTGACCCTTTGGCATTGGTCAAGATAGGTATTACAAAGGGGGGAATCTGTTAAAGAAAAGAATGGCCAAAGTTACTCAGATGAGTGATGTGGCTCATGGCCCTCTTGTTATAATCTTTTACTTAACAATAATTTGTATTTCACCAATTAAAAAGTATGTGTCCAAAAGATATTTCTACTACGTATAAATATAATATAATTGACATATTTTGCGAAAACCTTTGACATCGCAGGAAGGGTGGAAACACCTTAAAAAGAGTCATCTTGATATCTTCATCTCCATGATTTATCTATTGAATACGAAAAACATGGGCTGGAAACAATAATGTTTCATTTTAGGAAACTCCAGTGTTTATATTGTATACAAAAGCATTTTTTGTAAATAGGATCACGTAAAATCAGGAAACGTACTTTTTCAAACGTTTTTTAATTTTGAAAATGTTCATCGAAAGGTTTGTCCCTTTCGTGTTCTGTTGAAGAATATTCAACTCAGGATTATATGATAAGGTATAATAAAAAATTGGTTATATAAAAAAATATTCATAGAGACCTGTCACCATAATTCGTTGATAGTCAGGGTCAATGAGCAGTCAGGGATCTTTATTCTGCCAAAACCGACTATGATATGGGAAATCATTTTCTAAGGCCTCATTTGGAAGATCCGTAACGTTCATTTCAAAGTGCCGATCGCTTACCGAATGGACAGTATAGCTACAATGTTCCTATTTTTCATAGACTTAGGTAAGTCGCAGCCAGAATTTGAAACCACCATCTTTCAAGCTGTCTACCGTCTAAGCTTATATGACGGTTTTTTTTTTGAAAAAATAGGAAATTTATTTATTAGTATTTTTTAAATCATTGATTATATACTTTTAAAATGTGACTTCCTGAATGTAAATATAAGAAGAATATAAGAAACACTAGTAGCTTTGTCTATTAATAACATATCTGGTGTGAAGACAGATTAGTGTATTTACTGTATAAGTTATATTTTTATTATCTTTTATACTCAATACATGCAAAAATGATTTTTTAAAGTCTTTGTTATCAAGAAAATTCTGAATTTCAAACTGAAATTTTGTTAAATATAACTGCCCTTCTTTACGTCAGGTCGGTGAAAAAGTTTTTACACTGTTTCATTACATTTCAACTAAACCACTGAAAATTATATTTCAGATTTTCTTAACCGGGACCTATTATGTTCTTCGGATGTTACGATATCAATAAACAGCAAAGAAGACACCAAAGTTGATCTACATTATTACTATTTCAGTGCTCCATACAATATAACATATAATCCTGGTCGTTATATATTCGTTAATACTTCAACACTTGGTAAACCACAACGGGTTACTGGATCATTTGAAAATAAGTTGGGGATGAAAGAAACTTGCACATTTCTTATCTACACCAAAGGTATAATAATATTTCAATTTAAAAAGGCTTCATCTTCTTTAACCTGCGGTTTTTTGCACTAGATTAAGAAATGTTAGGTCCCCGTAATCGAACATAAATGAAAAAATAGTTTTGAGTATTATATCCATCTTTCCGTTTGGCTTCCTGTACTATATGATTGTCAATTTTTTGTCTGTTTGTCCGCCCAAACTTTAACATTGTCTATAACTTTTGAATGTTTGGCACTGGGACGTTAATATTTTTACACTTGAATTATTTTGTTTCGAGACCTTTTTCTCTGGGTACCAATGGTTTGACCTCTTCACCATTACCTTAGAATTTGTCATATTTCTTTTGATTCACCAAATTTTTACCTTGAGCATATCATTTGAACAATAAGTGATATTAATTTTAGTCATATGTAATATTTGACAGACCTTTCCATTGGTACTTGACCTTGAGGTTAATGTTAGACCCATTCGTGTAAAACTTTAACACTGCTCACAACTTTTGAACATTTGTTGCTAGATCTGTCATATTTCATACATGCTCCTTGTTTAAAGCCGTCTTTTTTGTACCAAAATCTACTCTTGACGTTGGAGTTTGACCTAAATTTGAAATTCTTTAACCATGATACAATGTAATGCGCTGCCTTACAGATGCATCAATGAATCACAAATACATTCTTTTTTAAAAGTTATCTCAGCCACCTTTAATTGAAGATGGTCATATCGAATGTGATGAAATCATTGTTAACAATAAATAACTCCAAATTGTCAGTATTATTCTAAGGAAATTGAGTTTAGCTGGTTAAGTCTTTTAAAACTAACCGAAGCTTCATTTGGTGAAAAACTGAAGTAGAGTTACCTACTTCTAATTCACGAAAAAGTAAGACACACGTATCTTCTCACACCTCCATAGGGGTCACCCGATTAAAATTAGATTAGTTTGATGAGTAAATAACGCATTACTTTGTATCACTTTTTTTCTAACTGATAGATTAAATATTAAAAAATTCTTTTTAACATTTTCAGCTGTAATTTGTTTTATTGATACTTTGAAACCGGTCCAGAACGCTAAAAAAACATGTTCTAGTTTTGGTGGAATCACAACATGCACATACACTTGTAAAAGTGGATATATTTATTATGATGGGTCCTCCTCAAAGGCATACACATGTTCATTAATGAATGACTGGTCAGCTTCAATGTATCCGGAGGACTGTCTTTGTAAGTGATACAGTGAAGTCCGAATTTTACAAGTAATTTTAGTTCATGTATACAATACCTCACATTTTTCGTTTGGAATCATACTTATGATTGTTCAGGTACCAATACCATATATTCAAAATCATCCTTCCTCAAATAAGTTGAAAGGAGAAAACATCTACAGGGAAGCTCTCCCTATATATTTTTTTAATTTTAGTGCGTGTTTTCCTTTGTGATCCTAATTTTCGATTGTCTTTATATAGCCAATCTAGTTTATTGAGAAGTTTGGAAAACTCATATTCTTATTTTCTTATAATATTGAATTTAAAGTTTATATCCCTTAAATATGCAATGCATTTTCGCCTTTATATCAAACCTTTCCATTTGAGTATATATATTTTCTGGGTATTTTAAAAGATTTTATATATTTTGTTGTTTTTAAAAGATATTGTTACTTTGTTTGTTGATTTTGATTAAAATTTGCGAAAAATATACTTACATATATAAATATATTTTCCGTTTAAAAGTTGCAGACATATCATTTTTTATTCTTTAGTGAAAAAATCGCCATCCTACAAAGCTAAGTTAGAGGTAGTTTACGGATTAGGGGATCATCCTGCTTCCCAATGTTTACAAGGCTTCGACAACTCACTAGCCGTATATAACACAACTATAGCACAAAAAGTGGATACCAGATGTGATGGCTTTGGAGCAGGAAAGTTTAAGATTAATAGTTTTACATCAACATCAAAAGCATATCAGGTTTATATGTTGCTTTTCCTTTTTTAAACAATAAGTTAAACCTGAGTTAAAGATTCTTTATGAATTGCTTGAAGTTGATTTGACAAGTTAAAGAGGTTTTTTGATGTTTTATATATTTAATCTGCAATGCCTTCCTTTCCTTTTTTACTTTTATTTTTCAACTCCTTCTGAAAGGTTCTTGAGAGCGAAAATCATGTGTTTTATCTTCAGAATAATCTATTCATAAATAAGCAATTAAAAAATAGCACAATGATATGTAAATTAATTGTTCCCCCCCCCAAATGTGGTTACATATAACCAAATGTCACTGAATATTTATTTTTTAAAGCAATATTACAATCATTCATACCCGAATTAACAATACAAGTTAATGAGCTAATAAAAAATAAGTGTCTTAATCTAGAAAAACATCTAGGTTTCATTTAAAAAGAAAAGGGAGTCAGTGTTAAGTGTAAGTCAGTACTAAGAATACCAAAAATGAAGAAGCATTAAGAAAAATTATATTAAAAATTTCATCAAATGCTTATAATATGTTTATTGAAATGCAAGCATACCTATTGATCTCTTATACCCCTACTGAATCTAAGACGATGCTATAAGAATGTACATGATTAGACAATTTTTGGATGTCTTGTGATCGTTGTAAATGATGTTGTAGGTAAAAAGAATTTATAACTTTAATTTATTGCAGATCACAACTGTCTTTAGTGGAGAATTTACCGCAAGTGGTTCTGATGGTGCGAGATCTACATGTTTAGGATCACTGGTCATTGTAGTAAATAACAATCCCTCTTATTTCCTGCATAATAATACTGTTGTTTGTGATGGAGGAACACAGTCAAGTGTATCTATTAAAAGCATAAGAGAGATTGATTCTGGAAACGAGTGCTCTGACAACATGGTACTTATTAAACCTACAACATCAGGGAGCAGTGAACAATGTGGTTAGTTTCTGTTTTGATGCGATCGGTAGGAAGGGCTAGGATGATTACTCCTCCATGGCACATAATCTGAATCTAATTTTTGGGTGCCTTTTTGCTCTGATCCTGATTTTCATCATACTTGAATGCACTTGTGAGCTTGGATGCTATTTGCAAATTCCATATATTTCATTAACAATTATTATCACTCTTAAATTTTTTTGTGTGTAATATTCACAGAACTATAATCCTTTATCTTAATGCAGATGACTGTAAATGAAGTAGTTATTGAGTAGCATATGTGAATACCGGGTATAAGGAAAGAGTAAAAATATGTTATATATGTTTTTCACTTTTTAAAATGTCCTTAAAATCCTTTTCTAGTACACTGTCCACCAGGGATGTATTTTAATGGCACAAACTGTGTATTGTGTGCAGATGACCGCTATCAGGATTCAGAAGGCCAAACTTTTTGCAAAACCTGTCCAACCAATACTGTATCAAGGAATGATAAATCTGCATGTATAGGTAAGATATATCAGAAAAAAAATTAAGTTCAATGCAGGCTGTAGGGATGTTTTCAAAGGCCTCAATCATGACAATAATATAGGGAAAGTCAAAGAATGACTACTGTAAAATCACATATTTTCGTGGGGTCAAATTTTCGTGGTTTGAGGAAAATCTTTTGGTTCGTGGGGATTTGATTTCGTGGATCAAGAATTAATGAGTACTTATGTATGTTACATTTTATATTCCGTGGTGGACATGAATTCGTGGGTCTCGTCAGTATCTGTATAAGATATTAAAAATTCAATTTGTGATACATTTTTGCAATATAATTGCTTTAAAATACGTATGAAAAGAGTTTGAAACGTCTTCCAACCTTAATTTTTGATACAAAACTCTTTAACAGTTTGAAAAAACTTAAAAAATTACTTAGTGTATGGATATATTTTACTAACACTTTGTATTTAATTTGCTGGTTATTATAGATTTTAATACGTTTTTAACTTGTTGGTTATAAAATGTTTTACTATGTTAATTTAATTTACTGGTTAATATAGAATTTACTATGTATTTACCTTGCCAGGTTTTTTGTATAATATCTTGTGCTCTTTATCATGAAAACCAAATCTACAATAGAAATATTAATTCACGTCTATTCATATTTTTGTAATATAGTCCACGGAATAAGCTGCCATATATCAAATAGATATTTTAATTCTTTTTCTTCTCATCAATTCCTTAGAATATATCTTCAATCATTATTATTTTTTAAAGATTTATGTCCACCTGGTTTCACTTCAAGTGATGGAATGACACAATGTAAGCCATGTGGTACAGATGAATACTGGGTGAATGCAACCAACTGTGAAAGTTGTCCAACTGGTTTTAAGACAAATTTACAAAATGGCGTTCCTGATATCAGTGGATGTAAAGGTCTGTTTTTATTTGAAACTGATAATGTAAATAACAGATTATGTAAATCAAAATAAATTTTTACCTTTTGTAAATCAGATTAAATTTGTACCTTGACAAGAAGCTTTTAATATTAAAAATATAAAAGGATTATGATAACATTACACAAAATATTTATGTATAAAAGTGATCAATAATAAAAATAATTCGCATTCAATTCAATAATTTGTTATTCAAACATAAAGAAGTGTATGCTTGAAAATAAGCTCATTTATAATGCAATATACCGTCGCAAATGTTCAGTCAGTAGAACACTCGTTCCTAAATTGGAAGATTATGGGTTCGAACCCACAGTCTATAAAAATGTTAGCGACTGTTTCTTTGCTAAGCGCTAAGCTCTTTAAAGTTAAAGTTGTGGATCCTTCGGATGAGATCTCAAAACGCTGCCCCCTCCCCTCACAGAAGGTGATGGATCGTTGTAGATCCCTCATCGCTCAATGGCATTGAGTGCCTAGTAGAGGTCTATATTCAAGTCCTTTATCGGGAATGATGACATCATGATACCAGTGAAAAATTCTCAAATGGAACGTAAAACAACATATAATAATTCAATAATTATATGACAAAGTTTACCTTCTATTACTTCAAAATCAAATAAATATAATGCTATTGAACAATTTAAAAAAAATCTTCGAAGAAAATACAAACAAAAGGTCTGCAATTATTAAACTTAAATTACTCAAATCCAGGCTGAAGTTTGAAGAGGGATTCTTGTCTGGTTTCTGACTGAAATATTCGACGTATATTTGCTTATGTGTATTATAAATTAATATGTAAAAGATTGACAAGATCATATTTTTCTTTACTTTTATTTATTCTACAATTTGAGACAGAAATAGTAAATTGAGTTTGAAATCAGGCAAGGACTATTTAATAATTTTCGCGGAATGACAGTGTATAAAAACAACTCTTTTTCTGCTTCTCAAAATGACTATTGTGAACAATGAATTTAGTTTCAAATTTTAAAAAATCAACGACCTTAAGAAATTCCTTAATATAACTCAAATTATTAGTTAAGGATTAAAGTTTTAAAAATATATGAAATAAATATGATTCAAAAAAGAATTACAATCCTGTTAGCTTTTGAAAGCAACCTAGGACAGAGTAGAGACTTAGTACTTTCATTTCCTATTTAAGTTTTTCTCCTTAAACACCAGGTCCTGGTACACAGACTTTATGACAATGTTCTTGAATTCTCATGTAAACAGATATATTTGATTACTTTCAGAGAAGAAAAATAATAAGAGGACACCCTCTGATCTTAGAAAATGTCTTGTATTTCTCAGAAACAGTTCTATAATATATTAGTTGCATATTTTATATCAGAGATTGCGCTTTATATTAAATATTAGAATTTAGCTTTTAAAAAAAGAGGTTGGTTTTTTTTAGACTTTTTTCAGAATATGAGGAAATCGACGCATTTCGTGACATCACAATGCATTGACTAGCCAGAAAAATAAGTCACTTTTGGTAGACATGCAACCACTACAGGCCTAAATGACATTCAAAGCATTGTTAACTAAAGTTATATGTTTATTTTAATGAGGAATGGTCCCATTAAAATTGCATAAGTAGAATCTCTGTGTTCAAGTTGCTAAATGCAACTTACTTGCTAATACTTTTCATAAAAGAAATGTTTTAAATGTGCTTCTTATTATTATATTATTTCGTGTGAGAAAAAAACATGCTTCAATTGTTTATAAAAAGATTTGTGGATTTTCATTTTCTTTAGATTGTTCGCAAAATTTTTAACTTCACATTTACACAAAGATTCACAACCTAATAAACGCATTATCCTTCTCGTCGTTAAGAAATAAGAAATACATTACTTAAACATTTTCTGTTATAAAAACCTTTAAGTAAGATTTTTTTGTAAGTAAGATTTGTATTGTGCAAACCATTCAGTAAAGTACTATTTTCATTGCTTGTGAATATGCTGCAATCGAACATGTATATTGGTTTAAGTAAGACCAAAATAAAAAATTACCTTTGTTTCCCCTAACGCGACCGACCCAATTAAATCGCACCGACTATGAAGATTTTTTAAATAAGATGATTCAAATATTTTTTATTGTTATCCAAGTTATATAAAATACAATTTCATTAAAATCAGTTTTTATCAGAACGGCCGACATTGTTCTACTGTGATTTTCAAGCATTTGTTGGAAACAAAATGACGTCCAGATGTGATTACAGGGCATTATCTCTTCATAAAACAATGGCGACGTCTCAATCTTATGCTTTTAGCTAATTACAATTCTTCACTCTTGAAACGATTCGATAATAAAGTATACCATGACTAATTAGGAGTTTTTCGGAGGTGTCTTGTCTTGGCGTCTCCACGTGAGTGAATAAATTTTTGAAATGGACGTTAAACAACAAACAAACAAACCTGTATTTGAATTTAAGGTACGTGATACATGGTAAGATTCACTTTTTGAGTAGACGAGGGGCCCACCTAGTGAACACATCGTTCAATTTCCCTACATTTTATTTAATTTGAGTTTTGGTCTAATAACCAGTATGTTTACTATATGCCATTATGGAACCATAGGAGTTGTTGTAAATATGTCAGACTCCGCATATTCACCCTGATAAATATAATTCAGATGTCTTTTCTTCATGCCTTTATTTAGTGATTAAACTTCGTGATTATGACATTGTACATTTCATTTTTATCATATGTAGATTCGGTTTGGTTCAATTAAATATTGTTAACTTACTCTTTCCCAATAGTTTTGAGATCATGATTGCAGCTTCCTGAGACGTCTAGTGTATTTTTCTTTAATTAGGCCCTTGAAGATTTTTTTTTTTTTTTTGTGCTTTTAATCCCTTCGAGATTTGTTAGGACGACATTTAAACATTTCCCCATTGCTGAAAATTTAGACGTACTCAGCAGCTTTTTTTTTGCCATTTAGTAGTGGGGATCTTTTTTGAGCCAGCATCTTCTGCGACACTGGACATAAGTTTTATGGTCCCAACGTTACTCATTGGGATTTGAACCTGCGATTTAAAATTAGCCACTTACTTCTTAAAGCAAAATGCTCCAGAAACACTGCAAATCTCATGACCCTAGAAAATACATTGATCGTCTATAAGCTCTGAAGGCTGACGGAAGGTTTGATAAAATATATTCTTATGTCTGTTCTTTGCGTATCTGAGAATCTTGTCTATTATATTCATTTTATATAAATTTAATGGCGTGAGATATTTCACAAGTTCAACAAAATAACAGTTGTTAATTAATTAATCCTGAATTTTGCTTTTTAAACGGCATATGTACGATACTTAGCATTTTGTTCACAAATCGCTTTTTTGTACTTTTCTTATTTATAAAGGTAATTTTCCATTAAATTTTAGAATGTATTTTCAAAGCTGCTGTCAGGAAATAAAATTGTTTACCTACCTACCAATCAACTTGAGAATGTGGGGTCGGGTTAGGGGAAACAAAGATATTTTTAATTCCGGCCTAATTACGTATTAATAGATATTATTATCATATAAAGGGAACTTATGTTTAAGCTAACGTTTTACTTCAACAGCTCCATGTTCAGCAGGGAAGTATTCTTTTACTGGATATGAGCCGTGTCAGGACTGTCCCTTTCACCATTACAAAGCTACCGAGGGACCAGGGAACTGTACAGAATGTCCACAGAATCAGGGGACTCTGACCACGGGAAGTAACAGTTCTACTGATTGTGTCAGTGTTGGTATGTCTAAACACTAAGGAGAAATATACTGTGCATATCTCCGTTTGATAAATGATTCTGAAACTTTTACGTGGACTTAGATAACCAATATTGACCATTTGTGTGTATGTTTGAACAGTTTTGTCCACATCTACTTTGTACGTCTGAAGTACTGTGGTAAAACAATTTCATGGGTCTTGTTCCCCCTCCCTGCTCCTCGGAAGACAAAATCATAAAAGATATATCAAGAGTCATGAACTGTCATACTCACTCCTGAAAACATAGACCATAACTGTTTGCAAAAGTTAAAATAAGGGAGCTTTGAAATTAAAAATTATCCAGGCCATGAGTCAGGACTGGGACTATGCTATACGAGGGTTGTCCCATAAAATCGTGGACAAAGCGCTTTTCTCGAAAAGTAATGGGCGCACTAAGCTGAATTTTTCAGTAAATGTTTATTCATCATATTTAAGTGTATCATAATGTTTTTGATGATATATATGCAAAAATAAAAATTTTATTCTGCTTGAATATGCACAGGGTACGGTCCTACGGCGCACGATAAAAATCACAAGGTTATATAAGAGAATATACAAGTATTAATTCGTAATAAAAGTTTTCAATACTCAAGATTAGGATGAAAATTGTCCTAATTAGATTCCTTAATCAATTCTGTCGTCCTTTTGAAAATTTCAAGGCATTTGGTTAATTTTTGGCAGTTGTCTGAGCATTCGAAATGGGAAAGTGGTAAACACAACATACGAAAAATGGCGACGTTTGATGACGTTACGGCGCACCGGAGAACAGTTCAGATAGATTAGGATGTTGTAATGGTACCTTAAGAGACTTTAAATGAAAACAGAAGAAAGAAAATATGAAAAATATCACCATATCTTTAAAATATAAATGAAATGGGAGTTTTCTTAGCGAAGTGTTTTTGATCCATTCCCCGGGTAGTACAAAACATACGGACAGACTGCCATTGTAGTAGCAAAAGACGCGGTCACTGTCTCACGTCGATATGAGATTTTCTGTTAGTTGAATGATGGTGAGAATACTGTCCGTAAGTTGCTAATAAATCATCAGAAGATCTCATGAGTGTGCCACATTGGTTCCTTAACTGGTTATAAACACTCACGTCGGTAAAATCAGTAAAATTTCTAAATTTAAGTGAGGCTTATCCAACTTTATTTTTAGAAAACATTTAACGTGACGCTGTTTTAGACAATTTGACGTTATAATCCGTGCGCCGTAGGGCGATACAGTATATAACATAAAATATCAAAATTTGTTTATTTATGCATATATCTATTTGAAATTTGCAATATATATTCATATTATATGTACTAAAGAGTAGTGAAAATTTCAAAACGCAATGATGATTATTTTTCAAACCGGACAACTTGTCCACGATTTTACGGGACAACCCTCGTACAAACATCATTGACAAATGTTGAAAAATTGATATACTAGTATTTCAAATGTTTATTTCTTTATTGCTTAACCTCAAAAAGTGTACGCATAACTAGAATAAGCACTAAGTTGGTGTAAGTTTGATTCTTTTAAATTTCAGATTTTTGTGTAGTTGGCACATATTCTACCAGTGGAATGCCCCCTTGCAATCTATGTCCAAGAAACACTTACTGGGTTAACAACATGTACTGCCATGCTTGTCCTAGTGGAGGGAAGACAGCCAGTGCTGGTTCACCTAATAACGGGAGTTGTATCGGTAAGTCATTCATTATTGAGATAAAGTTGGTGGTGGTAAAATATTGTAAAGTTGAATTTGCGGGATTAATTTTTTTTCGAATAATACTTATTTCAAAGAAATTATACTCTTTTTGTCCTATGAATTCTAAAAATCCATGAAAATCTCTCCCAGAAAACTAAATTCAACAATATAAATACATGTATCTTAACTTTAATAATATTAGAATTGTGTTGTATCGTTCTAGCTAAATGCAGTACGGGTACATATTCCTTTGATGGATTTGCTCCCTGTAGTATATGTCCACTGAATCACTACCAAGATCAGACTGGGGCTACATCCTGTATAAGATGTCCTGATGAAAAATACACAGTATCTGTAGGAAGCTCAAGCCTTTCAAATTGTACAGATATAATAGGTGGACAATACTTTTAAAAATCTTTTTTTTTTCAAAATTTTCTGTCACCGAAATATTTTAAATAAACTTATTTTTATCATTGAAGAAAATTAAATATCATTCGATGTTTTTTGAAAACCATTACAGCTCTATGTCCAGCAGGGAAGTATTCTTTTACTGGATATGAGCCGTGTCAGGTCTGTCCTCTACATCACTACAAAGCTACTGAGGGATCAGGAAATTGTACAGAGTGTCCACAGAATCAGGGGACTCTGACCACTGGAAGTAACAGCTCTACTAACTGTGTCAGTGTTGGTATGTCTTAATAATAATGGGATAGCATTTTGTATATATTTGAAAAATGGTTAGGATCGTATGAAAAATTATTAAAATCACATTTCCACGAAGCCTTTTAACCTCAAACAAACGCTTTTCTCTTCTCATTGTTGAAAAAATACCCTACTATACATTTTGTCATAAGAACTTTTCAGTAAGATATGTTTGTTAGTTGTAAAGCACTAATTTTCTTTTCTTAGGAATATGCTACAATCGAACTTGTAATTATTGGTTTTAGTAATCACAGATTAATGAATATGATGGTCATATACATGTAACCTTATAAGTTCCTTATATTAATCTCACCTTTTATTTTTACAGCTTCATGTCCCGCAGGGAAGTATTCTCTTACTGGATATGAGCCATGTCAGGACTGTCCCTTTCACCATTACAAAGCTACTGAGGGACCAGGGAACTGTACAGAATGTCCACAGAACCAGGGGACTCTGACCACGGGAAGTAAAAGATCTACTGATTGTGTCAGTGTTGGTATGTTAAGATGCTAGAAAAGATGGATTTTTATTCAAATAATTGAAAACGCTTTTTTCTCATCCAGGCTGAGAAATGGTTCAATCTTCCTTTTGCAGATTTATAAGCCTTACAATCAAGCTTGCACTATTTTCTTATTATGTGATGTCTATACTTTTCTTTTAAAATTCAACAGAAGTAATTTTAGTATGTAATTTCGTCAATTAATTAGTGTTGTGTGTCAAACATATATGCTTGTTCCTTTGATTTACTCCTTCTAGAAACTTACAACACATCTCCCTTTCCTGGCACAACAAAGGAAGAAGATACATCAACTTCCGGTGAAAAGACCCTAGATGACTTATCAGGAAAGGACAACACAGATGATAATTACTTTAATTATTTCATTATCATCTCAATACTTAGTGTTGTTCTCTTTGTCTTCTTGCTGGTTGTAGTTGCACTTCTGTTGAGAAGAAAATTTCGAAAGAAAGATTCAGAGAATTCAAAGTAAGTACTGAATTTTTATTCTTATATTTATACGTCTAGTCTTGTCAAATTAATCAGTACCTTAAACCAATAATAAAAGAAATCATGATTGGGTCTATTTACGACCCATTCAGACAGAATATATTATGTAGTACAGATAACTTTAGGATAATTTGATTTTGCCTTTTTTTTAAACAAAGGAAAACATAGGAAATCAAATGCAATCTTTCATTTTTAGAAGAATATTTCACAAAGTTATAACTTTGTAATATAACTCATCTTACATAGTACTATGTTAAAAAGTATGACGTCATCTTCTGACTCCTTTATTGTAATGATTAATTATTTTTGTAAAGAAATATTAAAGTATAACAAAATTGAACGCTAATTTTCACTTGATAAACTACCTTACAAACGGTTTTAATATATGTTTATCTAATACAGGTGTAATAATTGTTTAACATTATATTATATGGAATATTATATTCAAATGTTTATTGTCCTATATTCCAACCTCTTTTTTCATAAAGGTTCTAACTTAAAATCTTTTAAAAAAATAGAAGCATTTCCAAAAAAAAAAAAATAATAATAATAATAAACAAAAGAAAACAAAATAATAATAAATAAATAAATGAAAAGAATTTCAGGAAAATTGAGACACTGGTTGTGTTCTACCTGAAATCAGTCAGACTTTTTAGAAGTTGCATAATTTTGATTTTAATAATAAAAAAATTAATATTAATTTATATAGTATATTTCCCAACAAAAATACTGATTAAAAAGATATACAAAAAACTGTGAAAATTCTATTTATGCGTTTGAAATACCATAGATAATTATAAATCAATCATTTATTATAGCTACACCAACCCAAGCTTGGATAATCAAGAATCTCAAACACATTCTTACTCTGGATTGCATGACTATTCTGAGCCTGAGGAGAGTGGAGGTTACATGGAACTAGACACTATTCAAAGAGAGGCTCCAAAAGGAGTCCCAAGCATTTATTATAACCGTGATGTTATAAACACAGGGGATAACGTTGCTAATGTTAAACATGAATACACATATATAGTAACAAACTGAATTAAACTATGAAAATTTAAATAAAATTAATAATAAACTTTAATTATTTTTCATTGTTTTATTGAAGCATTAAGATAAAGAATTCAATCCTCACTTTCTATTAATTCAACTATTATCATTTATTACATGTATGATAATAGACTTTATTTTTTTTCATTGTTTTATTGAAGCATCTTAATAAAGAATTCTCACTTTCTATTAATCTAACTGTATCCATGTACATTTGAATGAAACATAAGTCTCAGTAAATGGAGAAATTTGTCAAATTAAGTGTTTGGGTAATTTATGTTGCATTGAAATATATGAACGTGGAATATATGAAAAAGGTGTTATTTATAGACATAGGATATATATTTTTTTTTTTAGTAAGATACCGAATAATATATTATTTCAATAGTGCATGGGACGGGAATTTTGAATACAATGTAATATTTTATATGTGGGAAGCAGGGTATTAATTCTGTTTGTTAAATTTCCTTTGCCATAACTTTTGAAAATTTTTGCCACATTATATTTATTGTGATAAGAACTTTCAATTGGTAAAAATATTTTGAGATACCTAATATTAGGCAGTGAATATTTAAATTTATTAAGACCTTAAGAATTGTGCAACTGATAATTAAATAAATGAGTACAAAAAATAAAGAACTTTAATTAGGGATTAATTTTAGTTAGTCATTTTAACCTTGCATCATGAAAAAAGAATTGATTTAAAAATAAGGGAAAGAAATGCGTCCGTTCAATATTTTCAAAATGTGGAATTTTCACTTTACGAAAAAAAAAACACCTGTGAAATTATCAATTTATTTTAAAAAATTAAAGCAAAGAAATTAAAGCAATCATATTAAAGACAATATATGATGGATAAAAATTAAAGCAATTAACTGTACATGTATTTGAAAATGTTTTAAAAATTAGATTTTTCACACTATCCACGTGCGATTTTTAAATTGCACGTAGACAGGCCTGTGAAATAAGCATTTAAGTTAGAGTTATGTTCAATTTTATCAAGGTCTGAATAATCCTTCTATCGATAATTATAAGAGGCAAGATATTTTGCAATTTAATTCCCTTCAGACGGAATAATATGAAATTAAATAAAGATTGTTGCAAAATGTTAACTATATTCGACTTGAGCGTTAAAGCGTTAGTTCCATAATTATGAATTTTGCATTTGTAATAAATGATCTCAAATTATTTTACAAAATGTCATTTCGACAAATATGTTTAGCTTATAAGATAATTTTCCCTTTCTTTAAAATAAGCCCTGTTCTTGTTAAGTTGATTTCCACGTCGTTTTATATACATAATTTAGCAAATATTTGAGCTTAAGCCTCAGTATTAAAATGAGTCCTCTTGATCTTAACATTTTTCCTAACATATACATTTATTTCGGAAAAAACATCGAGGTTTCAAATAATTTGCTTGTATTGTACGTATTCTGAAAGTTTCAAAGAACTGAAAAAAGTATTTTTGCTATAGCTGCATTTCAAATTTAGTCATAGGAATACTAAATAAATTGCTACAAAAATGCTGAGATATAATGACAGACATGGTGTACCATAGAATAGTGTTAATAACTTTTATCTAAAGAAAATGTCGGTGGAGGTGGTGGTCAAGAATAGCTGCCAGTCTATTGGGGAGGGACCACACTGGGATGACAAGACCAACACGCTTATATACGTGGACATCCTCACTAATGATATTCATCGATGGAATGCAGAAACAGGAACTGATGAAAAAATACATCTAGGTAAACATTTTTAAAACTAATAATTAACTTATACTGCAGATGGAGAGAAACATAAAAAAGATATGATGTGTGTTGAATGAGTTATTTAAAATGCATTTGAACTACTAGAATTAAATTGAAAGTACGGTATGCAAGACGGAAGAATAAAACTATTGCAAGAAAATACATTGCCTAACTTAAGAGAGGCTATTTCCCTTATCAGTCCGATAACAGTTGTTTACTGTCCGTATACCCACTCCACATGATATCCTTTCGGACTTCAATTTAAATGGTGTCAGAGTAAAGTAGTACGAATATTTTGTAGTAACTAGTAAGCAATTACAGGAATATACGTTCGATTCATGTGGAGTCAAAATTGAAACTCAGTGGAGTGATATTTCAATAAATGTAAACTAAGTTCTAAATACCTAATAGGAATATTCAAATAAAGCAGTTATATCATTGTGATATTAAGTTTCGTCAACTGCTGTATTACTGAGAGAAATAAATAAAACAACATGCAAATAGTAAAAAATATTATTAAATAGTATCGGGGCATCCGTCAGTCACTACGTTTGTCGGCCCGTCTGTCTGTTAGACCTGTAGTTCCATTCCTATCTACACCTGTTCATATACTAATGAATCTTTATAGAATCTTGATTACATACTTCGTTTTATATGCACCTGCTATTTGGTTCAGATAATTATTTGGGTGTCTCACAGGAAAACGAAGGACTTTGCTATTCATTCTATGATATTGGGGGTACCCAGTGCTCATCCGCAAATCCTCTGATACCACTAGATGAATTAAATGAGACCTCATAGAATCTTTGTTACACAGTGCCATTGTCCACCTCCTGTTTCAGGTTTTGATCGAACACATATTTGGGTTTTCCATAGCAAAACATTCTTTAATTTACACAGAGGGTGCAAATTTCTTAAAAGCAAATCATATATCACTGGTTGATATTTCGTGGCACTTTCACAGAATGTTTATAACATAAAATAGTGCAATGGAAAACCTCCTAATTTTACGTTTTGATTCATACAAATTTTGGGTTTTCCTTTTATAGCAAAACGTCGACTTTGCAGGGCCATTCTTTAATATTGGAAGGACCTCTTTTCTACATTACTAAACAAAATGTCATGACACTTTCACAGAATGATTACATGTATTACGAACGAATGCCATAATATAATTTTTATTTTACATTTTGATAAAACTTTTATATGAGGTTTTCCCTGCAGCTGGCAAAACGTACAATTTGCCAGTTTCATCGAACGAGATGCAACTCCTGTTTGTCAATATTGACATTTCCTGAAGATCTACACCTAGCAACATTTCCTTATAATTACAAGTCCGCTTCAATATGAATTGTAATTTAATAATAATAATAGTAAACTATTCTTTCTAGGTTCAATTTTTGAGATAATTTAAAGAGGGATTAGGCCTTAATTTTTAATTTATTTATCATTTACAAATTCTAGAGGACAGTGTTGGATTCGTGGTACCTTGCAGGAAGGGTGGCTACATTGTGGGTCTCGGGCGAACTCTGTCACACGTTGACTGGAATTCACAAAAAGTGACAAAACTTCATGAAGTTGATCAGGGAACGAAGAACCGATTTAATGATGGAAAATGTGATTCGAAAGGAAGAGTTTGGGCAGGTAAAAAAAAAAAATACCATTTCTGTAGTTTATGGTTATTCCTGCTGCTCTCATTATACATGTATATTGTTATAGAAACCGCCTCTTTTGTTGATGTTGTTAATTGTTGCCGCGGTATATTCTGATTTTAAGGAACAATGGGATATGAATCAGAACCAGCCAATCCTGAGAGGGAAAGGGGATCTTTATTTCGATTGGACGTAGACGGTTCTCTACACGCATGCCTGAACAAGATCAACATATCCAATGGGCTAGCATGGACTGCTGACAACAAAACCATGTATTACATTGACTCTCTGCCTAGAAAAGTGTATGGATTTGATTATGATGTTGAGACAGGGAACATAAGTAAGAAATGCAATGTAATAGAGCAAAAATTTGTATCAATTAATATTTCATTCACCCGGTATTTTTTTTTTTTGCAGTAGGTACACATTTCAGACATACTTAAAGAAAAAAAAATAATATACACATGCTCTAAGCAAACTAGCTACCAGTAATCATTTCCAGGCATTGATGTGGACAGAACCTATCACAACAATTACAAGACAAAGTTCATTCATCATTGGCTAGATCAAATTATATATACTATAAAAATGCATTTTAAATTGAAATTTACCTCGTTCTCATACAATAACCTTTGATATATACAGTGCAATGTATATTTTGTTCTTACGTGCAGGCAATCAGAGAGTGGCTGTTGATTTTGGGGAGGGAACCATTCCCACGCTGGGATTTCCTGATGGTATGTGTATAGATACAGAGGACAAAATATGGGTGGCGTGTTATGGTGCTGCCAAAATGGTTCGTTTTGATCCAACCACAGGTAAGAAAATGATTAATAGTAGAAACTTTATAGTTTAATGGGTGTATATGGTTTCATTTTTTCATTACATTTTATACATGTAAATCATTATTTGGAGTTTAGAACTAGTTTTAAAACGGAGTAATTTAAAACAGGACAAGTGAACAATATGAATTAATATACTGAGTAACTATACAATTTGGTAATTTAATCATTCATTTTTCATATGACTCTCATGTATAAGAAATATTCAGCATGTATGTCTTGCAGGTAAAACACTGAGGACCATTGACATTCCCGCTAAGAGAACTACTTCCTGTTGTTTTGGTGGGAAACAATTGGATGAACTTTATGTGACTTGTGGTGTACAGGGGTCAACTGCAGAAGAGAGGGAGAAATATCCACTCACAGGATCCGTCTTCAGGGTGACGGGTTTAGGAGTCAGAGGTCGTCCTGCAAGCATGTACGAAGGATAGACTAACATGAAATTGCACCTAATAGATGAAAATCATCCAGTATTAAACACTATGAAATATACTAAACTTGTGTCATTAAGAAGAATGATGCAACAATTGATCATTAAAAAAAGTCACCCCTGCCACAAAATGAGTATTTGTTCTATGTTATGGAATGTACAGAGATCACAGGAAGGTCTGAAAATATGTCAATTTTCGAATTTTCACAGTTTTATGTAAATTTTCATCGCTTTTACAGCACTTTATCTTTCAGCACAAACTAACCTTTGTACCAAATTTATACAGTGCTGTTTATGTCATACACTAGTATCAGATGCATCTAGTGTGCAAAAACTTTAAATAGGCTACATTTTGGTCTATGTTTCAAGAGGGAAAAGTATCTAAAATTTGACGAAATTCCACCAGAATTTCCCAAAGCCTGAAATTCGTTGTATTATTGGTGTTTCTATCATAAGTACAAATTTTTTAGATATCAAAAAGAAATGGTAATTTGATATATTCGTGTCTTATTTATCAATTTAAATCTGTTACCATTGACCTTTATTTAAATTACTTGATTTGGCTATGTTTGAATATGTGCATACATGTAACTTGTGGTGTACAGGGGTCAACTGAGTAAGAGAGGTGAGAAATATCCACTCCGGGTCAGTCTTCGTGTGTCGTGTGTCTAGGAGTCAGTGCGTCGTGTGTTAACATTTGAACATTTTCAGCTTCTTCTCTGAAATCACTTAACCAATTTCAACCAAATTTGGTATTAAAAACTATGAAATATACTAAATTTGTGTTATGGTTATCATTTAATGATGAAGACAACTTAGTACATCTGCTAAAATCCAGTGATATACAGCATCTAAGGTATTATAAGCAAAAGGTAAACCCATTTATGCCCACCCCCGATGGCCTCACTTTGGCGAGTTAATAACCACTAAAATTATGCAATCTTTAACTGTTTCTTTTTTACTCCTGGACATCAAGCAGGCAAACTGTTGTTATGAATGTAATGAGTATCTTGATTGTTCATCTCCTATTACTTTTAACTTCATAGATCGTAAAATATTAAGTGTTTCCCACTATATAAATTAATATAAAATGCATGATTTCATGAAAATGTACCTAGCTCCTAGGTATTAAATAAACTAACCCAGTACATAGTTATGATGAGCAAGAGTGCAACTTCATATACATGTAATTTTGCAGAATGCCATTGTGCAACTCTAGATCTTATTAATTGAACGTTTTAATAAAATTAATCCTGTGGATATTTTTTGGTTTTCGGCTTCAGAAAAACATAGACTTTCGACAATATTTATTTTACATTTAGTGTACCCATATCATATACTAATTTCCTTCTATATCAAAGAATAAAATTTAATAAGTCTTACACGATTTTTTTTAAACTCAATTTTTCATAAACCCATTAATGAAGTCATTTGAATTTTTACAAAGGACAAGAAAGCCTTAGGCTAAGACTTCTCTTTGTTCTATGTTTATGGAATGTACAGAGATCATTGTTATATTTGAAAATTTTCTATTTTTGCAAATTTTTCCTTTGCTCCTGTGTTCACAGCACTCTATATATATATATATACATGATGAAGAAAGGTGCACCTTTCAAAATTTTATACGGTTTTATATGTCATACACTAGTATCAGGTGCATAGATCTAGCTTGTGAAAAAATTAATGCTTTGAAATTTGCTCTTTGGTGTGTTAATCATTTTAGTGATAAAATTTGCAAAATTTGACAAAATTCCATCAGATATTAGGAAAGCCTGAAATTTGTTGTTTTCTTTATGCTTCTATCATAGGAACAAATTAATATTTTAGATAAATAAGAAACATGCTAATTTATATTTTTATAAGCAATGTTACCTCTTTCAAAATCTGTTACAAATTCCATGACCTTTATTTGAATTACATGTACTTGATTTGGCTCGGTTTGAATATGTGCATACATCTAACGAGATTTTGAAATATACCTATCTGAATTAATTGTAACTTTACTACCATGAAACGCTCCAACGACGTAAAAAATCTGCGAACTTCAAGAACAACTATTATTTACTTCCTGGTTAAAAATAATCTAAATTTATATACCTCATAATCTGAAGGACACTAAGAGGTATCATAATGGACCACTGCATATCATATCTGGTGTTCTTCGTCATTTTTCAGGTTAGTGTTTGTATATACATAGATGTATTGTTCTTTTATAATCACTTCATTTCGTATTCAATTACAAAATCATACATGAATTTTGAAAAAAAAGATTCAGTTATATTCAATATTGGTAGAATATAAAGGTAACTTATATGATATTTTTTTGTATTTTTTGAAGTTTGATATTTTTCCACACAAAGGAAATATATATAAATGTCACATTTCAGAGCTCCAGCGTGCAACCCCACACATCCACTGATTCAAACTTTTAATGTTTCCCTCATATTTATTCCTTTTTATGTAGAAATTTGTGAAATACTTTATCATTAATAGATATTAATTTTTAAGACAATGCTATAAATGCATATTCTTATTTCATTTATCAATTTTCTATAAATCTATCAATAGAAGACATATAATTTTAACTTTTACCTCTTTGGAGAAAAATTCAAAAGTAAAGTTTCATCTGAAAAATGAACATTTGCAGAGAGTAAAGTAAAATATAACATACTTTTAACTGTGAAGGAGCATGTTGAAGATGCTGCATTCTGCTGATTTTATTTTATGAATGTATTAAAAATTTTTGATAAAGTTAATTATAGACACAATATATTATAAACTTTAATTATATAACTTCAAGAGAGAGAATTTATTCTGCATACCTCACTGGAGATTAATAGTTTGTATTCAGGACGAAGATCAAGACAAATTTTACAGAGAGCTAAGTTGATAAAATATAACACATTATTTTTTCTGCGTCTTCTTTTTTTAATTATATCTATCTCGTATCGGATATCAGAGTAAAGACGCAGTTTATTAAAAGGAAATTTCGAGTTAAATATTTTCGCATAGGAGTCTAAGGTACAGTGATGGTTTAAAGTTTAACTGCGCAGTTTGAAAAAAACAATCATAAAGTCAAAAGTTCATTGCTTCACTAATTTAACTTTAAAAACAAATATTTAAATATATACTTTCTTTCAAAAGTTCCCCTTTGTCAACAGTATTGTATGTACAGCTTTTTAAAAATTTTAAAATCCCAAATTGCAATATATAATAAAACCTAATGTTGACTCTGTTGATATGGCTCATCAGTTAATCAACTTGAATATTTGTGCACCATTTGTTCACCAGATAATAAAGACTTCTGCAAAATGCAAATATTTTGAGAAATAATTTTTATCTCCCAAGCCTGAATAAAACGTCGAATTTCGTTGATTTGTTATCTAAACTTCAGTCAGTTAATACAATGGCATATAATTATCTAGAAGTCCTGCAATATTTTGATTTCACTTCACAATGCATGTATATGAAAAATGGTAAAATGATATTTGTCTAACATTCAATTTCATGTAGGTAAACGTGTTTTTATCGTTTTATTCTTGAATTCTTATTAGATGAGAACCTTTGGATTCTGTGACAATGTTGGTAAAATTGGAGATATCGAATTGAAGTGTCCCTTTGGTATGTTCTTTATTTTTATGCACCTTTTTTCTTAGAGTTAACAAATTACAAAAATGACCCTTTAAACTTTCAACTTTATCCTTTGCAAAAACAGTCTGCAATTATTTTACATTTCTAAAACTCTTCTAAGAAATGAATGTACATAACAAAACATATAAAATGGAATTGAATAGTATCTGATAATTTATGTACAGGTATATATCCTTGACTTTTTTAACATTAAGAAATAACACATTACATGTATCTATTTGGCACAACAAACTGATAAAAGTAAGTACAGAAAAGCTTTTTTATGATCAATAGAAATATTTTTTAATAACTAAACATGAACAGAAATTTTTGCATCTTGCTGTCCATTTCAACTTTTAGTTCAAAAACATATTATTTTACATTTGAAAATTTTTTTAGGGAAATAAGCAAGAACACACATTTAAAATTTTATTGGTTACTGTTTAATGGTAAACAGGAAGGAAATATTTTATTTCTCAATCGAACCCCATCTATCTGGTAATTACAATTGTGTGAAAATTTCTGTATCTACAATGAGTAGTTGCTGACGAAAATTTGTCACGGATAAACATGATAAAAAGAGCCACTGCTAAAGAAAATTAAGATTGCTTGCTTATAATAGCGGCTTTATAAAGATTTCTTGAGAAAAAAGGTGATGATACTCAGTGTAAGTAAATATTCTGTGCATAATATACATGTATGTCCTCCGTGCATGTTTTCCAGGTTCCGTATTCTACGAAGGTTACTGCTATTTGAAGGTGACTGTTCCAATGACTTGGGATGACGCAATAGAAGCTTGCTTACGGTGCGAAACGATTTTTTTTAATGAATGATTTTTTACAGTATGTAAATAATTGATTGTTAATCATTATTTTTCATTTTAAGCTTATTGTTTATCATGTACAATGTACAAGTATTTTATTATTTAATATCTGTATCTTGACTAGTATCATAAAATGAGAGAGTGTGTATAGGATTTGCCTGTTGCCCAATCCTTAATGGGTTAATAATAAATATGTTTAAAGTAATAACAATTCCTCGGTATCTGATCCCAAAATCACTCACTTTTATGATATATTATCTGCGTTTTGGTAGGGGGTAAGGTGGGTATGTCTTAAAAAGCAGGGCCTATACATTACAAAATTAAGCGAAAATGAAGGTTGGCTAGATGTTCCTGCAAAATGTAGACGATTTAGACAGTGCATGGGACTTGTTACACAAACTTTTGTTTAATTTATTGCTTTTTCTGTATGGGATGAGCTTCCCAAAAATAGATCACTCACCAAAATTAAATCAAATTATATGCAATGTATGTTGAAAATTCTGTATAGATCTGTGGGCACCGCTTATAATTGTTTGAATAGAAGAATACGCATGTGGACTTAATAATAAGTAAATGATAAAGTTTTCACTTTTATTAAGCATTTAATGAATTGTTGACTTTTACTTCCTATTATCAATTAACAATTATCGTATTTTTCAATAAAAACTGATTGTTTGTCGATTTATTCTTTTTGATTACATAGTACTATAATTTTGATACTTACCGGTATACATTAGATCTGGAATGTACCTCAGTTGGATAGAGGATGATATCGAAAACGAGTTTGTAGCGACTCACTTGATGTCCGAAGTTAATCAGTATTGGATAGGTATGTACAATTATTAAAAAAAATAAAAAACCTTAATTCAAACATATAGCTGAAAAGAATATTTTATTTTGTTTCAAAACATTTTTGTGATAAATTAATCGACAAAAATATCTAACGTATAGTACCGGGGTATCCAAAGAAGAGGTGTGGATCAGAGAGATGGTACATGTCCTTTTCCACACTTTTTAAGACATATAATATTTAATGTATGTTGAATCTGTTTATTATAATAAGCTTGAAACAAAAGCTAAAATTTTTTTAAGATCCCACAGATTTCAAACAAATTTCATTTCATATTTAGATATTTTACTGGCTTTTGACATTAAGAGCCAACCATTAATTAAATAGGATGACAAACGAGTAATTAATGTAGTAATATTCCGCATGCTGCATATGATGTATTAATCTCAACATATTTCGACATTCAAGAGTTTGCTCAAATTTTGAAGAGTTTTTAAACCGAGGCAGGCAAGTTGATATTTCAGGGATTCCAACGTTTAAAGTTTACATGTATTATATTTCGTAAAGCAGATATGGTTTGGGCATAATTATGCCCTAAAAAATTTAATGTTCCTAAAAAGGTATGAAATTAACTTGAACATTATTTGAGTTGCTGAATATGATAAATCATTAATGCATATGGCATAAAGACAGACCATTCTGGAAATATGTTGTAATTATTTTGCCACATTTTAGTTTCATGCAGAAAAGCCTCAAACTGACTTATTCTGAAGTTAGTTTCCTTTAGAAAATAATAAGCGTTCGCAGCTGTCGACCACTTCAATTTTGGTATATACTGTATAAAACACTTTGAAAAAATCAGGTATCTCAAATTCTTTGTGGGCAATCGTAAAATAGCATTAGCAGCTGTAGATACATGTAAGAGTTTTTTCAATGCCACATGTGCTACCAGATCAACCTCTTTAAGTAGTCTCCAACTTCTGACTGTTCTGTTTGATGCCTCAACTCCGTGCCAAGTCCACCCTGTTCTTATTTGTGGAGCCGTCTCTCTTCTATTCTGCAATTACTGTCTTACAAACATCCTCTCGGACAATAAAATCCTAGGATGTCCTGGTCATAAAGCCAGTCGTTTGGCCTCTTCTGACAGCTTTCGTATTGTCTTTCTGTTAAAAGAGAAAAAAATTGTAAAAGTTTAAACGTTTTCAAAACTATTTATTATAATTCAATTTTTATAACAAATTCAAATTAAACTAATAATTGTAAAAATGAAAAACAAAACTGCTCAAAAATTCATAAAGCTCCAAGACTTCTAATGGCTATCTCTGTGGATATGAAAATTTTCTTTAAAAATTGTACACTTTTTATCAGAGAATATTTATGAAATGGAATATTTGTACCGATTTATATTTTGAAATCAATTGTCAACAAACTTATCGAGAAATTGAAATCAAGATAAAATTGTTTTTCCTGAAATTCAATTTTTAATAGATAATAAGACCCCAACTTTTTCTTTAATTAAATTATACCTTTGTGATAAATTTAAAATGTTTGAAGAAAATATTTTATTGTCTATTTAGATTTTGAATATCCAAATATGTTTCTTTAAAATGCAAAAATCAAAATTTTGTTTGCAACCAAACATTATTTAAAATAATTAAAAGTTTTCTTCCTCTTTAAATGATGAAAGGGTTATTTAAACAATCCTATACAATCCATTTTAATTTATGTGCAGGAGAGAGTCAATATATGGTGTCAAAATTCCTACTGTTTATAATATCAAAGTATATGATTAAATACAGACCATGTTTCCAATACATTACAGGTTTATCAAACATAACATCAACAGCAAGTCAGGATAATATTGTGTGGTCACAGTATAGAATGTCAAAAAACAAAGCCATTCCTTTGATTAAAGGGCTGTGGAAAAATCTACAACCAACTGAGTTTATGGGAGATTTCAAATGTGTTTCCACCCTGAAAGATGAGGATGATAATCACTGGACAGTAACAAATTGTAGAAAGAAACTTCCATTTGTTTGCAAGATTATGGGAGCACCCAAACATGGTTTAGTATAATAAGCTTTGTTACTTTTGCAAGGTTTTGTTTTATATGTACATCTAATCGGCATTAGCATTGGCTTCCCCGAATAAAATTTTAGGAACAAGTCTATACCCAGATAAGTGAAGTAAATATTAGTCTTATCTAAATCAAACTTAGGGATGGACACTGTCACACACACTTGCTTTGGATGCTGAATCGGGCCTAGATTTTTCAGATAAAGCAACCACAAGTCCTACCTGGACCAAACTTGCATGGGTAATGCATATATGGATGTACAGGTGTACACGGCACAACCTACTTCATATACTGGGTCTTGTCATTTATAAGTAAATTTTCATTTATATTTGGACCAAATATACTGTGTCCCATTAATTTTTGTTGGCATCAATTTTCGTGGATTTTGTAAAACAGACGTTTTCGAGGACACGTACTGTCATGGACAAAAGCATTGTCTATACAAATGAATCTCATTTTTTAATTCAATGAACATTTGAATTTGGATTCTGCGAAATCTGACACTGCATTTTCCAGACTTGCTTTCAATGTTACATTTCCAGGACAATGTTATTGGATTAGCTCTATAATTTTAAGGCCTATTATGATCAATCTTGCATGGAAGATGCATATAAGAATGGACATTTCCAGACTTGTGTAAGTTTGGATGTTTGAACTGACAGACATTTTCTGAAACAGGTTTATTTCCAAGTAACTATTCAAGTTCTACTTAAACTTAAAACTTGTATTGATGTTGTTCTTGAGATGTACACGGCTAGAAAAAATTATGTGAAAATTGCCTTACGTAAAAATAGTCTTCGTCAAGGTGACCTTCATAATCACTGACTACCGATGTTTTTTTGTATTTGAAAAGATATAAAACGTGAAAAGTAGGAAGTTTTTATCACTGAAGTATAATTATCTATATAACTATAATATTTATCCTTATATTTGATTTCAATTATTGGAGTGTTAATAAATAGTAGAAAGTGTTTAACTGCATGTACCGGTATGTGGATTGAAACAAATTTGGTTAAACATTTTCAAAAGAAAAGTCATGTGAGATATATAAGATTAAAAATCTTCATATATTTTCTTGTCAGTCTTATAAAAAGATAAATGTTTTGCACTAGAAGTTATAATAAATTATTTTGCTGCTATTCTCTTGTTATTAAATTTAAATTTTATAATTCAATGAATACATTGTGCAAAAGGTGATTAATGCTTAAGCATCCTTACCTAAGCATAAATGTTTGTTTGACATGTTTGTCAATAACTGTTTAATGTAATTTCTAATTATTAATCTTATTTTGTAAAGATACAATTTTTTGTGGAAATGGAGGTTACATAAACCAGAAGTGGCAATGTGATGGACAGAATGACTGTGGAGATATGTCTGATGAAGTTAATTGCAGTAAGGAGGACTTTATTTTATTATATCACATGTTGACATTTAAAGATTTAGTGTTACCCACCAATTATAACAAAGCAAATTGATCATGGTTGCAAGTAATGTATAGTATATCAATATGTGGATGTAAACTACAGTAATTATATGTAAATTTAACATACTGTACGTGGTTGTAGCTAATAGATTTTAGATGGATGAGATTTTCTATGACAGCATCTAGGTGCTCTGAAATACGGATATTGACTAATGGTACTTCTGGTTCTATAACTGCGGACAGTTTGCAGCAAACAACATATAAAAATGATGCTTTTTGTACCTGGACTATAAAGGCTCCTATTGGTGTCCGAGTAAAGGTCATAGTGAGTGCAAAAATTGAATTTTTTTCATTTTCACTATCAGAACATCTATCATGCATATTATAAATTCATGAAAATTTAATGAGCTAACAATTGACAATAAAATTAACTTATCATCTTCAAGTTGTGCATTGCTCATAATATACAATGTTGTGTTTATTTACTATTACAGCCAAGATTTACAAGTCAGATCTGAAGTTTTATTTTAAGGTTTTATCAGTTCTTTATTCCATTGGGTTTAATGAGATTGTTCTTATAAAAATTCAGATTAAAAACAATGCAGGAGTGCATTTACTATACACTTTATGAGTAGATTTCTTATATTGTCAGGGTGCATAAACCAATATTTCTAATTTTTAAAGTAGGGGATACTGGAAGGTTAATGAGATAATGTATGATACTTCTGCAACATATATCTTGCCATGTTCATACCACACTATAAATGTTAAAAAAAAAAACCAATGAACATTTTTAAAAATTATTTTCCAAAATATACATGTACTTGTTGTTGTGTGTGTTAGGTTGCATTTAATCGCTTTTAGATGATAGCATAAATTTGTAATTTTGTTGGTCTAAACTCTTAAGTGGTGCATTTAAAGAGGTTATATACATGTTCATTTACTACATATATATATATATTATATTATATCAAAAATATATAAAAAGGTTTAGAAATATCATTGTTATTGACAATACCTTGACTTGTAGTTGAGATCTACATTTGACCTGGAAGAAAATGCCGATGTTCTAAGTATATGGACTGGAGCTATCTCACTGAAGGAGAGTAACTTCCTGGGCAGTGTAACAGGGAGACCAGGAAAGACCCAGGAATTCTACTCACAGAATAACTATCTTATCCTACAACTCAGCATGGATAGTTCAACTATCAGAAATGGATTTATTGCAGACTATGAAACAGGTGTGTTTAGTTTTTCAAATACTTTCCATAAGAATGACATTTCTCAGCTCATTAAAATGAAATTCTTTCAGATTATTGGCACTCTTCAGAAAATGGAAAACAAAATGAATTTCAAGCAAATTAGTATTATTCAAAATGCACAATGTAGATTCCTTATTTTTTGCGAGTACTTATTATTATAATATATCGCGAATAGGCTCTTCAACGGCAAACGCGAGAATGATTATTTACGAAAGGACGGTTGGTCAAGAGGTTTTACATTGATTTCAGCATTATAATAACAAAGGCGAGTAACTTTATTTTGCGTGTGGTGCTTCTCGCGAAATTACGCGATAATTAATATTCCAGGCTTATATTTAGGAATTTACAGTATGTGGCTCAAACAAATCCAGCTGTTTTTCCTACAAGAATTATGATTTATTTACCAGTATAAATTAGATAATATGAATATTGTTTCAATCCATTTCATTCGTTAGACAAAGTGATTTTTAGATATTTAAGATATATTAATGATTTTAGAGTTCAAATAATATATACATATCAAATATTAAATATTTTCTCAAGCTTTTAGAGTAAATTCAATTCTGAACAAAACTAAATTATAAATAGTAAATACCAGGTTAGCCGACTTGCTAAAGTATGACTGCCTTAAAAGCCTTAAGGAGCTAAAAAAAAAGGTAAAGGAAGCTCAAATCATTAATGAACAGCTTTGCAAAAACATTGAAGCGATCTGAAGAAGTCTTCCTTTTGAAAATTGTGCTTCAAGTGATAGATCAGATTGTTTTTCTTCATAACAGATCCATTCCAAAGTAACTATAAGCGCGCCCTACTTGGACCAAATATTTGGACGATACATGCAAGAGGTGCGATACCAAATTTGCTTCAGATGCTAAATCTGACGTACAATTAAAAGCATATATGGAAAAATTACCAAATACGCCTCAGATAGATACAGTAGCTAACATACCTGGATGATATGACTTACTCAGAATATTTTTGATATGCTTGAAACAGTTGAATTTATTCAAACTTCCCAAGAAACTAAAAAAAAAAAACATTTCCGGAGCAGTCTTGCAGAGTTGTTGCATCTAAATATGCACAATACTCGTGCTACTAGAATATTGAATTGGTGAGAGACATTACCTTTACTTTGTCAAGGTGACCTTTGTAATCTTTAAATATTATCTTTAAATCTTTAAACATTATGTTTTAATGAAGATAAGAAAGCATAGCTTAATTAGTAAACAATGCAAATTAAATTACACTTGTATACCCTCTTTAAGTATCTTTTACTCTTAAAAAATCATCAGAAAAACACATTCGAATTCTCAAATCTATTAGAAATATCTCTTTGAAATTTTAATATGAATATTTTAATATTTAATCGTTGATTGAAATATAAAAACCATAATATTTATATTAAAAGTTTACTTTATTTCATTTCTTTTTTTATAATGAAAACCTTATTTGGATATAAAATTATACAGTTCCTGAAACTGAAATTTGGAATGGTCAGAAGAAGCTCATGGCAAACAAAAGCTGGCAGACTCTAGAATCACCATTATATGGACAGGCTGTTCCCTTTGGATTACAACTAGAGTGGCTAATAATAACAGAATCACACAAAGTGGTATCTCTTGAGGTACTATCATCAAACCCTATACTTCATTGCAACTTCTAGTCTAACAAACATTATAAATACCAATTTACTTTTCATATATAATCATGATATTGAGGGCGTCATTTGACATTTTTACTGGTTGCATTGAAACTTTGTTGAACTGTCTATCAGTTCAGTATTAGATTTTAGAAATACATGTACTTATTTTACTATCAAACAGGGTGATTGTAGTGAAATTTGATCACCCTAGGTGTACTTTTTTTTATTTATATTGAATTATTTATTATATCTGTTGAAGTTCACAATAACTATATTTAACTACTGTAAACCAACTTTTATTTGCGTACGAGAAATTTCCGCGAGTTTTGCGACCTAATTTAACGCACGAATATTTATCGCGCGAACCGTTTATTTACAAAGAAAGTTTCCTTAGTATTGAAATTAATCGTCGTGGATTGATTTCAAAATGATTAATCGTGAAAAAAAAGATGTCAAAAACAATAGTTGCTTTACAGTATAATGAATGAAAATCCTTAGTTGTAAGCTTTCAAAAAAGGAAAAATATAAATTGTTTTCTTTGTTGCAGTTTAGAGATATAGATCTACCCTCAAGCAGTTCTTTGAAAGTTTATGATGGGATGGATCTTATGGCTCCCCTTGTCTTTGCTTTTAATAAAACTCCTAATTATCCTCTGTACATTTCACAAAACAATGCTGTAAGAATTGAATTATCATCAGACCACCATGAGTATGGAAAGTTTCGTGGAGTTCAGGTCAAATACAAGCAAGGTAATTTACAGCCATGATATGCAAGAAAAATATCTTAACAACTTCAACTTGAACAAATTCTATCATTTATTGCTTTTCTGTCTAAATTGCTGATTTTATTTTGTGGATATATATTTTTAAGGGTTAAATATGAATTTAAAGGAAATTCAAGAAAGTGAGAATTGAGAGAGAAAAAAGATTTGATTAGATTTTCGTTAAAACGGTTATATATAATGTTTATAAGTATGAATTATTAAAGAAATGGCTAAAGTTTTCATAAATTTAGCATTAGCATGTAGTATTTATGGAAAAGGAGAGCAAAACAATCAAGAAGAACACTTTTAGATTTTTTTTACTTTGGTATATATGAAGCAGGAAATCTGTTTGCAGGATCATAATTATAATTATGAGAATTCTAATTTTTTGAAATTTATAATCCTTGGGTGAAGGTTTCAGATCCCTGGAATCCTTCTGTCTTGTTTGAATTAATAATTTTTGCTTTAAAGCCTCAACCTTTTTCCACTGAACAATGCTTAAATCTAATAAAAGGAATTTTACGCTTTTGAAATGACATACTAAAAATTTGTGTCATTGACATATTTTATCATAATAGATTTAAAAGGAGAGCAAAACAATCAAGTGCAAAAAATAAGTTAAAATCAAAACAATCAAGAATAACACAATTTTAAGATTTTGTTTACTGTGGGATATATGAAGCAGGAAATATGTTTGCATGATCATAATTATAATTATGAGAATTCTATTTTTTGAAATTTATGACCCTTGGGTGAAGGTTTCAGATCGGAAGGTAGACTTCGGAATTTTTGTTTCCAACCAGCTATGATTTCCTTGCATTTATTTTGGATGAAATAAAAAAGAAGGTGCAGTGCTAATCACAGATCTGTGTACCCTTGTGCTTTTAATTGGCATAATTCTTCCACCTTTTTCCTCTTGGGAGTCACTCACGTGGCGCATTGCTAAAAGCAATTTTTGAGCTGGCACTTCTAGTTTGCATGGACATGCGTTTTCATACGTCGATATTAGCTTCAAACTTACATACGAGAAACAAAAATAGGTTTAAAAATCACTTTTTGTATACCATCCTGCCATGACTGGAAGCAATGAGACACACGGTTTTCAATCGATGCAAATAAATTGATAACTGTTTTTCAGTTCTCAAAGTTTAAGACTTCAGTCATTTACTGTTACCGAGCCATTGTCAGAAAAATTCTAATTTTGAGGACGGCGACCAGAAAAGATTTGTATAAAAATCACTCGACGTTTCTCTAGACAAATTGTAGTATCTACAACATATATAAAAACTTTTCAAATATTTCAGCCAAAACATTTAAATGTTTATTTGTCTTTTCTTTACCTATTTTATTAAATATTCATTTGATGCTCTAATTACCTCTGCATTTGAAAAATGGGTGGGGGTCCAAATGCAAACTGCATGTGGTAATCACATAGATATGGAAGCATATTTGGGTACATATGTACATATGAGTTTGTTCAAATTACGAACACTAAAGCTTTTATATTCAAATGCATAGCAGAACCTTAGTGATTAAGATGAGTAATGTGGCCAATAGGCCTCTTGTTTATGAGTTACCACAGCACGCTAAAAGCAATTCTATGGAGTTCTGATGATGACTGTGCTTGTACATTGTTTGGACATGTTTAAATTGTTTTGTTTCACACTAATTCAATAGATGATGCATTTACAGGTTGTACATTAGAGATGAGGCAGCGGGGTATGATCTTTTCACCTGGTTACCAAGTTGGCACATATCCTTCCAATGTCACCTGTTCATGGCTTCTTGCGAGAAACAATGGAGAAACCAGACCTATTTCTCTACGCTTCATAGATTTTCAACTAAAGTTAAATGATTTTGTAGAGGTAAATATATAATAAGAAATCTGTTTGCTAATTTCTTATCTATATCTGGGTATCCACAAACATAATTAATTGAGGTTTTTTATTTGATATGAAAATATTACTATCATATATTATTGACAGAGATTGTTTATAACTTGAGGGTGTGTAATGATCCCTTGGTCATTCATGAGTTCAAGGTCAAATCACCCCTGCAGGTAGAGAACAATGGGTCATGGTTAAAATTGAAATTTGTATGAGTAATGGTAAAGAAGTATTTGAGCAAAACGCATTTGAGATTTTAAATAGTGGAATGACCTGACAACTCTAAGAATAGACTAGTTAGCCTCAGGATATATAAAGGCAAAGGTTTTGGAACTTAATTCAGGCATCTGAAGGAATTGGATGTTGAATAAGCAATAATGGTTAAATTATCAGGTTATAGTAATCGTTTTCAGTTAAACATTTTAGAGCAGAGGTTGGCGATTATGCAAAATATTCAAAAACGGCTTAAAATTTTTGCCATTTTTAAAGAAATTTTCAAGATTTCAAGATTTGAGGAAAATGATGCAATTCATGACGTCATAATACATGGGAAACAGAAAAAAATACGTTCTTTTTTTTGATATGAAGTCACCAAGGGTCGAAGTAAAGTTTAAGATATTTTCAACTAAAAATGAGCAGTACTGATTTTTCAAAAGGACAAAAGAGGCCCAAAGTGAACCTTCTTCGTTCTCCCTTTTAAGAACAAAAAAGCTATGATAAGATATATTGACATAGAAACATTATATATGAAGACTGTGTAAATTAAAGTTTGTACCCCTTTAAAACTTTTTAATACTGAACTGATTTCTGATTCTTCCTAACCAGTATGTTCAGATGAGCAATGTGACCCATGGACCTCTCTACTTTTTTAGCTCAACTGAGCTGAAAACTGAACTTTTCTGATCATCGTTCGTCTTTCCTGTGATCCGTCCGTCTGTTCATTTAGCTGTTTAGCTGTCCGTACGTCTGTAAACCTTTCACATTTTCAACTTCTTTTCAAAAACCACTGGGCCAATTTTACATGTAAATTAATCTGGTGTATAACATCCTTGAATAAAGGGTAGTTTAAATTGGTAAAATGAAAGGCCAACCTCATTTAAAAGGGGAGATAATAAAGAAAAGATAAAAATAGGGTGGTGTCTTTGTATAATTTTTCTCTCAAGACCCAGGTCTTTTTGAATATTCAAGGACACAATTTTTAATTTTGGAGGGTCACTTTAAAAGCATTACATGGGCTGATATTATTTTGTGAAGTCGCACACAGCACAATTAAGTTTTTTTCATATAATACAGTATTTATCTTAAGCAGAAACTGTTCCAAAACTGTGAAAATTCATGAAGTCCCTAAATTAGTGGGTTCTTGAATTGGTACAAGTTTCTTTTATGATCTTGTATTGAATTTTTATTCTGCTTTAAGAGAAGCTATCCCCCTTTTGTTTTCCTTTATGATAATCAATAAATGAATAAATGTATAAAATGATATAAAAAAATACCTTACAAATGTAGTCCTTTCATTAGGCCAATCCATAGAAAGGTCTACATTTGATATATTCCGAAAAGGTTTTATTTTGTACATGTATATCTACTTTTAAGTGAAGATTGTCAAAAAGAACAATAAAGTATTTTAGAAATCAATTGGAAACAACATTAAATGGAAAAGTATTAAGGTTTGAAACACAAGCACTTAACGTTAGTTATTTTTTTTTTCATATCTAAAAAATAACCCTTACCTTATACCTAATAATACACAAGGTAAACATCGGCCGCCACCTTGATTTGTTTCTTGGTCGGTCCTATTGACTTGTATTTTCGCCTTAAACTCCATGAAATAAATTCTCTGCGACCATATTTATTCTGTGGCCAACCTTTCGAGGTCTAAACCTAGGGACAGTGCAACCATATGGCACTTGGATATAGTTAAAAATCTTTTGTCAAAGTCGAAAGACTAGTCACAGATTGAATATGGTCGCAGGGCAAATCAAGATGGCGGCCGATATTTACCTTGTGTGTTATTAGGTATGGGGGTAATATTGTTAATATAACAAAAATAAGTAGTGTCAAGTGCCTGTGGTTTGAAATAATATTCATTTTCACACAATAAAAATTCCTCTATCTATATACAGGTATGAGATATTATATACTTTAATTAGTAACATTAGAGGGTACAAGTTGTTCTATGCTTTTAATTAAAATATAGGTTTACAATGACACAGCTGGAACTGCACTGCACACAAGAAATGGATTAACTGGTACCAGTACTGCTAGAGAAGTATTTGGCTCTAATGATGGTCATCTTAATGTCACCTTTAAGTCCAATATAGTCCTGGTGGATAAAGGATTTGTTGCTGAATTTTCTATCGGTGAGGGCAGAGGGATCTAAAAGAAACTGATGATAAAACTTCCAACACGTAAACTTTTTAATTTGTAGAAAAATTTAAAATCTTAAAATGTATTTGTTCTTAAGTTATTCGTGGAAATTCCCCTCATACAGAGTTTGGGATATACTAATTTCAACCAATGTTAAACCTTTTTTATGTTGATATTTGACTTTGAAACAACATACAATTTTCAACGTTGCCTCAACTTACATTTGCAGCTAAAATTCATCATTAAGCAACAAAATTTCAACCCATTTTGAACATCTATTCAACGTTGAAAATTGACGTTGAAACAACTTTGATGATTACCGCGACTTTTATATGCAACCAAAATTCAACGTTGATTCAACCTTGATATGCCTGCTGTGTTGATTTTGTGGGTTTATCAAAACATTCACGGACTGGCACTTTAATATTAAATAGTGCATAACGTACACCAAGAAATTTTTGATATGAATTTCAAGCATTATCCTTTCTGTGTACATATTAATTAACTGAAAGGCGTATGTTTTACTTTTGAATTTTTATATGCAGTGGTATTACTGTGTATTACTGTGTAGCACAACCTTAAAGTATATGAGGCATTTCTACCAAGATTGCTATACAAGTTTCATACTTATCTCTTTCTACCCTAAAAGGCTTTGTTTAACATTAGAATAATTTATAGATAATGAATATTTAAAGTTAAAACATTATGTTCCAAAAATGAATCGGATACCTTAATTCAGTATTTCATTTGAATGACCATTTGGATAATAATTCTTAAATATGAAAAATATTAAGTCTTCTCTTAAGATTGCCCATTGTTAACCCTATCTCAGTGGACAATGAATTCAGTATCTGGAAAGTACACCGCTCTGGACACAGTGATAACTCTGTCCTGTCAGACAGGCTACTCATTTAAACAAGAGGAATACAACAAGGAAAGCTCCGTGTCTATGAAGTGTTTACCTGGAGGGAAGTGGAATGTTTCCAGGATACCTGACTGCCAAAGTATGTCTAAATTTACCTTCAATGTATTGCATATGTACATATATAGTTTTCATTATGTAAAGTCTTCACTGAAATGCTTGTTAATGTAAATTGATTTTGTAATACAATAATTACAATACAGAAAACTCGGGTGACCTTTTAACTGTTAAATTTGATATCTGTTTTCGTAAATGTGAGTCATTACTAATGTGAACATTTGAGCATTTTTTCTCTGCAATCGCTCACCTAATTTCACCAGTTTTGAGGTATAACGTGTATGAATGAAGGGGAAGAAAAATTGGGAATTTCATAGTCTCTGCTTCATTGGGACCAAAACCACTAAAATGATTGCAATCTTTAGAAGCCTATAGACATCAAGCAGTCAAACTGTTGGCATGCTTATAAGAAGCATTGAGTCTTCTACAAAAATTGTGAAATTCATGCCCCTAGGGTCAGGGATTCTAGTTCTAAAGCGGAGCTATATAGATTAGCTAGTGAGAGGGCATTATTACTTTGAAATAATCTTCTTTTCTGCTCCTTTGTATTAAACATTAAACAAACAAACAATGTATACAAATTGTACTTATATATTTTTGTGCAATTAATATGGTTTTAAATAATAACAAAAATAAGCATGCTTAGTGTATATTTATGATAAACAATTGTGTCTCTTTCGAAAATTGGTTTTTAACACGAACCAAATTCAATTGTTGGAAAGTTGTTACATGCATGATGCTCAGTTAACCTATTTGGCACCTTTTGTAAGATATGTTCAGTTCAATTGGGAAACAACCCAAAATTAACATTTGATTTTTTTATTTTCTGTAGCTTAAGGATACTTAACACAAACAAATGAGAAATATTTTTTTAATGATTTTGATGGAAAAAAAAAAACATTTAAAAAATCCCAAAAATAGAAAGAAATTTGTTGGGAAGTTTATAACTGTTATTACATATTAACAATAAAATATGTTAATATCAAATTAAGATAAATGATTTACAAGTGTGACTAGATATGAAAAATGTTGTCGTTTTCTGTCTAATGTTTTACAAAATTTTGCACAAATTTTAATCCTTATGACAAAATTAAATACTACACTAAACTTGGCAAATGTTATTATTATTATTATTATTATTATTAAGATACAAATTAAGATATATATCTATGAGAAATATTGCGGATTTTTTAATTAAAGTTTTGTGTTATTTATCTTTGTTAAGTTTATAACGGTTATTACAAGACTGTTATACATGTAATATCATTAAGATAAATTATGTACAAATGTGTCTAAATTCCTATTATTTCAATAAACAAACAAAATCAAATTGCAGTTACGTACTGTGGCACTCCACCACCAATTCCAAATGGAATACTGATGATTGCAACTGGTGCAAGATTTGGGGACCATGCAACTTATGAATGCAATGGGGGGTTCACAATGAATGTTTCTCCCACCAAAAAATGCCAGGCAAAGAATATGGTAAACTGTATGCAACAGTAAGTTAAAAAAAGATTTTGGAACAAAAAGAATGTTTGATAGCATTTACCTAAAGCTTATTTCACTGATCTTTTCTTAATGTATCTCATTGTCAAAACTCAAGATGTGTAAACTTAGTTTTGTCCTTTTAACATTAACTCCATTGAAGTTAAAGTTGATTCTTATATACTTTGTTTAGTAAATAATTCTTTTTAATAAACTGAGATTTTTGCAGCTCAACAATGCTCACAAATAAATCTACCAAATAATGTAAAAGTAAATGTGACTGCTGGGAGTGGTACAGATTATGCCTCTGTTCTGATGTTCAGCTGTAATCCTGGATATGACCTTTTAGGGTCTGTGTACATCCACTGTAGGTCAAATGGCACATGGTCACATCCTTCTCCAACTTGCCAAAGTAAGAAAATTGAAGAGGTAACGAAGAACTTAAGTTAGTTCTTTTGTAGAGTCATGCACTCTTCATGCAGAAATGATTAATAATTAGTGAAAAATTGATGAAATTTTTAAAAATCTTTTCAAGAATCAATAATGCTAATTCAATGTATGCAAACCACGATCCACGTGAAATGAAATTCCAAAATTTTAGAGAAAATAATTTTTTGATATTTGTATCTATCCACATCAAAATTAAATTGATCCGATCAAAATGAATACAGTATTAACTATAGTGTCTTCAATATGTACACTGTGTTTAAAAGGCTTATTTTTTATTTTACCCTTTAATCACATACTCAAACTAGTATTCTTTTGAGAATGTTACCTATTTCCAATATTGATAAAATTCTGGTTGGGATCAGGATCGATAATTTCGATCGGGATTGGCCAAATTTTTAAAATACATTTAATTTCTGTAAAATTTAGCAATTTCATTTCAATTTTAAAAATATATATAATTGACTTACATGCATGTTCTCACTAGTTACACATGTATGTTTAGTCTTATAAAGATGTTGATCATAGGTTTTGAAAATTTTCACAAATAATATGTTATACACTCATAAATATTTTTAGCAAATTATTTGATATGTCCATATAGATTTTCTTTAAATATGTCATTTGATATTCAAATGATGCATTCATTAAAGGATATTTTTTTAATTCTAAAGCATCTTATATGCAAATACACCTTTTTTTCATTTTCTATGACAAAATGTGAAAAAATTATATAAAATATTTAAGAACTTATATCAGCATTTCAATACTGAAACCATAATTTGATAGGAATGTCTTGGAGATCTATGAAATAAAATTTTAGTGTGGCATTCATCCTTTACTGCATTTTTTATATCTCAGAGATAAAGTGCCCAATACCACAGGTGATGTATGGTAAGGTTGAAGCAGCTGGTGACGTGGCATTTGAAGGGACAGCCAAACTGAAGTGTGACACTGGATTTATTGTGAATGGTACCAGCAGTGGTGAAAAAGATGTTACATGTGGGAGTGATGGACAATTTTCAAACTTAGATCCATGCATCGGTAAGACATTATATAGATTTTGCATTAAAGAACCACTGTTTTTGGATTTTGCACTCCATTACAGCACATGTCCAGGCCATACAATGTTTCCCAGTCACAGAGTGGAAAACACAGTTTGAAATGGTTTGTGTTACACCGTGTACACGGTAGCAATAGCTTGAAATACAGAGGTAAGCACACCGTGCCACACCATGTGTAGAAAAATCCAAGCTTATTCTCCCCGTATCATCCTGAGGAGTTCCGGGTTAGAATAGGTCGGGTCCTCAGTACCCCCTTGCTTGTCGTAAAAGACGACTAAATGGGGCGGTATTTCGGATGAGACCGTATTAACCGAGGCTCCGTGTCACAGTAGGGTGTGGCACGACAAAGATCCCTCCCTGCTCAAAGGCCGTAAGTGCCGAGCATAGGCCTAAATTTGCAGCCCTTAACCGGCAATGGTGACGTCTCCATATCAGTGAAATATTCTGGAGAGGAACGTTAAACAGTATACAATCAATCAATCAATCTCCCTGTATCGTGCCATATTCAGAAAATCGAGAACAAATACAGAAAAAAAAATTGTTGTTATATGTATTAAATTTAGAATAGTTTAATTACTTTTACATCTACGTATATGTGTATATTTAACCTGGTATCCTCATGAAATGAAGAAAAACTGAGTAGCATTTATTGAGAATATTATATTATAATGAAGATAAGAAGCACTGATTTCTTAAGATAAAGTACACTTTTTTGATTAAGGCATTATTTAATAAAAGAAATCCTAGATTCTCATCCCACTTTTTTTTTTCAAAAACCAAGGTAAGTGGACGGAATTTTTTCTATTCCTTCCATTATTTTGACCTGATCAGTGGGTGCAGATTAACATGTTTCTATTACATGTATGTCCGAATAACAGTTAAACCTACCTGTCTTTGCAATGTATTAATCTCTTACTACAAATCATTATCAATCATTTACAAACAACAACCCTTGTTAAATACATATTTCATACACCAACGACCATCTTGTTTGCTGTGAAAAATATTTTTACATTCTCCGGATATAAAATGAAAGGTGAATACTGATGCACAACAGAATTAAGATGAAGGAAAACAGAAGAAAATCGAGGCAGGGTTAATAAAAAATCGGGCGAGCAGGGATGAGAATCCATAATTTTTTTTATTGTGACCTAACCTGGCGCCACAAGTGACATAAATTTTAAAATATTGTTAAGGGCATTGGCAAGGAGCATGGCTCTTATATTGACTTTTAAGAGAACTCTTGAGGAAAAATTACCGGAAGATGAAGCTGATTTAAACAAATGAAAGCCATTTCTCTGACATACCCTTTCTCCTCAAAGTAATTTTGTGAACATAAAAATTGGTTTTACAATCTTTTGTATGGCATTAAGCATTCCATGATAATTAAAGCAATAGCTTTTACTATCTAATTGAATAAAAATATGGTATATATTGTTGTAGATGAAAATGAATGCTTTAGAGTTCGTCCTTGTCGGTCTTCCAGTAACACAGAGTGTGTGGATACCATTGGTTCTTATGTTTGTAAATGTAAAGATGGATTTGGGAGAATAGGAGAAACCGGAAGTTGTTTTGGTAAGCATATATCAATTTTCTTTTTTTTTCTTAAAAATGAAAAAAAAAAGTTAAAATACATAAAGAATGGGGAAAAAAATAATTTAAGAATATCTTGGTGAAAAATTGTACGGCATGATTATACTCAAGTGAGCATAATGGTTGATGTATATCTTCAGAAGATCAACAGAAACAAAGTATTTTATAGGTGCAGAACTGAAGCTTTCTGCTTGAGAAAATTCGGACAGATAAAGCAGAGAGCTACAGATCCAAGCATTGTAAAAACTTTCAATTTTCGCCGACGAATTTTGTCGCTCACTTCGGGTATGTTTTCTTGTATTTTATACTAACCTCAGCTTTAAAAAGAGTATCTTATGATTAAGCTTACATTTAACTTCAATTCCTGATAATTTACTTACGTTTCAATGCTAACTAATGGCTATTCGTGGTTACGGACGTCAAAATGGAACTCTTTTAAACCGACATTACAAATATATTTTTATAGGACTGTTTAGGGCCGTTCAAATGTAAATTAAGAATCAAAATAAGAGTTAAAAATATTTTTAATTATAGGATGCCATTCTAAAACCCAAAAAAGCTTAACTATTCGAAATAAATACCTGAAGTAGCGACAAAAAATCGTCGGCGTAAATCGAAAGATTTTACAACACTTTGATCTGTAGTTCTCTGCTTTATCTGTCTGAATTTTCTCAAGCAGAGAGCTACAGATCTGCAGCATAGTATTTTTTGCTAAAGATGCACTACTAAGGTGTTGCAATTTTTTTTAGAGAAACTCAATTAATTAATAACTCAGGTAATGAAGGTCCCTAAAATATTTTATATTTAAATCAAATTATGGAAGAATATAAATATCTTTATTGCCTTATTTTTCTCTAATTTACGAAAGCCAAATGAGCTCATTTTCGTAGGTAAGAAAAATAAATTTTACGCGTTATAACGTGAATGTTTCGGGATATAACGCGAAGGTTGCGCGATATAACGCGAAAGTTTCGCGAATAAACGCGTTACTTTCGCGATTTAACGCGTAACTTTCGCGTTATAATGCGATAGTTTCGCGAATAAACGCGTAGCTTTCGCATTATAACTCGAAACCTTCGCGATATAACGCGTAACTTTCGCGTTATAACGCATAACTTTCGCGATATAACGCGTAACTTTCGCGTTATAAGGCGAAGCTTTTGCTGTATAACCAGACATTTGCTTTAGTCTCAACGTTCTTTTGATTCTGTCATCAATTTTATTCATTACAATGATAAGCAAAAGGCTTTTTTGATCTTGGACTATCACAAGTTAAATTTTAGGCTTTCTTGCTATTGAATTATTGTTACCGTCACAATTTGTCTTTCTCAACGCTGTTCAAACAATTCAAAGTTGATGCGAGTTTTCCAAAAGATAAACTTCAAGATTATTTATTATTTATATGCATTCTCTAGAGAATCTGAAATAATTTTATTTTATAGCTAGAGATCAAGATCTCAGAAAATTGACAAAATGAGGTAAATTTGTCAATTGTGTCCCACGCAGTTATGAAAATTGGATAGCAGATTTTCATTTGTTTCCGTTGGATTCACTGTGGAAATTCGATATCCTATTTTGAGGTTGCACCACCACCACGTTGTCATTTCATTGCTTACGAAAACATTGACAATTTAAAGTGTACAAACTCTGCTGTATACTTTCATAGTTTTTATTTATGACTAGTCCACGAACTTCTCTATAACCAAATATAAAAATATTGGAGACATTGTTCATTCACTTTTGTTTCTACAGTGTATACTTTTTTGTCCAAACAAAGGAATACAAAATGATTGATTGCTTAATTAACTAGTGGTACAGTTGTAGTAAATGTTCATGGTTAAGATTCAGCTAGAAAAAAATGTCAAGTGGAGATTCAGTCTAAAGAATTTGACAATTGAAAAACATGTACAAGAAAGTAAGATTCTTTTTTTTAATTCTATAGTTAGGTTTTAAAATAAAATATTCTGATGACTAATCTATCCTATCTCGCATCATATTGTTTCTCGAAATAACGCGAAAGTTTCGCGTTATATCGCGAAAGTTACGCGTTTATTCGTGAAATTTTCGAGCTATAACGCGAATGTTACGCGTCATATCGCGAAAGTTTCGCGTTAAAACGCGAAAGTTACGCGTTTATTTGCGAAAGTTTTGCGTAATAACGCGAAAGTTACGCGTTATAACGCGAAACTTTCGCGAATAAACGCGTAACTTTCGCGTTATACCGCGAAAAAAATATTTTTCTTACCTACGAAAATGAGCTCATTGGGCTTTCGTTCTAATGAAAGAAAACTGTCCAAAGATAAATTATCCTTATTAGGACCCTGGAAGGATGTGTGGGTGCCCTATAGGAATAACTCTGTCTATCTGTCAGGCTCTTTGTCTGTCTATATACAAACCTACATGTAGTTTAAATACGTGTTACTGTAGAAATAATTTTTTTATGTATTCTAGTCCTGTAAAAGACCTGGATGAATTATTATACATCCATTAATAATTTGTCCTCTTTAAAATTACATCAAATTGATGCCGTGCGTGAAGCATTTGTACATTGCCCTTTTTTGAATTTAATATTTTAGCATCGTTCTACATACATGTAGGTACTTAATGTATTAATTATTTTCCAGGGAAAATTCATGAAATAAGTAAGAGCTGAGTTATAATAATAGAGATATAAATATCATAGATAATTTTTGCAACGCAATAATTAAATAATTATTCTTTAAACACGATATCTAAGTTATTTAATTAAAAAACATGTAAATCCTTACCATCAAAAAGATAAGTCCTTTCACTTCGGAGTTCCGAATGGCAATAAAGACTGAACGATAAGTGAACGGTGAACGCAAGGTGAACGCAAAGTAAACGGAACGAAGAGCGAACGGTGAACGTTTTGTGAACGGTGAACGCGAGCGCACGGTGAACGGTGAACGCAACACTGTGAACGAAGAGCGAACGGTGAACGCACGCTGAACGAACGGTGAACGAACGCTGAACGAACGGTGAACGAACGGTGAGCGAACGGAAAAATGGGAAAGTAGAACGTTTCAGGGACTGTATCTTCCATCTGCAGATTTTCTGGTCTCTGACCATAAGAGGTTATGCGATAGTAAGGTGCCCGTCGTTCATCAATCAGTCCGTATGTCTATTGTAAACAATTTTCAAAATGCTAAACCCCCTTTACGTTTTGGTCTGATATCAATATAACTTGGCACATAAGTAGACTACACAGAGATACATAATTCTATATATTGTATTTTGATTTTGATGAACGTTGTTGCCGTTGTTATTTAAAAACATTTAAAATAGAAACTTCTGTGAACTTCTTTCAAAACGCTTCCCCTTTTATAGATTTGGGCTGATTTTAATGTTTCTTTGCACACTGATAGATTTTACTAAAATACATAATTTTATTTATCAGTTTTTTGATTTTGATAATGTTGTTGACATTTTTACTTAAAGTAACAATTTCTTTAAAATACTTCCAAACGCTACTCCAGTTTTTATCTTATTTTAATGATTCCTTAACACACCAGTAGACTACACTTTGATACGTAATTCTTCTTATCGTTTTTTTTTTTAAATTTCAATGAACTGTGTTGTCTTGGTTACTGAAAATACGAATTTCTGTAATTCTTTTTTTTTCCAAAGATTCCTTCCACTGTTTTAGTCTGATTTCAATGGAAGTTGGTACACAAGTACATTGTATATATCACACAGAGATATGTATAATTCTGTTTATCGGTTCTTAATTTTGTCGAGGTGTTGCCTTGGTTACTGATAATAGAAAGGATGTAGAGCGAAATAGTACCCCAGTATAGTTAAATTGACATAAACATGGATTTCTGAATTCTACATTGATTTTTGTTTGCACTCAATCATTGATATGTGTATTCTCATGGAATACCACTTTTATCGAAAATAGAAACATTATTAAGAAGATATTTATCTTTGAAGCCCTTAAAATATATGAGTGCTGGTCATTGTATTATATCGAAATCTACTTGTGAAAGAAAAACAAATGGATCACACTGGGCTCCTTTGTTTGTTTTAAACGTTCGAAATTCTTATTTGCCTGTATTATACCAAGATGCTTTTTCATGAATTGGATTGGACAAATGTTGTCAGTAAGCATTTTTTATGGTTGTCCTATTAAGTTCAAATTTGGCATGTCGCTGACTACACAGTAAGACATGCTAGTATTTAATTTTATGCTAATCTTTATTCCGTATGTTATCCGGTTTGGAGCTTGGGTTATGGGGATAGATTAGTCATTCCTAATTTTAAGATTGAATGGACAAAGAGAGATTATTTCTGAAATGTTCCTTTCGTTAATATAGTTTTATGAAAGCTTTATTGATACTCCTGTGATAAATTAACTTTATCTGTTGTAGAACATCCAAAGCCTTGTCTTTATATGTTACACCTCAGTCTGCAAGTAATGATTATTTTGTCAACCATGGATGAAATTTGCTTTAGAAGAAGGGTTGAATTTTATGATGTCCGTACTTTATTCTGTTAAACGCACATTTCATTGAAATATGATTTTCAAATCGAATTAAAAAAATAAAGATAGATTTAAAATACTAGTTTTTATTGGTGCCTTGTGTAAATTCAAGGAAACTATAATGTAACTGGTATAGTGATAATTATAATCTCATTCTTTCACTGCAGAAAACGTACATTTACTTCTTATAAACTTGATATTAAAGGACTTAAATTTTCTGTTGACCGATGAAACAGCAGTACAATTAATCATCTGGGATAAATTTTCTTGTCTGCTTCAGAAAATCTAAGTACGAAATCTTTATCTCTCACAATAAGTTTTATTTACATTTCAGTTTACAAGTGAAGCTTGTTTTAAATTTGTTAAGGTCAAGCCTAAGTAATGTAAGCATTCACCAAAGCTGGCATTTTATGAAATGCTTGCTTCAATCTTGTTTAAAGATACTTTTAATTGAATAAATGATATGTATTTTACTCCTTTACATAAATACAAAGATACAATTACTTTCTACAGGTAGTGTGGTCATTTGTCATGTAGCAAGTGTGTCCTAAAGAACTATATGCGGTAGTATATTGCATATATTTGCCCCCACAAAAGTCAAATTTTGAAAACTTCCTGAAATGTGCTGAATTCAATAAACTGTATGAGAAATATAAATTAACAGAAATTATTATAGTGTCAAAGCAGTGTATTCTCAATTTTTGTTTTTATGACGTCACAAACTAGTCCGATTTTATATCCTTTTTCAGAAAGAGGACAAAATGGACAAAATTTCAACAATTTTAGCTTTAAAATTTACAGACCGCAAGTTTGCTCAGGAACAATATTGACATATTTCATTGATATTATCATTCTACACATTATACCAAAATATTGATCCTGAACACACATGCACTCGGTGACTTTTACTCAAAATATCGACGTAATATGTACATTTTTCTGTAAAATTCATAAAAAACTGAAATTTACGTCATGTTTGTGACGTCATTACGTACATATGGCGTCATTACTTATGAAAATATTCAGTGCTTTGAAGTCAGCATATACTCCCCTGTTTAAGAACTTAATAAAATATATCTCCATCAAAGTTTGATTTGGGGGGCAAATATTGGTTATTACCGAATAAAGTTCTTTTATAAATACAGTTAGTTGCTGCTTCATATATATATATATATTTTTCATATCATACTTTTTATTTATATTTCCATTAATTATATTTTCAGCTGACCCTTTTCTATTCCTCTGTGGGGCCCTTGCTGACTTACCAGTTTTCTAGTTTATTTAAACATTTATTGCCTTTATTAGTTAACTATATGTGAAGATCAAATGTGTTCAGTGTAATGGAGCATATACTTTTTTTTTTACAGATATAGATGAGTGCAGTAATGGAAATGGAGGATGCAGTCAGAAGTGTAATAATTATGTTGGATTTTTCAATTGCTCTTGCAACACTGGCTATCAGTTATACACAGGACCAAATTTCAACAATATCAGCTTGGCAGATGGAGAAACGGGGACAAGAGCAGGAGATAAAATTAGAATTAATTACACCTGTGTTCGTAAGTAACTGACTGTTTTTGAGAGAAGTATCTTTATTGATACTAAAACATAATTTAACTTTCTAGCTTATTTCTACCAAGCAATACACCTGATGTTAGTACCAATGACATAGTTCTGTTTAGGAGCAATTAAGTCTATTGATACATGTAGTCCTACTTGGACTAAACATGCATTAAAGATGATTCTAGGGATGTACACGAGATGCTGAACCTGGGAGGGGTCTATATTTTTCAAATATAGCCCAATTTAAGGTTAAAGTTTTGGAGAAGGTTCATTCTCAAGTACTGTTAATCACTTTTTATTTGCGAGATAATTTTGCAAAACTGTACTCATAACAAATTTCTAAATTAGCAAAAATAATATGTTATTAAATAAAGAATCTGTTGTAACTATTTATACATGTAAGCCCCACTTGGACAACATCTGCATATTTGCATGGAAAATACATCTAAGATTGCAACTACCCAAATTGCTTCAGTTGGTTGATCTTACCTTAATTTTACAGATGATGGACCAGGTTAAAAGGTCCTCATTATGAAATATATTAACGTCACCCGTAATAACGTGTCAAGCAGGACTATAGTTATAGGGCGAAGAAATAAACTGAAACACATCTAATCTGACGGAACTAGAGCTACCATGGTTAAGACATATTTCAGTTTAGTTACCTCTATTTGTGTGTGCGTGGGGGGGGGGTGAGAGTGTGTTTGTGTGTGTGTGTGTGAGGGTGTGTGTGTATGTGTGTGTGAGGGAGAGGGTGTGTGTGTTAAAAAGTTCAATTCAGTTCCATTTTGAGGTAAGAAATCTAATGAATTTACAAGAACTATTGGAGAGAACTATCTAAGTTTTAGGAACTTGTATCTAATTCCTTTGCCATGTTGTCAAAAAATATGTTCAAAACAAAAGAACTATGAGGAATCTGTAGTGAAGTGTTTTGTACTTGTTGTACTAAAATGCAATTTAAGAACATTTTGATAAATTAAAAGTGGTGTACATGAAATGTGATTTTAACATGACAACTCAATCTCCTTTAGTTCACCAGCTTTACAACCAGATCAACTCTCCAGTTTAATTATAAGTGTTGACTTTGCGTAATTAGGGCAAACAATAATCCTTTCAATTACAGTAGGTATGACCAGAACGTCAATTGCTTCCTAACTACTTTTAGGAGTCCAGTGTCCAACACTCATGCCTCCTTTGAATGGAAAGATACTGAGCAACAAGAAGTTGTTCTATTATGAAGATGGAATAACTGTTCAGTGTGACCATGGCTACTACCCAGATCCTCAGAGGACAACGCTGAAATGTGGGGCAGAGCAAGGCGTTGGGAAGTGGTCTACAGAAATGACAAATTGTACAAGTATGTTTGATATTCTAATTATTGTTTAACGTCCCACACGAAAATGTTCCATTCATATGGAGACGCCCCCACTTGCCAGCGAAGAGTACAATTTTTTTTACCTATATTCAGCACTCAGGGCCATTGAGCACCTACTGTGGCAAGGGACCTCAGTTTATACTGTCTTTTTCGAAGGATCGGTCTCCATGTCCCACTGTGGGATTCGAACCCGTGACGTAAGGAACAATTCCTCACTTTGCGACTCTAGAGCAGACGCTCTAACCACTGCGCCACGCGGGCGACTGTAAAAATTAATAAAGTGTGGTTTCGAAATAGGCAGTTTCATTATGTATGATAGCATTAAGCTATTGCCCCTTTTCAGATTGTGAATTAACTAGTGTTGTCAAGGTGCAAGCCCAAAATGAGTTGCTAAGTTGATAAACTTTTTCTGTTATATGTCTTATTTTATCACATGCAGGGCATTTACGATAATGTACACACAGTTGTTACTTTCTCATAGCATAAAAACATGATGCTGGTGACTGTCAGGTTCGTTCAAATGTTTGTGTCAACTTGCGTTTTAGCTACATATATTATCTCTCTTTGGACCATTGTCAAATATATTTTACCCATAGTTTCTAGAGGGAAAAAGATGGAAAAGTAGTACTGCACCCTTGAAACAAGTTTCTTATTTCAAGGCTAAGGTTAAAACATGAAATGTATAAAATCCTTGTCAGAAAATATGTGACATATTTCCTCTGTGTCCAATATACCATTTGGCGATTGAACTTGAATGATGTCGTTCACTTGAAAGACATAGTCAAGGCATAACATGTAAAATCCTTTTAGTTTTTTGATATCACTGACAGCTGCTTTTTCAATAAAAATTGGAACTCGTCGATATACTAAATTGGCCATTGGTCATTTGCAAAATTATTTTGAGAAACACATTCTGATTGCACACACAAGTACTCTGAAATTGACATCAAAAAGATGCTTGAGTTTCTGATAAATTGATAATATCTATGTGGTTAAATATTATAGATTCTGTTGAAGATTTCAGGTCAGGGTCAGGTAAAAAAGAAGACGTTGAAACTTAGTCAGAATGGATTAAATGTATCAGATCCATGTTAAAATAGCGTATTAAAAGACGCTTTGATATGGCAATATGAAAACCATCTATCCTTCTGTATTCAATAATCCAGAAGTGAAACAGAATTAGATAGATTACATGATCAGTACGTTTTCGTCCTTGCTGACAAAGGAGGAGACAACATTGTCTTTGTTTGAAAGGCTCATTATATACTGTAAATGTATTATATTTAGCGTGTACGATATTTGGCGGAAATTGACTTTTGAATAAGTTAGCGTAGATTTGATTTAGCGCATTTCTTCATTTTCTTATTTATGTGTATATGTGCAAGACATTTAGCGTTGTACTTGATTTAGCGGTTGCTGCGTTCCGCCAAAGCCGCTAAAAAGACTACACAGCCAAATGTAATATGTTTACAGTAAATTGTATTTTAGATCTAGAAGAACTTATTTTAATTTTACTAGTGGAAATCCAACGTTTACTCATAGTTCCATTTCTAAGGAAGAATTTCTTTAAAATCATATGATAATTTGAAATAAAAAAATGTTACCAAAACCAACAGCCTAAAAACTTACGACTCTTTAACCTTATACACAACCATTCCTCACGATAAATAAGTTCAGGCTTTTTGATATCATCGACAGCTGCTTTTTCAATAAAAATGGAACTCGAAAATTTGCTTACCTTGTCAATGGTTATATATGCAAAATTATTTTGTTAAAATACTTACTGATTGCACACACAAGTACTCTGAAGTTGACATCAAAAAGGTGCTTGAGTTTCTTTTTGACAACATCTACCGTATAGCGGGTTATATAAGCGGGGTTCTTATTTTGGCGTTTGATGGTAGCCAGCTAATATTTTAATCGCTTAAATAGTCAGTGCTCTTTTTAGTGTGTATCTGCAAAGAGCTTAAAATTCTGTGTCCGCGAAAATAAATTGCGCCAAAATAATTTGCATTTTGAGAAGGCAAAAAAAATCAAACTTTTACACCCGCCAAGAAAACCCGCTATACTGTATGTTGTTCAGAGACCAGATCTTTTAAAAATCTGTTGGAATTCCCATGGTACCAATTGCGCCCCGTTATTAGCAGACTTTTTTTTGTATTCATATGAGGCAGGATTTGTGCAAAATCTTATGCGTGAAAACATGAAAACACTTGCTGTGGCCTTCAACTCGACATTTAAATATATCGACTACGTATTTTCAATTGACAATAGTAATTTCTATTCCTATGTCGATACGATATATCCTGGTGAGCTTGAGATAAAAGATACCACAGAGTCTGACGCATCTGTTTCATACTTGGATATTTTACTTGAAAAAGACGTTAATGGTAATCTAACAACCAAGCTCTATGATAAATGTGATGACTTTAACTTTTCTATCGTCAACCTCCCTTACTGATGCAACAATTTACCTTCATCACCTGCATACGGCGTTTATATACCTCAGTTGATTAGATACGCAAGAGAATGCTCTACAGATGAACAATTTTTAAAACGAGGTAAATTATTGACAAACAAGTTGATGAAACAAGAATATCAGCAGTCTCCTTTAAATTCATCATTTTGTGCGTTCTTTGGTCGATACAATGACCTTGTCAGGAAATACAATTCATCATTGAGTCAAATGCTGACTACTAATTGTTAGTCTATTATTTATTAGTGTATTGGCGACGGATTTTTCCATTATTTCCCGATCATGACACAGAGCACACGGCGGAAGTGACCAGTCGGCAGGGGATGCTCACTCCTCCATGGCACCTAATCCTACCTCTGATGTTTTAGATCCGTGTTTGCTCTGCTCCTATTTTGTATTGTTTTATGGACTTTGATGTTGAATATTCTTCGTTATCTCCATATCCTTCATTACTATAGTATATATATTTTTATAGCATATGATCTTTCGTACAGTACACCACCTATTAAGTGCCTATAGGAAGAAAGCTGTGCCTGCTTTCAAAACCTATTCACTTCTAGAATTTTGAATAAAATACGGTTTTAATTAATAGAGTACCCTTCATTAAAGTTGTGTTATTACCTTGAGTATTAACTCAAAGATCTAGGTCTAAACTTAATGTAGGGTTGAATTGTTTGGTCAGTTATACAATCTTTCGCTTGACAATAACATTTATGCTTTACCAATAAAATGCCTTTTCGGAGAAAGTACTAACTCAAAAGAAAAGGTTGCAGGTGTTCTTTTATTTTGGGATATTAACTCTCCCTTCCTTCTACAAAATATCCATAATAAAGGTTATGTAGTAACCTTGACTTTTACCTAACATATAAGGGTCAAAATCAGACATTGTTTTACTATCTTTCCTTTCCTCTTGGTTTCATTTTGTTCTCAAATGCAACCAAAAAAATCTTCCTTTGTAGCGTGTAAATTTCTATTTTCCTTTCACAGAGGGAACCTGTATGATCCCAGGTCTTACTTCTGATCCTAATTACAACAGAATCTTTCCAAATATAAGGACAAGAGTGGACTTTGGATCTTTAATTATTATTGAATGCAGATATGGAACAAAGTTCAGGAATCTCTCCTTGTATTGTGGAGAAAATGGGCTATCAACATACAGACTTTTGGGAGATACTTTGACATGTCCAGGTCAGAGAAAGAGTTTATGTTAGTGTTGTTATGATAAAGTGCAAAGCGGGAATTATTTATTCAAATCACATTGTTTGTCTTCTTTAGTACTGAATGACTTTTAATTTAACTTAAACTTATTCACTTACCCATCCAAGTAATAGCAATCTTATGGCTCTCTGGGTATAAAGGGCTCTCGATCGTAGCGAGTGTCCAAAATCAAAATTTTCTTGATTCACACTTTACTTGCAGTGGTTTTCTTCAGATTTAAAATGACTAAATGAAAATTCATTTGTAGAACTAATTAAATAAGGACCTTGTTATTATTCATGTAAACAACTTATCAATTGATATATTAGTACCTAAACTAATATATCAAAAATTTTCAGAACAAAGTTCACATCCACTAATAATATTCGCTTGTTTTAAGCTTTAATTGTTTAAGAAGCCAGATGAAATGTATCAGTTAAGCATTTTCTGGCTCAACAAAGCTAAAGGTTCAAGTGAACTTTTCTGATCTAAATCGTCAGTGGTGTCGTGCTCTTGACCACACAAGTAGGAAAGGGGGAACTAAAGTTTTAAATGAGAATACGTCGGCATGGAAAACAATCTTTGAAAATTTTCTTAAGAAAAGTACAATATTTTATTAGTCATATTTATTTCGAAGCATCCATAGATAGTGTTGATCCAAATTCTTTTTCTTTGGGTTAATAAGGGTACATTCAAAAGGAGTGGATCCATTTTTTTCAAGTTATGAACTATCAACGTAGGGTGGGAAATCCCTTTTGAAAATCTACATTCAAGAACTGCAAAACAACAGTTGGTCAAATTTATATGGAAGCATTATCAGATTCAAGGTTAAATCTTTACACTTAGAGAGGTAGGGTGGGGCTAAATGATTTAAATTTTACATAGGATGTGTAGGGGAAAATCCAGTCATATGGAAGAGAAGGGTTATAGTGTCTCAGATTAGCACAATGACAAATATGTTTCTTGTTTAGTTAGCTCTTATTTTCAGAGACCAAGAGATCTTAGGTAATAGTAAGGTGCTTATTTTCCTTCCATTTGTTTCCATCTGTTCCATCAATTTTTTTTTAATGATACGCCAATACGCGTTTTGGTGTATTTTCACTAAGATTTGGTACACAAGTACATTTACAAGGATACAACATCTTTTTTAGAGGTTTTGATTTCATCAAAGAGTGTAACCATGATTATTCAAAATGGAAATATATCTGTGAAATTCTTGAAAATTGCTACTTCTAATGTTTTTTTCTAATTAATAAAAAAGCGTATTAGTTATTAAGATGTATAATTCTTTATTTAACTTACTGAAAATAGAATTTTTCATAAAATTCCCTTTACTTGTTTGGACAAGCTAATTTGCAAAGTACTTTTATTCATTTGTTTTTTGATTTTTAAAAACGATATTGCCATTTGCAAGGTTTTCTGAAAATTATATATCCTTAGAAATTCAATCGAAATGCTTTTTCTCGTACATATTCAGTCACTTTAAGCTATCATCTTTTAGATTTCTTATTTATAAAATGCTTGTTACAAGAAATACATGTACTTAACAAAACTTATATTTATCAATTTATCTTTTAACAGTTCTTGAATGCGGGATACCAGAGCAAGTTCCAGGTTCTATTCAATACAGCTATCCTGATACACTTTTTGGCAGTTCATTTAACTTTAGCTGTCAAAATGGTTCAACCCTCGGTGGGAAATCAGTAGATGGAGACTTCATTGTCAGATGTCAGGAAAACAGACAGTGGGGCTTTGGAAATCTCACATGTACAGGTAGTTGGTTGTTGAAAAGAATTTTATGCAAATTCTTTAGGTCACCTGAGTCACTAGAGTAACCTATTACTATCTGTTTTTGCCCACCACCATGCATGAATAATAAACTATGACTATTTTCAGTTTCTTCTCTTGAACCACTAAATTTCAATAAATTCAAGCATATAGCTTCGGTGAATGTGTGCAAAAATTGTGAATTTCATGGTCTCTGTCCAGAGTCAAAGAGAAGTGACTAAAACCATAAAAATAAGATTTTTCTCTGACTATCCTTTTCTTTATTCCTAGATATCAAGCAATCAAAGTGTCAAAATTTTGAAATTAATGATCCCAGGTTCATTGATTCGGGAGTTAGGATTGGGCACTATTTATCATATAGTGAAAATGCAAAAATTCTTTAACAGTTTGGGAAACAACATTTTTGATCTCTTGATGTTTGGGTTTGACAGCATTTAACTTTAACCTTTGCCATTAACTGCCATACGGGGGCATCAGTGTTCAACAAACACATCGATTTGCGTCCCAAATCATCACACTTAGGGTTAGGGTGAGGCTAAATGATTTTAATTTTACATAGGGTGTGTATGAAAAAATCCAGTGATTTGGAACAATAATCTGCAATTTCTGTTCATTTTCTTTCTAGAAGTTGCATAACCTGAAATGAATTTTGATATACAGATTTATCATAAGAATATCTAGGTCAAGTACTACTTTGGGTACGAGCAAACCCTAAAATGTATGTCCGATGGGAGTAACTTGTGCATACAATTTTGTTAAGGGGTAGCTTCTAAATTTCGTCACAATTTCTATGTAAAAAAATCTTTATTATTTCTCAAAACTACACAGTTGCAAATTGTCTGACTAATATGCAGTCATCTATTTCTGATTATGAAGGTGAAATTTGCTCAGTTGAACAAATGGTCCCAATAAAGGCAAATCCTATACCGGCATGCCAGGACTGTCCCCCTCTCTTTCCTTTGACTAACCTTGAACCCATACCCTACATGTTTTGAAATTTCTGCCACTGTTCATGAAGTGGGCTTTGGTTACAATTTGTGGGCAAAGTTTTACAAAGTAACTTTATGTACAAGCATAATTAAAACTTCTGAAATTGTGTTCCTTATAACCAGTGAAGAGAACTAGAGGTACTGTGAGCGATGAGCTCACTAAATGATACCCCCGCTTCCCATATGGTTATAACTGGTGAAAAAGTCCATGTTTTCCTGTGACCGGGAAACCTAAAATATGTGTCGGATCAAAAAGTAAAATAGGAGGTGCACAATGGCAATATGTAATAAAGATTCTGTGAAAGTTTCATCAAATTTCATTCAGTGGTATGAGAGGAGTTGCGGATAAGAGATGGGTACCCCAAAGTGTAACAGACGGACGGACGGACAGACGGACGTACAGACGGACGGACGGAATTAACGATTACTATATACCCTCCCGCTTTTCAAGCGGGGGTATAATTACTTAATGGCTTATGGGCCTTCTGTTTTGCTATTTTACTTAATTGTGTTATCTGTGTTGATATTGCGTGTATATTTTCTATTTTACCCAGAAAACTGAAAATTGGCATGCATAATCTTTGAAAGTGTTTTAACAGTTGGACGATGCACAGACCCTGGTACACCAGGGGGTGCTGTACAGGTAGTGAGGAGTTATGAGGCAGGGGAGCTCCTCAGGTTTAGATGTACACGTCAGGGATATGAACCAATTCCTTCTACTCCTCTTCTCTGTGTAGAGCAGGGGAGCAAAAATGCCACTTGGAATTCCACTGACTTACCTCTTTGCACAGGTGGGCAATTTGTAATACATAAGGCAACAAGCAAATAATTCTTTTTATACAATGAACAAAGAAAGTTAAACCTTACGATCACTTTAATCACGAAAACACAGTTCCGTAAGTAAACGAAGTAGGTGGATCCATTTTTATAAACCTTGAATTTAAGATAAGTAAGATTAGTTATAAGGTGTGTCGCTCGTGTAATTTGTTAAATCAAGGATTTTTTATGAGAAGTATATTTTGGAAAAGTACTCATATAGTATGACTAAAAATCGCAGAGATCAGAGGTCAGTGTGCGTCTTACTGAGCTACGGTACAATTAAGTTGACCTTTTTGTACTTAAATTTTGTCTCTAATAACTTTAACCTTTATCATTTTTTATCAGATGTAACCATAGCAATAAATAAATCATATTTTATGTAAAAATAGCTTGAATGATACTTATAATTGCAAATATTGCAAATTAATGCGCGAAAATTATTGTTTGACCTTTTTGCACAGAAAAATTAACATATTTTGGGGTATTTTATAAAAATCTAGGTAGGCATAAAAATATTTTCTTGTGTCAAGCTTTTTAAAACTTAAGTGATGAGCAGTCACAAGTATCGAGTAGTTTAAAATAATGAAAGAAAAAATGAAATATTCGTCAAAATTTGCGATTTTCAGGCAAAGATCAGTGAAAATTTTATCTTGACTTATTTAACAAATCTTCATTTCTCGACAAGGTTTATTGAGGGAAGTTGTTAAATTTGTTAAAAAAATATGAATTGAGACCTAAATTAATTATATTAGCATATCATAACGGAAAATATTCTCCGAGAAAAAGTATTTTAGGCTCAAGATCCAAGATATTAAATTTAATAAATGTGCAGAATTGCAGAATTTTCTGCTAAATATCCTTCCACCACAAAAAATAGTCATCCATAAATCTTCTTTGTGGATTTGATAGCAGTTTTTTTCATTGAACGTTGAACAATTTACATATGTTATAAAAATTGAAATAGAATAAATAGTTTTGAAGTAAGAGGCTCTGCGTGAACTTTTTAAAAAAGCTGACGAGTGATATATCTTAAGTAGAAAATTTTAACGAATACCGTATATACTCGTATATACCCCCAGTAACTGACTAAAACTTTTTGAGTAAATAGTCTGTTAGATCGAACGATATTCAAGTCTTCAGATGTTTGTTGATATCCGTTTACAAATATAGATAAATTATAAAAAAAAAAAAAGTACTGGTAAATAATGGAAAAAAAAGCTTAAAAATATTTCAATCTCTTTTTTTAATACAGATGTTACACCACCAGAGTTTAATAACTGTCCCAAGACATATTACATTGACAGTATGGACGCAGTAAGTTTTGTTACCCCCACTGCCACTGATAACTCTGGTCTGGTGAAGAATGTGACTGTAGATCCTCCCAATTTCAAAAGTGGTACAGTGGTGTCCAGTGATTTAAATGTCACCTACACAGCTGTAGATAATGGAGGGAATACTGCAAGATGTACGATCTCATTCATCATTAAAGGTAAATAAGTAAATTATAAATTAAGTCATTAATTAATAGCTGAATCAAAAAGCTGTTAAGATTTTTTTGTGGGGAAAACGTTTCTTTTTTAACATTGAGCTTTTTCAAAAAATCAAAGGTTGTCCCTTGTCGTCATCCTTTGTCGTAAATTTTTCACTTTTCATTTTCTTCACCAGAACCCTTCGACTAATTTCAATCAAATTTGGGTCAAATTATTCATGGGTAAAGGGAATTTAAATGTTTTCAAAGGAAGGACAACTACCTTTCCCTAGTGTAGTTAACTCAAAAATAGTTAAAATTGGGTATCTTTTTAAAGTCTTCTTCCCAAGAACCACTGGGCCAAAAAAGGTATGAGAAAGATATTGACATAGTGTAGATTCAAATTTGTTCAAGGCATGGTCCTCTAGGGGTAAAGTGGAGCAACAACAGGAAACTTAAGTTTTAGGTACGAATGATTTCTATGGGAGTAGAGAATTCGAACATATTTTAAAATAGTACATATTTTAATGGGTTTAATCCCATCCCTCTGGTACCAAGAGAGGGGGACAAACGAGGGCTGTTCAAGAAATAATGTCCTCGATGGTCGAAAAAAAACGCTTTTCAGTGATTTAATCTTAATGATTTAACTTAAAATTCTCTTTCAATTAAAACACATGTCCTTAAAATTTTTATCCAATTATTGATTGCTTTTAAAACTCATTTTTGGGTATGACCCTTAGTATACTGGAAAATGGCATATCTAATGGTCTTCTAGATTAGTTCCTTTCTATTGAAAGGTGTTTTTTTCTAGTTTGGAAAATTAAACAAGTCAAAAGACGAAAGATCTGGCGAATATTGTTAATGTGAAAAAATTAACTCTCTGTTTATCCCCTTTACTCTTCAGGGCGTGCGGGTTTGGACGCTGTCAAGAAGAAATTTAATTCATGTAGTGAATTCCCGATACTGCTTCCTTCCTCTCATTAACCTTTCGATTTTTTGCCAAATAATTGCTATCTAGACTCTTCCAGAAATTAAACTGCATCCCCGAATACGAATTTGAACAACAATACCACTTATATTTAAGAAAATTGCATATAAATCTATCATTGAGCTCTTATCTGACTTGTCAAGTACACCTTATTGTAAATTTGGTTTCGAGTGTTTTGAGCAATATATTCAAGTTTCATTATCTGTTTGAATTTCAGACAAACTTGAATAACTACAAGAACAATATTTGTTTAGATATTCTTACACGCTGTCGTTTTCACTCATTTTTAAAACATAGGGTTCCCTTTGATTACTAAGCTTTTTTCTGTCAAACGTTTCTTTAAAACTACGTGAATTACTCTCGATATGATGACTATCAAATTTGCTGTATGTCTTAAAGTCAATCATACATCATCAGTGATTTATTGTTAAAATTTGGCAAACAGTGCATTAATTGTTTTAATATTTTGTTACGAGGACGGTACCCACTTTTGATGCCCATTATATTTGTTTTAATCATAGAAATTCATCTGCTCATTTGTCTATAAAACAAAAATTGCTTGCTGTAAATTTCACATATTTCAGTGAATTGTTCTTTGGAATCCTTAACGAGTTTAATTAATGAAGCGTTTAATTTCACTCTAGTTTATTGATTCTTTACCATTCATTTTTAATGCAGTGTCTCGAATAGCCCTTTTTCCAGATTCTCACAATGAAATTACAATTTTATGTGTTATAAATTCATTAAAGATTAAATAATGCGAGAAAGTCAAACTTAATGTCATATGATATTTGTATTGTATGTTATACGATTCAGGAGTATTTATTGAACAGCCCTCTTAGAATTTACAATTTTTCTACCCTTTACCCAAAGAGATTTGTTAAATTGATAAATTAAATGTTATTACACGATGATGAATGACTGAATGAGTTATAGATACCCTTAAAGTCACGTGTATTTATAATATTTTATTGCACGATGTAAATTATAATATATACATGCAGCAAGGAAATATTAGTTATAAATAAATATAAGGCTATATCTATTCCCTCTTATTTAAATTTGACCACACTTGAAATAATAAAAATAATGATTGAGATGTGATTTTTTTTGGTGAACAGGTTTCTTTGAAACTGCCTTTGATGTTTGCCAATTCAATACGTCCTGTTCTAATGGAGGTATCTGTGGTCAATCTGGTAAATAGCTTTAATTCACTGCCTACATGATGACAAGCTTTTTTTAAAATTTTATTCATCTTATAAAGTATTACATCTCATTGTTTTACACATTCAATAGTAAAATTCTCTTTTAACCTTGGACTTTCAGTAAGACGTGGTATTCTCGACGTAACATAATTAGCGTCTGAAATTTACACAGCCTTTCAACGAGTGTATCAATGATCCAATTATATTGTTTCGTATGGCAGAGAGGCGGGACTTAATTCATCTCATCGTTGTCAGCAACAATTTAAAGTAGCTGATATCGTTAATTTCTCAACCAATGAGAATCTATTTCCCATTTGAACTTCTAAAAGTCCAAGGTCAACTGAGAATCGTACTAATTTTAAAGAATTTAAATGACAAAAAAATTACAAATAATGATTGAATTATTGTTTCCATTTCAATTTGTAGTGACAAATTGCACTTTGCAAGCAAAACCTGGCAGTTTTGCTGTTACTGATGACAAATCAGAAAATCCACAAAAAAAGTCTCTGAATTTATGTAAAGAAGAATGTCTTCAAGATGTCCAATGCAGATCTTTATTTCATATCAGAGGGTTCTGCTACATCATTAAACAAGATGCTTTTCCAGAGCCCTACCCAATTGATGCCTCTCAGTTCTTCTACAAAATTGGTATGTACAAAATCATTATTTATAATAGGACATTCAAACTTATTTATAAACCACTTTCATGTACCAGTGAAATAAAATGGTACGATTTTAGGTCAATTATTAGGGCCCCGCTTGGCGGGCGCCCTATAGTGTTCAGTCTGTCCGTCCGTCCGTCTAGCTGTCCGTCCGAGATCTCTTGTCCGGGGCATATCTTCTCTCTCCTTGGCCCAATCTGGCTCATACTTCACCCACAGAGTGCCTTTGGGTAACCGGTGTGCAGTGACCTTGAACCAGGTTTCTAGGTCAAAGGTCAAGGTCAAAGCTGAATTATATGAAAAATCCTTGTCCGGAGCATATCTTCTCTCTCCTTGGCCCAATCTGGCTCATACTTCACCCACAGACTGCCTTTGGGTAACCGGTGTGCAGTGACCCTGAACCAGGTTTCTAGGTCAAAGGTCAAGGTCATAGCTGAATTATATGAAAAATCCTTGTCCGAAGCATATCTTCTCTCTCCTTGGCCCAATCTGGCTCATACTTCACCCATAGAATGCCCTTGGGTAACCGGTGTGCAGTGACCTTGAACCAGGTTTCTAGGTCAAAGGTCGAGGTCATAGCTGAATTATATGAAAAATCCTTGTCCGAAGCATATCTTCTCTCTCCTTGGCCCAATCTGGCTCATACTTCACCCACAGAGTGCCCTTGGGTAACCGGTGTGCAGTGATCTTGAACCAGGTTTCTAGGTCAAAGGTCGAGGTCAAAGCTGAATTATATGAAAAATCCTTGTCCAGAGCATATCTTCTCTCTCCTTGACCCAATCTGGCTCATACTTCACCCACAGAGTGCCTTTGGGTAACCGGTGTGCAGTGACCTTGAATCAGGTTTCTAGGTCAAAGGTCAAGGTCCAAGCTAAATTATATGAAAAATCCTTGTCCGGAGCATATCTTCTCTCTCCTTGGCCCAATCTGGCTCATACTTCACCCACAGAGTGCTTTTGGGTAACCGGTGTGCAGTGACCTTGAACCAGGTTTCTAGGTCAAAGGTCAAGGTCCAAGCTGAATTATATGAAAAATCCTTGTCTGGAGCATATCTTCTCTCTCCTTGGACCAATCTGGCTCATACTTCACCCACAGAGTGACTTTGGGTAACCGGTGTGCAGTGACCTTGAACCAGGTTTGTAGGTCAAAGGTCAAGGTCATAGCTGAATTATATGAAAAATCCTTGTCCGGAGCATATCTTCTCTGTCCTTGGCCCAATCTGGCTCATACTTCACCCACAGAGTGCCTTTGGGTAACCGGTGTGCAGTGACCTTGAATCAGGTTTCTAGGTCAAAGGTCAAGATCATAGTTGAATTATATGAAAAATCCTTGTCCAGACCATATCTTCTCTCTCCTTGGCCCAATCTGGCTCATACTTCACCCACAGAGTGCCTTTGGGTAACCGGTGTGCAGTGACCTTGAACCAGGTTTCTAGATTAAGGATCAAGGTCATAGCAGAATGATATGAAAAATCCTTGTCCAGAGCATATCTTCTCTCTCCTTGGCCCAGACTGCCTCATACTTCACCCACACAGTGTCTTTGGGTAACTGGCGTGCAGTGACCTTGAACCAGGTTTCTAGGTCAAAGGTCAAGGTCATAGCAGAATGATATGAAAAATCCTAGTCTGGAGTATATCTTTTCTTTTGTTTGCCCAATCTGGCTATTACTTTACTCATAGAGATCCACTGGTCAATGGATGTGCAGTGACCTTGGTCGAAGTTTCTAGGTCATGGTCAGAATTACCCTTTCTGTTTAAAATCTTTGTTTGGTGCATAATTCTTTGCCTTTATTTCCAGTAAATTTATATAACTTGGGATACAAGAAAACTTCGATAAATATTAGTAAATTTGCAGTATCCGTGAAGTCGTACTAAATGACTTTTACTGTATTACACAAATGTTCCTCTTCAAAATAATCCCTTTTAAACAACCTTACATTTTCATGTTCATTGTTGAACGCTGGGCCCTTTGAGATGGCCACCATCTCAATGATATCTAGTTTGTAACATGAATTGAGAAATAAAACCTGCGTTTTCATAAATGTTGCAGGATAATCTCCTGGGTCTCTAAATGTTGTTTGAAAGATAAAAGCCGAGGCGTCAGCCGAGGCTTCTATATTTCAAACAACATTTCGAGATCGGGGAGGTTATTCTGCATCATTCACGACAACAAGGACTTTTTTCTAAGCAGCTCTAAAATACGACTGATCGTTTTCTTTTAGAGAAAAGAATTAGGTCATTGTGATGCGATTATGCTGTTCCGTTTAGCACCAGAGTGTAAATTTTTTTGTTCACCTGTGAATAGAATGCAGACGATTTGTGCTTTTGTTGTCTTGAAATTAGCCTTGTACTAATCATAAATCTGTTTGAAGCCTATATAGATAAATCTTTTTGAATATACAACAACGAAATCAGTGTCCTATTTTACCACTTTATTATTAAAATCACGGAGTTTAAATATGGCTGAGAGGTCCGTGAAACAGCCCCGCTTAGCTCTAGAAACCTACATTCATCAGCTACTTTTTGCAATCTCCAGTGTTTAAATTGCAAAGGACGACACATCGATCTGGTCTAAATATGTTTTTCATTCTTAAGTCAAATGTACATTTCAACAGCACAGGTTTGCTACATGATTCTAATCTGATAATTTTTTGATGACGTTCTTGATTAATTAAAGAATAATGTCCGTGGCATTTCTTATATCTCGGCAATAATCGTAGAAGAATTACCATTAACATCTTTTTCAAGTAAAATATCCATATCAGCAACAGATTCTCATACTCTGTTATTTTTTTTTTATTTCAAGCTCACCAGAATATATCGTATCTAAATGAGAATGGAAATAACCATTGTATTTGACAATACGTCGTCAATATATCAAAATGTCGAGTTGAAAACCACAGCAAGTGTTTTCTTTTTCACATATAATATTTTGGACAAATTCTGATTCATATGAATACAAAAATAGGTCTGCTGTTAGCGGAGCATATTGTTTCTCATAGGAATTCCAATAGATGGTTGGAAGACCTGGTCTTAAAAAACACAAAGATAATGTCAATCATCTTTTTAATGTCAACTCCAGGGAAGGGTGAAAGGGATTCAAATTTGTTCAAATAAAGAACAATGTGTTCTTTAAACGGAATATAATTCAGAAATAGTGAAAATTTGGTTGTTTCTTTAAAAAATTTCTCAAGAACAATTGTGTCAAAAAAATGACACTATATGAAAGCGTCTTTATTTAGTATAGATTCAAGTTTGTTCACAAGGTGATCCTTGGAGGCAGGATCGGGCAATAAATGGTGATCAAAATTTTACAAAGTAATAAATAGGAAAAATCTTTAAATATACTCTTCTCAAGAACAGCATAGTGATGATTGGTCATATTAAATTGGAAGCATCTCTAGGTTGTGAAGAATAAAGTTTATTGAAATCATGATCCCCTTAGGGATAGAATGGGCTACAATAGGGAATGAATGGTTTACATAGGAATATATAGAGGGAAGCAGTTCTAAGATAAACGTTAGTCATTAACATGACGGCATTCACGGGTAATGAAGATTCAAGATTTACAATAGTACAAAAAAAAACCAGAAATTTCTTTGAAATAATTTCAAACGCTTCACCTCAAACAGATTTGGTCTGATTTCAGCATAAATTGACACACAAGTAGACTCTACTAAGATATCGGATTTCGATTTTGATGAACGGTGAAGCACAGGTTACCAAAACAAAACATAACTTTATGGGAAAAAAATTCAAAAAACCGTGAATGAATTCTCCTTAACGTTTTGATTAGATTCCAGTATAATTTCGCGCACAAGTATACTTCAGAAAAATTCAAATTTCTGTTTTTGTGGGGAAGGGGTCATTTAGATTATACTTACGATAAAGAAAGATTACCAGTTGGTACATCTGAAGGAAATATTAATTACAGCTTTAAACAAGATTATTTGCACCTAATAATGACTCAGGCGAGCATCGTGGCTCATTGACCTCTTCATTGACTTTGTAGTGACAAATTGCACTTTGCAAGCAAAATCTGGCAGTTTTCTTGTTGCTGATGACAAATCAGAGCTTACAGGAAAGAAACCTCTGGATTTATGTAAAGAAGAATGTCTTCAAGATGTCCAATGCAAAGCTTTATTTCATGTCAATGGCTTCTGCTATATCATTAGACAAGATGCTACTCCAGAGTACTACACATTAGATATCTCTTTGTACTTCTATAAAAGCTGTATGTCCAAATATCGTAAGTACAAGTAAACAGTGTTCATTTTTTTTTCATACCTTATATTCATGTGAGCATAAAGAGAAAATTTTGTTCCATACTATGCTTACCATTTAGTACTTGAAAATGAGTAATCAGGCTAGAACAAAAGTGACATTGATGTACATTAATCTTTACATACAGACAAATAGAGGAAGTGATATGAATTAACAATCTATTAATGTCTCCATCTTTTAGTAGCAAAATAATTACTAGTATATTGAAAAAATGAATTGCAGCAGAAATGTAAATGGACTATCTGATTAGTGTAAAGCCTTAACAATTGTCTCTTGCTCTTAAAAAAATCCTATACTTGAATGAAAGTAATAAATGCATGCAGTATATATCTTTTGAAGCTTGTCCAGCTGGGAGATACTCTTTAACAGGATACGAGCCTTGCAGGACTGTCCCCTTTATTACTATCAAACAACTGAAGGACCAACCTATTGTACCGAATGTCCACAGGACAAGATGACTCTGAAAACTGGCAGTAACAGGGCAACTGACTGCATCAGTGTAGGTTTGTATATATCTGGGTCGTACTAGGCAAGCTGCTAGGCAACATATATAGGCCACTGGAAGACACTGTATAATTAATTATTTTTGGGAGGTCATTTGAGCAACTCCTGATAGCAGTTCGTCAAGAAAGATCAACTGACAATCAGCCGCTAAGGGAAACGAGTAATGCATGATGGATACAGATAACTAGGTACTAAAATTTACAATGTTATGTGTGTAATAAGTACAGCATTTTCAATGAAAACTCGCTGACAAATTACGCCTAAAAGGAAAAGTGTTCGAAATGTACAGTGTCTGTGTAAATTCCATTTACAATCTACATTAACGTAATGTGTAATGAGTCAGAAAAAGTTCATTTTTTTAATTCTGGATAATGGCAGTTTTAAAGGACAACCAATTAAATAACTCTTAAGGTAACAAATGTAAAATTCTTTTGTTTTTTAAGTTATTTTTCCCTAGCTAAGCATTTCTTCGTTTTCATGATTATTTTAAATTAATGTTTCTGAGCCGGCATGAATAAAATAAATAGAATAACTAGGACCGAGCTCGTTGCAAATCAATGAGTATGTTGTCCGTCCGATTTTCAAAAGCACTGCTTTTAAAGTGGCAAATAAAAATAATGTATTCATTAAAAATACCTAATGGTAATCATTATGAAAATAGTGGAAAAGAAACCTAAAAATAACAAGAAGGTCTTCCGCTGAAGACGAATGACCTTGATACTTAAACAAGGGCATCACAATGCACAAAAAGAGCATCCCCTTGGAAAGAGCAAATCTATAAATCTAAACAGAATTCAACAACAAATCTGATGCAAATTATATCGTTTCCGTTTCGCACATTTTAATCACCCACAAACGAACACACACACCCTCCCTCACACACACACCCTCACACACACACAAACACAAATGCATTATTATGTTCATTCAAACTTCATTGCGAGGGGATTAATAAGTGACATTTTCTTATTCATTGTTGTATTTTCGCACTGAAAGTAGAAGTCATCAAAATTAAAGAACATGATGGACAAAGCCCAATTACACGAGGGATAATCAACAATCTTCTCAAGATCCATTGGACCAGAAAAGCTGAAACTTATGTTGGAGCATTCTAGGGTTGTGTAGAATCTAAATTATTCAAATCATGACCCCCGGGGATAGGGCGGGGCCACTTTAGGGATTTTTAGGTCACCTGAGTAAACTTAGGTGACCTATTGATATCTTTTTTCGTTCGTCGTCGTCCGTCGTGTGTTTAAAACATTTGAACATTTTCAGCTTCTTCTCTGAAACCGCTAAACCAAATTTTAACCAATTTTGGCACAAATCATCTAGAACCCAGGGTCGGGGGTTCTGGTGTTTAGGCGGGGCTCTATTGATTATATAGTAAAAATGCATTAATTCTTTGAACATTTTCTTCTCTGCTCCTGGGTATTAAATAAACTAAGTACATAGTTATGATAAGCAAGAGTACCTCTTCCAAAATTGTGAATTTTATGGCCCCAGGGTCAGGGGTTCTTGTGTTAGCGTGGGGCTCTATTGATTATAAAGTGAGAATGCATTAATTCTTTGAAAATCTTCTTCTCTGCTTCTGGGTATTAAATAAACTAAGTAAGTACATAGTTATGATGAGCAAGAGTGCCTCTACCAAAATTGTGAATTTTATGGCCTCGGAGTCAGGGGTTCTGGTATGAGGGCGGGGCACTATTGATTATAAAAGGAAAATGCATTATATCTTTGAAAATCTTCTCTGCTCCTACATGTAGGTTTTAAATAAACTAAGTACATAGTTATGATGAGCAAGACTGCCTCTAGCAAAATTGTAAATTTTATGGTCCCAGATTAGGGGGTTCTTGTATTAGGGTGTGCCTCTCTTTATTACTGCATTTAGTGATAATGCATTAATTTTTAGCTCACCTGAGCCGAAGGCTCAAGTGAGCTTTTCTGATTACATTTTGTCCGTTGTCCGTCCGTCTGTCTGTCCGTCTGTAAACTTTTCACATTTTCGACTTCTTTTCAAGAACCACAGGGCCAATTTTGACCAAACTTGGAACAAAGCATCCATGGGTTAAGGGAAATTTAAATTGTTAAAATAAAGGGCCAAGTCCCCTCACAAGGGAGATAATCAAGAAAAAACAAAAATAGAGTGGGGTTATTAAAAAAATCTTCTTCTCAAGAACGACTGGGTCAGAAAAGCTGAAACTTATGTGGAAGCATCATAGGGTAGTGTAGATTCTAAATTGTTCAAATAAATTTATCCCCGGGGGAAAGGCAGGCTACAATTGGAAATCAAGTTTAACAGAAATATATAAGAAAAATCTTTGAAAATTTTGTTCTTAAGAACCACTAGGCCAGAAAAGCTTAAACTTATGTGGAAGCATCCTGGTATAGCGTAGATTCTAAATTGTTCAAATCATGACCCCTGGGGGAAGGGCGGGGCCACAATGGGGAATCAAAATTTTACATAGAAATATATAGGAAAAATCTTTGAAAATCTTTCAAGAACCACTAGGCCAGAAAATCTGAAACTTATGTGGAAATACTCTAGGGTAGTGTAGATTCTAAATTGTAAAATTCATGACCCCCAGGGGATGGGCGGGCTACAATTGGAAATCAAGTTTTACATAGAAATATATAGGAAAAATCTTTAAAAATCTTCTTCTCAAGAACCACTAGGCCAGAAAAGCTGAAACTTAATATGTGAAAGCATCCTGGGGTAGTGCAGATTCTAAATTGTAAAAATCATGACCCCCTGGGAAAGGGCGGGGACACAATTGGGAATCAAAATTTTACTTAGAAATATATATGCAAAAATCTTTGAAAATCTTTTTCTCAAGAACCACTGGGCCAGAAAAGCTGAAGCTTATGTGCACATGGAAGGATCCTGGGGTAGTGTAGATTTCAAAATCTCAAAATTATCATCAGTGGGGTAGGGTGGAGATGCATTATGTATTACAAGGGGGAAATCTGGTAAAGAACAGAATGGCCAAAGCTTCTCATGTGGGCGATGTGGCCCATGGGCCTCTTGTTTGAAAATCTTCTCTTCTACTAGGGCCCCATGGGGAGGCCCTGAGTGCCGAGCATAGGCCTAAATTTGCAGCCCTTCACCGGCAATGGTAACGTCTCCATATCAGTGAAATATTCTGGAGAGGGACGTTAAACAGTATATTATCAATCAATCAATCTCTTCTACTAGGTATTAAATAAACTAAGTAAGTACATAGTTATGATGAGCAAGAGTGCCTCTACCAAAATTGTGAATTTTATGGCCCAGGGTCGGGGGTTCTGGTATAAGTACGGGGCTATATTGATTATTTAGTGAAAATGCATTAATTCTTTGAAAATCTTCTTCTCTGCTTCTGGGTATTAAATAAACTAAGTAAATACATGTAGTTATGAGCAAGAGTGCCTCTTCCAAATTTGTAAATTTTTGGCCCCGTGATTAGGAGTTTTGGTGTTAGTGTGGGGCTCTTTTGATTAATTATATAGTTAAAATACACTAAATCTTTGAAAATCGTTTTCTCTGCTCCTGGGTAATTAGCAGATGAACTATCTATATAATTATGATTAGCAAGGCCCCTTCTTCCAGGATTATGAACTTTAAGGCCCCTGGGTCAGGCGTATCATAGAGAGGGGGGGGGGCTCTACTTTTATACTGAAAATGAATTAATTGTTTGAAATCTGCTCCTTGGTTTTAATCAAACATTTTTGAAAAGTAAAGGTGCCTTTTCAAAAATGTGCAATGTATGGACCTACGATCGGGGGTTCATGTGTAGTAGGGGAACTACTGATTATTGCTGAATAATATTGATTAGTTGAAATACATTTTTGTTCCCCTACCCTGCCTATAGGTATTGAGTAACCAAACTAAGCAATTGCTAAGTGTATAGTTATGATATTTTTTTAAAATTGTGAATGCCATAGCATCTAGCTTAAATCATGAACCAAATGCAATCATATAAGGTGACCTATAAGGCTCATGGGCCTCTTTTTTTTAAGTATAAAGGAAAAAAAAATTTAAATTTCTTCTAAAGAACCAGTGGATAGAAAAGCTGAAACTTATGTAAAAGCATGTACAGGAAGTTTTACTCAGGTGAGCGCTATGATCTACGAATCTCTTATATTTTAATGAAAAGCGCTGTCATGTTTAATCAAAATAGGTAATAACAAAGTAATGTACTTTCAAAATGTCATTTCCATCGGAAGCTAAGTCAGTAATGTACTCACTCCGTCGTGAGTTCAATTCTCGGCCGCGATTGACCTAAGTCGAAAAAAAATGGGTGGCAACTGTTCCTTCAACATGCACTCGGAATTTTGAAGTGAAAGTTGATGAGAGAAGACCTAAAAATCAAGACCCCATGTTACGGTAGGCGTTGGCACGATAAAAATCTCTCGCTATTCAATGGGCGTAGGTGCAGTGTAATGGTCAAAATTTGAAGCTTTTTGGTTACATCTCTTTATGAGTGAAATATTCTCGATTGGGATGTAAAATAGCATACAATTAATAAATCAATCAAAATGTGATCTCTTTCCTAACAAAAAATTACTCTGGTTAACTATAGTTTACAAAAGTTAACCTTAGTGAATACTTTGATTGAAAATGAAACCTTTTTTAAAAAACTTAAAGCCATATTATTTCGTAAAAACATGTCAATGATGCCATTATTTGTTAAATTGTGTAAATATACAAGACGCTGGCATTTCGTTGCACAAACTTATTATTTTCTTATTTTCAAATATAGATTCTGCAGCTTGTAACACAACACTGAAAAATTGTAGCAATCAGGGTCAGTGTGTTTTCCAGAACCATGAAGCAGTATGTGTTTGTGATGAAGGTAAAATATACATACTAATTTCCACTTTTTAGTCACTCAAGTGTTATCTTGTTTTCATTTATCATTGTTTGTCATCCATTATCATTTTAACATTTTCAGCTTTTTTCTCTGGATTTGCTTAAGCAAAGTCAATGGTAGAAGATTTATGAGTGAAGAGAAACGAAAATTGTTTTGCCACCCCTCCCCTTTCAGGATGTGGCTACATGTAAAACATCATTTCAAAATTAAAAACCTTTTTTTTAATTTCTGGACAACAAGTAGTCATACTGTTGTTTGGATTGAAGGAAGCATAGTGCCTCTACTAATATTGTGAAATTCATGGTTCCATGATTTTAGGCTCTGAAGTTAGGGTGAGGCTCACATGATTTTAAGTTGATAATGCATAAACCATTTAAAATGTTCTCTCCCCTTGTATATAAAGGAGAGAAACTAAGTGCATGGCTATGATGATCTAGGATATCTTTTTTTAATTGTGAAATTTGTTGCCCTGGGGTCAGGGCTGCTGGAGAGGGAGGCTCTATTGATTATGTTGAAAAAGTGCATAATTTCTTTGAAAATCTCCTTCTCTGTATTATCACATAAAGCAAGTAGAAAGATTTGAGCAAGGTTGTCTTTTTTTGTAAATATTCTGAATAACAGGTCCTTTGGTCAAGGGTTTTGGTGTTATAATTGGACACTATAGATGATATTTACGACTATATACAGAGTTATTATGAACAAAGATGCCTTTTAAAAAGTTCAAAATTCCTGGTTCAGAGGTTTGGGGTGTTAGAGTGGAACTTTTTTAAAAATAATGGTACAATTGCATTGAATCTTTTAAAATATTCAGAGGCATATTTTGGACACTTTGAGGCTTAAGTGATTATCAGACATTGTCACTTGATGCATTTCGATGCATTTCGATTCTCCGTAGTATGTCGACAGAATAGTAGGTCACCATGACATTTTTTTTCAAATTTTATGATTATATTTCAATATCTAAAATACTAATTGGCTTAGAATCATCAGTCTGTCATTTAATGCATCTTGGGTGCTTGGAATAAAACGGACTGAAAAGGAAGCTATCTTGACCTAGTTATGAATTTTTAGGCTACATCTAAACATTTCAGTCACGAATTGAGTTATGCCTTTAGTCACATTCCCCGGCCGGTGGTAGTAAACTGTTGATAATCGATGGTATAATCTGTGGTGTGAGCGATGCCCCACCATCGCCCTAGTAGTCCTTAAAATATCAGTCACATTTTCCAGCGATGGAGTATACGATGTGTAACCAATACGTGTTTTTGATGAAAATGGCGTGGTTGCCGGCCGGACTTACAAAGGCCCAGCAATGCATTGCTTATCATAGAACGATGTTCCAGGGTAATTTGCCGATGTATATTACATCATTAATGAATTGGTGGACATCGTTCGTATGTAGGTCGACTATTGGCCAATGTTTGATTGAACATCAACCGATGACCGGCCGATGTCCTTTGCCCACCACTCAACCCCCCGATGACCTCAGATTCAATGGACTCTTGACGATCCAACGGTCATACATCGGCCAGTCCTTGAAAAATGTGTTAATGATGGGTTGCCGATGAAGAGCGGTGTGGGGCATAGGTGGAAACAGTGCTGATTTTTAACTACAAATTATTTTCTACCGATGACCCCCACTGATTCGCAAAATAGCCTCAGTCACCGTCTGATTACTCTAGGTATTCGGCCGGCAACCACGCTATTTTTTATAAAAAAAAAACGGATCAGTTTCTCATCGTATACCCCATCGCTGAATAATGTGACTGATACTTTTGAGTCACTCAACTTTTTCAGTAAATTCATCTGGACTACTTGGAGTAGGTCAAGGACAAAGAAGGCTGTATGACATAATTTTGAAATTTAAGGGCTAGATCAAAATATTTCATTACTAACTTTGTAAGATTTATCTAACTTTGGAAGTTAATGCATCATGTTTCTTCGAAGTATGTTACCGGAAAGGTAACTGTGACTTTTAAAATTTTATGTTGATATATTTTTATTTCAGATTATATATAAATATTTTGGATCAATATTAATTTGCTTAAATCATCAAACTTTTTCAGTTGATGCATCTTTATGATTGTAGATCAAATAGTAGCTGAAAATTTAAAGATAGCCATAAAGTACCAAAAGTATCTCATCGTGATCTACTTTTCAATGCAGCAACTGATAAAGTTTAATAATTCTAAGCCACTGAGTAACTGAAATATTTAGATATAGTCATAAAATGAAGTAAGTTGGTCACGATTACCTACCTTTTAGTTGAAAAACTAAGAGAACTAAATATCTTCTGATACAATTCATCAAATTTATCCCAGTAGATGCATTTTTGGTTCTCGGGGTATGTCAACAGAAAAGTAGCTCACTGTAGGTCACTGTGATCAAGTCTTGGAATTTTGTGGATATTTTAATAACGTGATAATAATTATAATAATGAAAATATGGGTGAATGTACACCACAAGTCATACTATTGGATCAATACCATTGAAGTCCCCGCCCTTTTTTGCAGTAAACTCCTTGATACACAGTTTGTATGCATGATCTAGCTATGAAACTTTAAATTGTTTTTTGTAATTTAGTGTAAGATGTTTTACTACATGCACTTCCTACTTTTTATTATATTGATTGAAATGTGTTTTTTTAACAGGATTTAACGGTACTTCGTGTGAGACTACTCTTGATGTTTGTCAATCAAATCCCTGTTTTAATGGAGGAACCTGTGTTTCAAATGGCAATGGCTTCAACTGTATTTGTCCCTCATGTAAGTTAAGGGCCGAATGCTATCATTCGTTCACTTCCAACTCTTTCAAATGTATGTTTGTTCGTTTGAAAAAGGAGACAAAAACAATGAATTCAAAAAAAATTTATATGCGAGATATTGATTTAATGTCTTCCTTTGACTTTGTAGTGGCAAATTGCACAATGCAAGCAAAACCTGGCAGTTATGTTGTTGCTGATGACAAATCAGAAAATCCAACAAAAAAGTCTCTGGATTTTTGTAAAGAAGAATGTCTTCAAGATGTCCAATGCAAAGCTTTATTTCATGTCAATGGCTTCTGTTATATCATTAGACAAGATGCTACTCCAGAGCCCTACACAATTGATCCTGCTATCTACTTCTACAAAACCTGCTTATACAAATATTGTAAGTGTGAATATGCACTGAGTGAGTAATTAAAAAAATTTCTTTTTTAATATTATTTTGATGGTTTGTCCTATTTACAAATAAATGAACAGATGCACGTTGTATTATCACCTTTTGTAATTTTGGTGTGGAAATAATCCCTTAATTAATTGTTTAATCCGTAATTACTATTGTCATGCTTATTTTTTTTTTTAAATCTTGACACATACACACGCAATAAGCATACATACACTTTCCACACATGCAATGAAAGTTGATATAAGAAGAAAAGTGATTTTAAGAATGAATTGATAAGCAAATGTTTGATCTACTGAAATGATCAGAAATTTAAAACTTTATGGACACTTAAAATAATTATGATTAAGGGTGGGATATAAATATGGGATCAAATTTTATATCGTGCTTAAACAAGGATAGTTAGCTTAGTAAACCATGACAATCTTCATTTGACTGTTTTCGATAAATATAAAACACAAATTTTATTATACAGAGGCCTATCAATATTTATTTTATTGATGTCTAAAGTTTCATTCAACTGATTTAAAGTGATTTAAATGTATTACCCAAATTTGTGTATACGCGATTTCACTTATAATACCTTATTTCGAGTATTTTCTCCAACCTGTTTAAAGCAATATGAGCTGCATTTTTTTTAAAATCATTTTTTTTTTTGCTTTTAAAGCGTGCTTTTATGATGAAGCTGTTTGTAATTTAAAACAAAGCATTAATAATATTTTTAGAAGTATTATAAGATTTCTGAACAGTTTAATATATAGTATTATATATATATAGGATCTCCCATGGTTTGTGGTTTGATATGATTTTTATCCAACGAGTTGTGTGTTTTCTATTTGGCGAGGGGATAGAAAACACAAAACGAGTTGGATAAAAATCATATCAAACCACAAACCATGGGAGATTCTTTTTATCACATATTTTTGTTCACTATAAATGTGTGTTTTGTTTTTATTTCTAATTCAAAGTTCCTTTTCGGTTATTTCGGACCAAATAACGTCATAAATAATATAACGCGGTATGAAATAGTTCGTACAAAAATAAAAGAAAGAAAACATTTAATCGCTTATTTTTTTTGATTCATGAATAAAAATTGTTAAAATATATCAAATAAAGTGAAATTTGACAAATTAAGTCATTCTCTCTATCATACATATGTATTTGTTTATTTACATTACGTCACGCGGTGTAGGAATACCTAGTGTTGATATGAAAACGATATCACATGAGATATATCAACGGAATAAAGGGGAAAATATGTGATAAAATATATATATTATATATAAGAATCAATGTTGTACATGATGACAATTAATAAATTTTGCTTCAACCAAAGCTTATAGATTCGTATATGAAATTGAAGACGGATTTTTTTGTTATTTCCCGATCATGACAATGAGCACAGGGCGGTTGTGTGACTGGTCGGCTGGGGATCATTCTTCCATGGCACCTGATCCCACCTCTGGTGTTTTAGAGGTCTGTGTTCGCTCTGCTCCTATTTTGTATTGTTTTAAGGACTTTTGAACTTGAATACCATTCGTTATCTCCATATATAATTCATAACTTAAAATGTTTCAACATCAAATTCCTGACTTCAAATTTGCAGCTCATATCGCTTTAAAATCATTATATGTATTGTAACCATGGACTAGATTTACAACATGGTAACGTCAAAACAGGCCGTCATGAGTTTCTCAAAATTTCTCTTCCTACAGATTCCACACACAGTCTAGCCCAAGGTCAACTCATTAAGAATGATTCTTTATCACTTGAAATGTATTATCTTTACAGTTGTATCTGTAGAATAATTTTGTTTGAAAATGTTTAACTATTTTAATAACCTAAATGTGCTTTCATAAAATCAGCATCTGTGAAATGCCTATCAATTCCTATGATTTATTAACCCTTTTTACTACTTTTACTCAGTTTTACCTTACCATCCGTATGTTCACAGATGGTATTCGTCTGATTCAACATTCTTTTCATTCTAATACTATTTGTGACCATTACACATACTTTACAGCTTGCTTCTCAAATATTTCTTGCTCCAAATAGCATTTTCAAAAATACGAAGGGGAGAAAGCTTTAACTATTGTGACTCGGTGAGCATTGCTTGATTAAAAATTTTTATTTTAACAATTTAAAACATTTTATCTTGTTGTATATTGTTAGTATATAGTGGTAACCAGTGTGAGACAGAATTAGAAGATCAGTGTACACCAGACACTTGTAGTTCACATGGGATGTGTCAGGACAGAGCGGGAGAGGACCCTGTCTGTCTATGCCCTATTGTCGGGGAGTACTCCCAACCAAAGTAAGTACTGCATGACCACAATTAGATTTTACTTAACAATGCTTATTCCCCCCCTTCCCAAACAAAGCTTAAAATAGGATATGTACCATTTTGTTGCACTCATCTATGCAAGCCTCAGTCTGCGTCTCTGCATACCTGCATACACGTGTCTCTGACAATACTTGTTTATGTAGTTTCAATGGACCTTTCAGTCTCAAAATTGGTTCAAAGGTAATAGGTAGGTTACCAGGGGGTGAAGTCTAATTTAGGGTTACGAGTAATTATTATTTCATGAAAATATTGATGACTGTTGCGGTGCATTTTGATCTTAAAAATAGTTTGACTGTACATCACAAGTACTAGTAGTTTGAAATTAACTTATATGTTTCGGTTTAAAATCACATAAACTGTTCAGCAATATCCATCATCATTGCCATCAATTCATAAATTCTGTATTACTTATCAACTTCTGAAGAAATTAATCGGATTTTTAGTCTTAGGGCTTAACTGCTGATATAATGTGAATGAGGGTATGGATGTTCAAAAAAAAAAAGACAACCAACATACATATATATACATTGTAGATGTGACTTGGTACAAAATCTGTGTGATCCTAACCCTTGTCTTCATGGGGCTGAATGTCGATCATGGGGTGCTGTCAGGAGACAATGTATCTGTAAACCAGGCTACTCAGGAGTGAATTGTTCTGTTGATATAGGTAAGTAGCAAAAGTCACAGTATATACCAGTATATACCAGTATATTTTATATGACAGATTCATGCGAGTATTGTCCTAGTGGGCTTTATAATTGAAAATTCTTTGGTATGAACCTTCTCCAAACACTCATTATACCATCGTCTTCAACCTTCCTCAAATTATTTATTTTCTCCATCAATAAGTCTACTCTGCTCTGTTTTATTTATTTATTTTTTTTTTTTGCAAATATCAAAACAAAATTCTTTGATATAAATGAGCATTTATTGTAATGCCAAACTAATGAAACAAATATTACAAAAATTACATATGACCATATCTGAATATATCCTTTATAAGGATAGGGAATAAATACAAATATGACTAGAAGAATTTGCAAAAAAGATGGAAAAACAAACACGCCACAAACTTGTCGATAACTAACAAGTTATGGACAATAATTAAGAAAAAAACCAGAAGTCAGGGGTGTAAGTTGTAGATCACATGCAGTCTGTTTTTGAGCATCCCGAGATGCATCATCAATGCAAATTCAGTCACCCTAGGGCATATAGTAACTAAGAAATGGACCTGCTTAAAAATTTGAAACTGGCATTCAGGAAGTGAAGGTCAGATGCAGCATCAAATACCCCATACATATAATATTATTCAGCACATTTGATATTGTCCATGGATATTATACTAAAAACTCCGAACAGAACATCAAAAGAAGCATACTAGCAAACTAAATATTTCTATTATTACCAAAAAAAATTTATCTGCGCTGATAATTCATCTGCACCTATATGTATTTATGCCACAATATGGCAATTTTAGAGGTATTAGGCATCGAAAAAATAAACTTTGTTATTAAAACCTAAACCAAACTAGATGGTCAACTTTTTTTGAAATTTCACAATAACTTTCATCTACTTGACTGAGGAAGAAATCTCTAGGGCAGAAATACAAAAAATATGGGGAAAATGTGATAATTGGGCTCTTTTCCAACAAATTCCCATAAGGTCCAATTGTAAAATTTGACAGCTTTTGAGATGGCCCGCGAAGAAATCGGGTGGTAAGCATTCGATTTTTAAATCCTAAAACAATAAATATAACAGTAAAAATTAATTAACGAAAAATTATCAAAATCCCTAGGGTAGAAATAATTAGACTCGGCCTCGTTAACAGGTATGATTCCTCAATCCAAGTTTTTGCCCCGTGGGGATTCGGGTTAGAATAGGTCCTCAGTACCCCCTTGCTTGTCGTAAAAGGCGACTAAATGGGGGCGATCCTTCGGATGAGACTGTATAAAGCGAGACCCCGTGTCACAGCAGGTGTGGCACGATAAAGATCCCTCCCTGCTCAAAGGCCGTAAGTGCTGAGCATAGGCCTAAATTTGCAGCTCTTCACCGGCAATGGTGACGTCTCCATATCGATATCTATCTATTAAATATTCTGGAGAGGGACGTTAAACAGTATACAATCAATCAATCAATCCAGGTTTTTCGCTTATCTGGATGATTGCTCTTTAACACGATAAGCATTTATAATAATAAAAACTGTAACATTTTTATTTTCTGGTAAAATACATGTACCTGTATATGCAACTTATGATCCATAAATAGTAGAGTGCTGACATTTTAACATATAAATGGGATGTTTCCATTCTCTATGTACAATATAGGTAAAGGTAATATTGGGAAGTCCAATGTTAAATATTGTGACGGTATCTACTGAATCCTTGATTTCTTTAATCGACACAATATTTGAAACCACCATTTAATTTTCCATATTTTAGCTCATTTTATTCTGTGATCCATTTCAATCATTCTGTAGTTTTTTTTTATAAGATTGAATGATGTTTTTGTTTTTGGTTATTTTTTTTGTTAACGCATACTTTAGCATATTTACATAGTAACGAAAGGACTGTCTTTAAGAACAGCATCACAATTTTTTTTAATACATCAATCAATAAATTTAAATAAAACATTATTTTTAGTCCAATGTATGATGCCATATTCTTCTTGCTGGAGTCTGATAGACCATATTTCAAACCATGTAGCCAAAAAAGGGATTGAATTTCATTGATATTAAAGCCATATATGGCGTAACTGATCAAAAAAATATATTTTTGAAAAATACAAAATTAAGTAAAGAAATATAGTTAATACATTTAAATCAAAGCTTTTCATACAATTCTGAACATGGAGAACACCTCGTTTCATCTAATAATACAATTTTATCTTCTCTGTAATGTGTTATTTAAATATTTTGTATTTTCTTCCGAGTCGGAGAAAATATCGAGAATCCAAACTAAATTGTGATATCTTTATAACGCAATTGACTTAGATTTTGTAATTTACGGAAAAGTTCTATCTTTATATAAAGTAATGATACAAATAATAAGGTCTTATAATTTTAGTCTAATAATTTTTATTGTACATACGCCATATATGGCTTTAAGTATTGTACATGTATATACAGATGTAGTAAGTTTAGAAAAATAAATGTAAGGAAAATTTTGGCCTACATTTATATTTTTGTACTACCTGTTTCTCAACCATTTCTCTCAAATAATCATCACTTTCACTGTTGAGTGATTGAGGGAGAATTATATACTAGAAGTTGATAGGAAACTTGTTTCAATTTCAAAAGCCCTCACTGATAGGAAAATGGTATTATTAATTATATTACATTCAGTAATACATGTACAGGTATGTAACAATATGTTTTAGATGATTGTGGTTCCAACACAGATGGATGCTTATATAACAGTACATGTAAGGATGGAGTTGATAGCTACACATGTGATTGTACATCAGGATTCAGTGGCAGACATTGCCAGGTCACCAAAGATTTCTGTAGTGGATCACCTTGTCCTAATGGTGGCTGTGTGAATGACTACACAAAACTATCACACAAATGTTTCTGTGATTACCCATACCAGTTAGGTAATTTGCCATACTCTTGAAGATATATTCTTCATACAAATTTTCTCAAATGCAATACAATATTGATAATCCTAGAACATTCAGTACTCTTTTAATTTCATATCACAGGAAATAATGGTCAATGTGAAAAGGTGGATCTATGTAACAACACTGACTGTAATAATGGAACCTGTAATTCACTGACTGGGAAGTGTACCTGTGATACAGGCTTTGAGGGTTCTAATTGTCAGCACAGTGTGGATGACTGTAAGGACATGCCTTGTAAGAATGGATCAACGTGTATAGATGGACACCAAGACTACAGTTGTGTGTGTGTGTCAGGATTTACTGGTCAGTGTTTGGGTTGTATAATGTAATACATCTTAATAATTGATATAGATCTGTATGATAATAAAATCCTGCATAAACGAAGAAGGTAAGGGGGCATCATGGTACATTACAATAATCGAAATACAAATTGCAATATATCTTATTATTTCAAGCTTTTACATTAACAGGTTTCTTAATAATTAAGTGTTTTAGGGAAGAAACAAATATTTAAGCATTTCTTTATATAAAAAAATCCTATTGTAGTGACTGTATTTATAGGTATTTTCCAAAATCAGGTTTATATCAAAATGAAAATTAAATTTTGTATATTTAAAAGATTTCAATTAGTTCTGTCATTACTTCACTGCAGAAATACTCTAGTTTGAAACCAGAATACAAACCACAAAAAAATTTATTTATGCATAATTTTGAATTGGTGTATCTTTTTGACCATTACGGGATCATAGTACTTTAATGTATGTATGTATTGTTTCACCCCCTTGTAAATGTCATATGGAAAAAGGAATGATAAAGTTTTCTTGCTTATAAATATGAACTGTTTAGAAAACAAGAGTCCCATGGGCCTTTTAGGTCACCTGAGCATCATGCAACAACTTTATAATGATTGACTTTGGTTCATGTTTTAAACTAGATGACACCGGAACCCCTGACCTTGGGGTCATAAAATTCTCAAAGGTATTCTTCCACATCATAACTATGTTCTTAGTTTATTTAATACCCAGGAACAAAGAAGAAGATTTTTAAAGAAATAATCTATTTTCACAATATAATCAATAGAGCCCCGCCCAAACACCAGAACCCCTGACCCTGGGGCCATAAAAATTTACAATTTTGGAAGAGGCATTCTTGTTCATCATAACTTTATACTTACTAGTTAGTTTATTTAATACTCAGGAGCAGAGGAGAAGATTTTCAAAGAATTAATGTATTTTCACTGTATAATCAATAGAACCCCGCTTTAACACCAGAACCCCCGACCCTGGGGCCATAAAATTCACAATTTTGGAAAAGGCATTCTTGCTCATCACAACTATATACTTAGTTCATTCTTTGAATACCCAGGAGCAGAGAAGATTTTCAAACAATTTCTGCATTTTCTCTGTATAATCAATAGACCCCGCCCTAACACCAGAACCCCTGACCCTGGGGCCATAAAATTCACAGTTTTGGAAGAGGCATTCTTGATCATTATAACTTTATACTTAGTTTGTTGAATACCCATCAGCAGAGAAGAAGATTTTCAAACAAACTCTGCATTTTCGCTATATAATCAATAGATCCCCGCCCGAACACTAGAATCCTTGACCCTGGGGCCATAAAATTCACAATTTTGAAAAAGGCATTCTTGCTCATCATAACTATGCACTTAGTTAGTTAATTTAATACCCAGGAGCAGAGAAGAAGATTTTTAAAGAAATAATGCATTTTCACTTTATAATCAATATAGCCCCACCATAGCACTAGAACCCCTTACCCTGGGGCCATGAATTTCACAATTTTGGTAGAGGACTCAATTGTCATTACATACATGCTAACAGTTTGACTGCTTGATGTCCAGGAGTAAAGAAGAAGATTTTTAAAGATTGCACTAATTTTAGTGGTTTTGGCCCCACCCCTCAGGCCCCAGGGAGGCAGGGACCATTGAATTCACAATTTTTGTTCCCCTTCATCCATAGATGCTTTATGCCAAATTTGGTTGAAATTGGTTGGGTGGTTGCAGAGAAGAAGCTGAAAATGTTCAAATGTTAACACACGACGTACGACGCACGACGACGGACGAAAACAGATAGCAATATGTTACCTTAGTTTACTCAGGTGACCTAAAAAAAAACCTAATTAAAGAATTAGTAGTTTTAGAAAATTTGGTATAGTAGAGTGTTTCATTTATTTCCTTTAGGAAAAAACTGTGACATGGACCAAGCGGACTGTCCAGGTTCCTGTAACATGACAGCTACACGGGTCACTATAGATAAATTCAATGAATGTGAATGTCTGTGTAAGCCAGGATATACAGGCCAAAACTGTACAGTAAGATCGATTCACCATGTGACTTTCGCCCACCATGGATCTTGAATCAGTTTTTTTTAACGTTTTGGCTTCTTCATATGAATTGTAATCATCAAGAATGAAGCATCTATGAGTGAAGAGAAATGGCATTTTTAATTTTTTAATACAACATAAAATTCTGGGTTCACGACCGCTTTGTGCTGCACTAATTTATGTTCCAAAAGAGATTGTCATGTTAAAAATTATTGATTTGAGACTTTCCAGGTAACTTTTTGTGGCAAACCAAAGTTTATTTTTTAAGGTTTCGTCTAAGGTCAACATGTCTAAAAAAAATTTTTTCAATAGCTCCAAAACTGTGTGATATAAAGTCAAAACGTATACAGTTTATAAATATATCATTGATTAATGGATAAAAAATATCACTTCATAACAAATATTTTTAAAAAAAATATCTTTTTGAGAAAAATTGTATCAGAAAATGTGCATATTTAAAAATATTGAAAAATGCACCTGCTTAATTCTGTCTTTTTTGTGAAAACCATCATTGCAGAAATAATATATGTTTATCATTGAAGGGCAAGTTGAATGTGAATTGTCTCTGAAAGGCTGTTATTGAAAGCCTGACATGTATAAAGATAAGACCCCTATAGAATCCGCCATTTGCAATGTACTTTCATAAGTCTTAACATTTGGACAAAATAAACAGGGAAAACAACTTTCTAGAGGCTATTTAAGTCCAGCTTGCCCTTCATTGATAAACATATTTTGTTTCTACAATAATGGTTTTCACCAAGAGCGCGGAATTAATTAGGTGTATTTTTTGAAAATATATGCATTTTTAAGAAGAATTTTTCTTAAATAATATTTTTTCCAAGTATTTTTTTATCAGGTGATACTTTCTATCTGTTAATCAATGAAAAAATTATAAACTGTAAAAGTTTTAACTTTATACCTCACATAGTTTGGGGGCTATTGTAAAAAAAAAATAAATTTTTGTACATGTTGACCTTTTGACAAAACCTTAAATTGTTTTTTTTTTCACTATGTGAAATGAGCTGTTCTGAACAAAGCATGACTGCGCGCATATGTATTTTATCTGCAATATCTGAGACCAATTTTAATTCTCAAATAAATAAACAAAGAATGCTTTTCGTTGTTTTAATGATTACTAAGAAAAATTCTGTTCTTTTAATTTTGAATTGAATAAAGGAAGAGGTGGATGAATGTGGCAGTTTTCCTTGTGAACATGGAGCCACCTGTACTGATATGCTCAATGACTATCATTGTAACTGTACTGAGGGCTGGGAAGGAAAGAACTGTGACCAACAGATTAACTACTGCCAGACTACCTCTACAAAGTGTCAGAGCGGTGATTGTTATAACTTAATAGATGACAGATACTGCCGGCAAGTACCCAATTAAAACAATTTTAAGAAAATTATCTATTAAGTTTTTCTTGTATCTAAAAATTTTTAATCATAAAGAACTTGGACATCTGAATTTTAAATAATTCATGTACATTATTGCACTTGCAAATATTTAAAGTGATCAACCCTTTTTAGAAATGATACAGAAGGTGTTTATTAGTGCCCCGTAATCGAAGATTTGGGTGAATATAGTTTTTTTAATCTGCTTAACCGTCTGTCTGTTTGTCCGCAGAATCTGTAACCTTGCCCATAACTTTTGAATAGGTGAAGCTATGACTTTTATATTTTACATATGTATTTCTTGTGATAAGGCCATTTTTTGGGTATCAACATAATTGACATTTTGACCATGGAGATTGACCCATTTTTGTAAGAATTTACCAACCTTTAATCTCGGTCATAATTTTTTAACTGTTGGTGCTAGACTTTCATACTTCACGTGAATATTCATTCTGACAATACCTTTTAATGGATATGAATATATATTTTTGACCTTGCAATTTAAGTTTAAACCACTTTTGAAAAAACTTATTTTTTTTATATTTTTGTTTGTTGTTTAACGTCCCTCTCCAGAATTTTTCACTCATATGGAGACGCCACCACTTGCCGGTGGAGAGCTAAAAATCGTTTTGTACCAGCACCTTAGCTGCGACACAGGACCTCAATGAGATTCTAACCTGCGACGTAAGAATTAAGTCTTTACTCCGCGACTCTTTCCACTGCGTCATGCAGCCGACTGTGGTGAATCATACTAGTAGGACCATATATTTTTAGACTTCAACAAAATATTTTTTATTTGGAAGATTCGTTATTTATGCAAAATATCTATGAAGAATTCTACATATTCAGCAATATTTGTACTGCAATATGTTTTAAATAAGTCAAGAAATCTGATGACAGAACTTAAAATTTGAAGAGCATACATTAATAAGTAGTATATGAAACATGAAAAAAATGATGGACTAAATTTTTTCTAGTTTAAGGTCCTCATATCATCCTTAAATTTGGAGACGACAGTAATATTCCACATATTTATAATCAATTTGTCAGGAAAATAATCTGCCCAACATGCCTCTTGTTTATATATTTTATTGGTTGAAATCAAAGGAAAACTAATATATGAATAATTGTCCTATGGTTTGGGTTTATATAGATGTAATGCTGGTACGAGAGGTGAGGCATGTGAAGATATTCCAGATGTGTGTAATGTTATTTCCCCGTGTACATCAATGGGCATTTGTCAAAATGCAAATGGAACAGCAATATGTTCCTGTCAAAATAGTGAGTAATTTTTTTAAAAGATGGTACAAAAAGCAGGTAACAGTAAGATACATTCGTTTACAAGTAGATTTTTGTCTTACTACACAACTATATTTTTTCTCGTGTTTGCGTTTCATTTCAATAAGAAATTCCAATGCATATTATTTCACTGTTTCAGACTATTCTGGAGAATCCTGTGAGTTGTTAAAAGACTTTTGTACAGGAACAACAAATTGTTTGTATGAGGGCATGCCTAATACAGGAGGAACATGTAAAAATCTGCCAGCTGGAGGCTTTAACTGTGCTTGTCAAACGGGTAGGGTCATGTCATGGTACATGTATATTACGATAATCTATGTTGGAATTGTTACATACAATGAAAGCTACACACTACTCAGAGTTACTGAAATTAAAGTATTTTTTGTGAACAGAGGAATCCCTCTTCTAAGACAATAAAATAGGGTTAATTAAATCAAGACTGTGCTGCAAAAAGAGTAATATTTAAAAAAGTAGAAATTTTAAATGACACATGCAAAGTTCGAAGTCTTCATTTTTTTTTTGTTTCAAAAAAGGACAAGTTTCAAAACCTTAAAGAATACTTTTATGCAGAGAGAAAAAGTATCTTAAAAGAAATACATGTTTTTGACACATTATATGACTTAAGAATTTTTTTTAAAATCAAACTTTTATAAATAAAATGGAAAGAACAAGTGCACGTATGGGCCCCGGTAAAATGTGAAAATATAAACAATCAAATTTAGCAAAATTTTTCATCTCAAATCATTAATTGATATCTAAACCATACGATTCAACAAATTTTACTGCTGAAATCCTCGAAAATACAAAGAACAAAACTTTACAATGTGGTAGGAGTCAGCCGACATTTGTGATTTTCTATAGTAAATCGAGAACGGTCATTCATCTCAAAGCTTTTGTTAACTATGAGCCTAACGTTGTGCAAACTTGTGCGAAAAATAAAAGACGCATTATACATTTATAAAACTTGTGTGAAAGTATGAAATTTGCACACAATTAGACTCGTACTTAAAATATTAAAAATGTATAAAAAGTACAATGTTTTTCCTATAGCAAGTTAGAGCTATTTACCTGTATGACCCATGTTGAACCCCCGTATGGAATAAAATATTTAAAATACTAATAGTCACGTGAGTTCTACCCAGGTAAGTGCTCACTGTAAAACAAAAGGCAGGTTTTGTATCAGTAAGTCAAGGTCGTGCCGCTTAGAGATATTTTTATGTATTTGTTTTTTTAGAACACGAGAGAGTAAAGAAAGATCAGTGTCGTTCATAAAGTGTCAAACATTTTTAACCATCATGCTAGATAATGAAACAGGTATTGAAAGCCACCTATAACACTCCTTTTTAATTTCAAATTAAATGAAACTATTGTATTTTTTTCAAGTGCAAGAAATTTCATTTGAAAAAGAAAGTTTTATGTAGTAAAGGTGTAGTAAATTAAAAAAAATAGCATATTATGTTATAATCCTTTCAAATACTTAATAAAATGTATATTTAATTCACATATAATCAATCTAAAAATGTTCATAGTCATACAGTTTCTGTAAACCATGTTCAGTAAACATCAAAGGATCAAAAGTTAATTAGAAGGTCACCATGAGTCACTAAGAAGGTGTACAGGGTATACACAGGGACCAGTAAGTAAGTGTCAATCAAGTTCCAGCATCCAATGATGGATCTTCAAGCAATTGATTGACAGGGCTACCCAGACCAGGTATTTTTGGAGGGGGTGCTTAAAATCTCTGCCTTTAATATGCTTTTTGATTAGGAATATCCAATAGTATCTAACTATTACCAATAGAGACCAATTTGGTAATATATTCTAAAGTAAAATGGCACATAAAAAGGGTCCGTTAAGTATTGCGTAAGTTCACTTGTCCTTTTCTAAAATCTGAAATATAGTGCAGAGTTTGCTGTAGGGATTATAGGGAAAGTACTAGTATCTTAATTTATGCTCATTTTGAAATACTTAGCTGAAAATACCTCGATTATATGAACTAAGAGTATAAAACTCTTGATATCATAAATAATAATAGTAAGAAAATGTGAAAACGTC